AAACCTATAGAGATAGTTATCCTTCTCTAGTGCTAATCACTTGTGAGGATAGTAATCAGTTTGACTTAGGTGAAAAGGCAAAACATTAGTGTTGGCAGTTGACGAAAAGTTCTTTTTTAAGCCCTTTTCTTATCGTTTGTAATGTTCAGGTTATTTTTGCTGTTATATGAAGCAATTCAGATTAATTTACATTCAGTTGTGTATTTGAATTAATGTTGCAAGGCGTTGTGTTTGTTTCAAGGCCAGTTAGTAGGTTCTGTAAAATCGAACAACATTGTTAGAATCATTAAACTTCACTATGTACGCTTAGTTCGCAAGAAAGAAGCGAATACCACTGAAAATAGCAACTCATACCAAGCAATTACTTCATTAAAGGCTATGTCATCCATATTAGAATATATGTGTGTTAGTATATTAGGTAATAGTATTGAGTAAGCTACTCTGCATGCTTTTTTGATTACATAGAAATTTAAATTGCAAATAAAGAATCGTTGCTCGTAAAGCTTTGATCTTATTTTCACTGCTGCAAGTCTAGCATCAAGAAAACAACAATATTTTTGGACGAACACTTCCTATACAAACGCTTTTACCTGTGGCTACATTTAAGTGAAAAAGAGGTATAGGGATGATAAAGCGCGTGACACTCGTGTGGATTAAGGAATGGCACCTCATTGATATCTAGTTAGTTATCACTGTGCACTGATGAACTTGAGAAACTATTTTTGGTGCTGACCTTGCACTTTTTGAAGTCACATGACCAGCCACTTCCTTAATTATGCAAAATTATGCATTTTTTATTACACCACTTTTACAAACCTTTAAGTTCTCAATAGTTCTTTTATTATATTTAGGTTAATGCTTAACATGTCAAATTAATCGGGGAACTTTAAAGTATTTTATTTCTTCGTAATAATTCATTGCCAGTCTCTCTCTAAATTGAAAACGTTACAGTTTACAGAAAACAATTAACTTCCAAAACCAGCGATTAGTTTCATAAACTATGCTCTTATAGTCATAAAAAGCAAACAAACTGAGGGTGTGTTCGACTGGGAAATCTGGATTTAGATTTTAAAATCCGGGTTTCGGATTTGCAATCGAACGGATTTCAACGCTAAGATATCTCTTTTTGAATTTCCCTTTTACTGTTCGATTAGGAAATCCGGAAAAGGATTTGAAAAACTGTCCCTAAGAACAGCGGTCTTGCTTGCACGCGCGTGGTTAGAAAAGAGAAGACCGCTGTTCACGAGAATAGTTTTGCAAATCCTTTTTCTGATTTCCCAATCGAACGGTAAAAAGGAAGTCTATCAAATCCGGATTTGGATTTATTTATTTATTTAGCTTCACTTAATTAGAATAAAATCTTTATACATGAATACATAAAAATTATTAGGCAGGGAGATCACTACAGCCTAACCAATTACAGTGGATCCCTCGTTAATAATAAAAAAAAGTCGTTTAAAAAAATCCTAATATCTAAAGCTACTGATAAATAAAAAGAAAAATCAAAAGGAAACAAAACAGAAGTTTAAATTGCTAGAAGCAGCAATTCGGCGGGCATATGAGAGTCCTCGCTATGTACTCCGGCGGATGAGTGAAACTATCGTGCATTTTATGATAAAAGCAAGAGACTTGGCACACTAATACTAGAAATCATGGGAAACATTTTAATGATTATAGGCAACCTAGATATGACCTGTTTCGGTCGGGGGCGGGGGAGGTGGGGGGTTCAGTTTTCAAAATGGCCGCTGGCAATGTTGTTTGCTACGACAACAGGGATCAACTGACTTGACTGGATACAATGCCAAACTTACATTTTTTGGATTTAAACTTATTAAATATGGCATCAAAGTATCCCTTTGCGTTCTGTGTGGGTTCCCTTTATTAATATGCAGGAGGGTCGAATCCATGACGTCATTCATTGTTTTAACCTAGAGAAAAAGTGCGTTCCTCCATACTAATTAAGTGCCTTCCTCCATATATAATGAAGCGGATAGGTTTTCTAATGAGCGAATACTACAACAAGCACAATAAACTTGCCTCGGCTTGCCCGTTAAGTAACTTGAGCCCGGTTTTCGGACCGTCTATTAAAAGCTCTTATTTTCCTTTTAATAGACGGTCCGAAAACCGGGCTCAAGTTACTTAACGGGCAAGCTAATGCAAGCCTATTGTGCCTATTGTAGTATTCGCTCATTAGTAAACCTATCCACTTCATTATATATGGAGGAAGGCACTTAATTAGTATGGAGGAACGCACTTTTTCTCCAGGGTAAAACAATGAATGACGTCATGGACTCGACCCTTATGCATATTAACAAATGGAACGCACACGGAACGCAAAGGGGACGCACCAAAGGGGCTTATCTCGCAACATAGTAGACTACTCTAATATCCTGCTCGAAGGACGTGTTGACGTAGGGCAGCCTTTGTTAGCGGAATGTTCTCTATTTCCCTACCTTTCTGTGTGAACAAAGTTTGCCTGGCCTTGTTTACACTGTCATCAGGAATTTCTTAGTCATACACCAGAACGACGAATCTCTCGATGGTAGGAAGGATCTCATCTATGTGTGCTGTTCTTGGTATTTGGGCAAGTGTAGGTAGAGCGGCGTATCATCCTTGAACTTACTCCACACTGACCATGCTGTACTCCTTCCTCTTCCTGCAAAACCTGACGTCGTATAGTCTTCCCCGGTGAGTGCTTGAAAAGCAGGTAATAAGTCGCGCTTGTCATTGCCCAATTTTCGCGCTATGTGAGTCGCATCAAGGTACCGGAATGTTTTCCCCGTTCCAAATGACACAATGAACTGTTCACCTGCAGGGGCACCCAACGGGAAATTTTGAGAAAAAGACCTAAAAACAACAACAAAGCGTGAATAAAGTTTTCTGAGACTATTTTAAGCATTTTGGGAGATTGCTGGAAAAAAATTATCTGTTCCTCACTCCCAGCAAGACTGATGGAAGAGTTCCCAGCCAGCAACCTTACAACCTGCAACCTGACTTACTGGGAAGTTTCATAGGGCACAATTCAGATCTTGAGTGGTAAGCAACCCATACAAGTAACCCGTAGCAGCTATTCTAGACTTCAAATCCCCTCTGACACCCTGAATTATCTTTTTCCCAGCAACACTTTCCTTCCAAGGACTATTATTTCTTCCACATCTCCCAGCCAGCAAAAATTTGCATGAAGAACAGATATTTTGAGGAACAGATCCGTTGGGTGCCCCTGCACCTGTCCGGAGTTTGTTGGCGGTACTGACAGCGAGTACAACATCTGTGTCAACAGTTCTTACTAGTATTCTCTTGTATCCCCGCTTGGTACTGTCGGCAGCATGTTGTAGCATCCGAGTGTCCGCTTCTTCACGCGTGCAAGGGAACAGCTCGAATCATCACCAACACAACAGGAAAAGTCTCTGTTGTTACGTCATCACTGAGAAGATTGAACTGCTCTGCTTTGTTCCGTTTTCTCGCAGAAACTGGTGCCAGTTTCCAGGCAGTTTCCTTCTTCCTTCTACTCTAATACGCATACCCGTCCCCGTCTTCATCCTTATGGCCGCCTTGAGACTCGCGTCCCGATACTCGTCAAATACCACATCGACTCGCTGAACAGATTTCACGAAATAACTCATTTACATACCCAGGCAATGAATCGGACCTGACAAGTCTAAGCATATTGCAATTGCTGCGCATCGAGAACGACCGTGTCCTCTTCAGGCACTATAATTAATAAGTTGTTCGCTTCGTCGGTTTAAGGTAGGAGAACTTTCAGGCATGGAAGTAGGTTGGACTTTGTTGATACTCTCAACTTTCCATTGTCAGATATTGAAGGTGGAGACCACTGGTTTCGTGTTGGAAAATGTCTTCAGGCTCTTTGCTGCCCTTAGAAGTGTCTTTTCCCCATACTACTTTGAGAGCTGTGACTTTAGACAATGAGAAATCAGGGGTGTGAAGAAAAAATGCCGTCCGATGAACGTTTGTGCGTTCTTGGGGGGTAAAGCGACTGTAAATGACATCACAACAAGCTTTCTGGTGTAAGAAACCACATCCCACCCTACCGACCTGTAATTAAAAGTGAATTACTGCGGCGTTGTGTTCGATGGATAGTACATTATTTAGACAGTGGCGGCTAACAGAAGCATTTTAAGGTTTTTCATGTCACAATAATTATGGTTTGCTATATGGAAATTTAGGGTAGAATTTGAGAATTCATCCAAGAATTTTGATACCGACAATTCTTACATTGTTTTTAATGCTTTGTTTTTTGGTTTCGTTTAGGAACTGGCTGTGCGCCATTTAGGGGTTTTATTGAAGAAAGAGTATCACAATCTGCCGGGGCTAAGATGTTATTTGATTAAATATGGAACTTGATTGTTAAATTCTAATAACGATTATCGAACGATATGATCATTCCCAAATTTTTTCAGGTTGTGTGCTGTTCTTTGGCTGTAGAAATAGCAAAAAAGACTTCTTTTTTAAAGACGAATGGCAGCCACTTGTTAAAGATGGAAAATTATAGTTGTTCACGGCTTTCTCAAGGGATCAGGTTAGAAAAAACGCAAACAAATCAGTTAGTCCAATCACCTCTTTCGCATCAACGTAATGTGTAAGGGTTCGTTGTTGCTAAACCTTGACAGCGCAAATGGGGTACATGTAAGTTGCCACAAAGTGGAAATTCTGAGTGGTTCTGCGTTGGAGTGGTGCTTCATGTAGGCCCTACTTTTGTAATATCTTTTGTTCTTTGTACGCGTGTAACGTCTTGGTAGCGTCTAGCCTGCGTGCCTCCTCCCCATTCTCCGCTCGGCTTCACAGCTTCCCTGCCACAAGTTTGCTCGCGTTGACGATCCCGCCAGCTACGCAGGTTAAGCGGCGCCCTTTTCCTGCTCTGGACTGAATTTTTTGGTTTAAGTTTTGTTGTGCGTTTTTTCTTAAATGAACCAAGACAATATTATGTTATCCTCCGATGAACGTTCTCTTCATGTGCAGCTTGTTCTATGTTTGACGCTTAACAGGAAGACAAGATTTATGTTCAGCATCGGTTACTAGAAAACAGCTCTCTTGTCTGGGATCTCCTAGTTCACAAACAAGGATGGTGTTATATAGCAGGGTATGTAAAGTACTTTGTCAATAGTAGGACTTGAACCTTTCTGTAGACTACAAAACTCCTCCCATGTAAGGGAATCTGGATTCCGGAACCAGGAGAATTTTTGCTTGTGGAATCCGGAATCTGGGTAAATTTTCCTTTTGAAATCCGAAATCCTGGGCCATGGAACCCGGCATACCGTTCAAAGAATCCGGAATCCCACTAACGATTGAATGCAGAATTCAAGTTCCACTGACAAAGAATCCTGAATCCAGTACCTGGAATCCGAAATCCACGACGTGCAGTCCAGGATCCAAGGCTGTCTTCGATTCCTTTCCATGGGGCGAACAGAAAAGTTATCCTTCGCCAGGAATAAGATTGGATCTTGATACAGGGTACAATAGCCTTGAGTTAGTTTCCCGTTAGTCGTGTTGCCATTAACAAGGTTTTTGATTATTTTTCTTCCTTCTTTATTTGTAGAAACTCGCAACGAATGCCTGCAGATGTTACAGAAGCTCTTCTTGAAATATTCATGAAAGAAGGAGGAATGGATGCAGTAGAAGCTGAAGAATTTCTCAAAACGTTAGAAACAACAAGACATTTTCAAAGCGAGACATGGGCGTAGTAAAAGGGGGAAAGAAAGCAACAAGATGAGGCAAAATTTATCCAAAAAAAAAAAACGAGACAGTCTTAGTTTTTCGTCGTTGAAAAATTAACTTATTTTTTAGAGCCTGTTTTATCTTTATTTAAACCGATATGCTTATTATGCTTTTATTTTTAAATTGGCTGAATTAACAAATTACAACTGAAGTTTTCTTAAATTCCTCGCCGGAATACTGCTTTTCGAATCAATAGTGACCTCTTTGTATCATTGGAAGTCTGTGATAAAGGCCTGAAAAGGATATGCCCAGGAAACGACGGGAGGGGTAGAGTGAGGCGGCCTTTTCCTATCATCTTCCCCAGAAAAAGAGCCGATTTATTATCATACTGGTAAAAATACGCACCAGTATTTGCAAGAAATAAATAAAATACAACAATTCAAAAGCTAAAGAATACTTGAAATAGAGTCTAACTATAAAACTTGCTTTGAAACGTTCTGTATCAATACAGCGAAACTGGCTTGTTTTGGTTCTTTTCAAAAACGTTTCGAAGATTCTTTAACTCTAGGTAGACGAGTATACCGAGGATGGGTAGGCTGGCTGCCTATCTTTCTGTAAATTGACTCGTCAGTTTTTCGAGCAAGACAAACAGTAGTATTTATAGCATGAGGTATGTAGCGACGTTTGTGGCACCTGTGAAGGAACTGCTGGACAGTATATATATATCAGAGATATAGAGGCTGCATACACAGATAAACCATCCGACAAGAACTTCGGTATAACTAAAGCCGGTTTGAAACAAATGATCATTTTTACCTTGATTGTATCCTTCCTTTCTTAAGCTTCTTAGCGCGTATCAGCACTTTCCTGCTTCTATTAACATATGTTTAATGTTTCAGCCGTTGAATGTCAGTCGTTGGACGGCGTAGGCCTTCCACACTGACCTCCACGGGACCACGCGCGACACGGTGCCAGTGTTCTACGAAACTAACTGAGCCGTCCTTCCATCTCGTCCTTGGTCTTCCTCGGTTCGTTGTGTGTCCAACGGTTTTCTGTTCTTTTCGCCACATGACCAGCACAATTCCATTTGGTTCCTTGATCTCGTACTTTGGTTTTTACTCCGATCCATTGAGCTGTTTTACGATTAGCCTGCGAGCAAGCTCTCCCATTTGGGCAAGCGAAGCGATCCTCGCGAGAACGCGCGAACGCCCCTCGCGGCTTCGCCGCTGGCTCGCGCGTTTTCGCGAGACTCGTTTCACTTGCCCAAATAGGAGAGCTTGCTCGCAGGCTATTTTACGATCTCGCCAAGTTATGTTTAGCACGATTCTTTCATAGACTCTCTGCACAGTTCGAGTTTCAGCGTTTGTTGTTTCGTAAGATTCCAGGTCTCAGACCCGTAGGTGACTGTTGATAAGATACAGTGATCGTAAACCTGGCGTTTAAGAACGATCGGAGTGTCTTTGTTTTTGAAGATCGCGATCGCTCTACCGAAAGATTGTCATCACGAGAGTGATACGACGTTTGATCTCTTGTTCCTTCGAGGAGGAATCCATGCATTGACCGAGTGAGGTAGATGTAATGATTTGACTTCTTCGATTTCGTTGCAGTCGTTGGTGGTGGGTTCTTCTACATCCCCAACGAAACTCATGAAAGGAAAAACGAAAAATTGTACTTGCCCAATACATGCATCCTAAACATGAGGGTTCGGACTTCCCTCCCGTGTCCTTGCGCTCCCCGTTCTTTTTGCGACCATATTACTTTAATGCTAATCGTGATTTGATCTGGTATTCCAACTGTTTATTAAAACTGTAAGTGATTTGTCCTATACTTCAAGGACTTCTTTTAATGCTGCCTCTCGCCAAATCCCTGCTGCGGAGCAAAGAAATACATAGTCTATTCACAGAAATACATAGTCTATTCACATTTTACGACACTTTTTACGAGGAAATTGAAGGCTAATTTATAATCTATTCGTTACGTAATGAGTGGGAAAATTTACCAAACTGTGGAAGAGAGTAGATTAAATGAAATGCATTAGAGCGTTATTCATTTCTGACAAGAACTATAATGTCCCCATCATGGCTCTTGTTTCTGGTCAATTGATTGGTTTTTGAATCCTAGTTTTTTCAATTTTGTTTTCTGAATCCATCCTGGGGTACTTCCCTAAAGCAAAGTACTGGAAGGCGAAACATAACTAAGAAAAATAGCAGGATTGTCCACCTGCTGATGTAGAGTGACATTTTTTGGGTGGAGAAAATGTGTGTATTAAAGGAGCTGTGTCACGAAATTCAGCCAAATTAGGAAATTACAAAATGCCCGTTAAATTAAGAGAAACATGAAAATAACCGCTTAACTTTAAAGGAAGGTTAAAATAAAATAACAGAAACAACAGATGTCACGGATGGGCAAAACTGAAGCAAGATTGAAACGGATTGAAATTAGGGTTTTTGAAAACTGTTCAGCCTAACAGTTTTTCAAAGTTGGTTCCTGCTGCTTGCAACTTCAAAAATAATGCTCAGGAGACATATTTGTTTGTCCCGGATCTCTGATTTTGTCATTTACATGTAATTTATTTGCTTACTTTAAGTTCCATAGCGATTGATGGCGAGTAACTGGCAAAATTAAACAAAATGAACTGGACTGCCGTGACACAGCCCCTTTAAGTACGGGCTATAAGGCAGACGCTGAATACAAGTTTTCCAGAGGGATACCCCTTCAGAGAAGATCATCTTGCTAACCTGGCAAACCAAACTTTTAGCACCTCTGAACACTCTCCGGTAGCGGGATTAACGAGGCGAGGGAGGGGAGAGTTGTTGAAAATTTTCTCCTCAAGTTCCTATCCCTCTGTACAAGTAATTTTTATACTTTACAAGATACAAGCTCTTCCCTCCCACCCTCCGCAAAAAAAGTGCACCTTAAAACAAAAATGACACACACACACTTTCTCCTAAATCCCCCGCTCACCCAGTTTAAGGAATACTTTAATCTGTCTTAAGATCATTTCCATTCGCAGCCGGACACAGGGTCCAGAGGAGATGTGTTTGTCGTTAGAACATCAAAACCCGTCGAAAACCTCTGAAAAAACGGGTTATTTTGATCGCGTTACGGTTTCGTTACACATTCTATAGACCGCAAACCAAGAGACTGAGGGCTCGCAAGATCGGCTTACAGTTGACGACCTTCGGTCACCCTTCGGGGACGTGCCGTGCGCCAGCGAGGATATGGCTTGCGGTTATTGATTTTCAAAAGTCGATCTGGGTCAGATAAGAAGCGAAGAAATCGTTTACAGTAGATTTATAAAGATCCCATTGGGCTAATCAATCGTGCTAAACGACAGGTATAGACATTTTTCAAGGTAAGTAATTCATTTATTCAAACGAAACTCCTCTGGACCCGGTGAGCCGGATCGCTTGTCAGCTGTTTAGAATCAAATCGCCGGTTATTTTTGATCTATGATCGCGGGGTTATTCCCCGCTCACTTCCGGTGAATTTCTGAGAAATCATCAGCGGGGCATAGAATTACAGCATACACAAAGTGATGTTGATTTCATTCATTCCAGTCGAAAGGAGCAAGCTGACTTTGTTGACCTCTGTCAATTAATTCCGTGAAATCCATTTTGATTCTTTTCAAAATAATGCGCACTCTAAAAGATGGAGTGTCCTGATTGTGGAAACACAGACTTGCTTCCGAAGTTTAAGTGCTGTCCAGAGTGCGGTTCGAAGCTTCCACGTGCTTCTGCAACAGACGTTCCGAGCTCAGGAACGTCGCCGAAAGACGGAGGAGAAGCCATCGCCCAAGAAAGCTCACTTGCACAGCTAACTGATACAGGAGACAAGAGCGACTTGCGAGTAGATAAGGGCCGATTTGAAAGTAAGTTCTTTTATTCATGGCCACATTAAATTTCAAAAATTCCATTTTTCTAGAAGATAATTTTATAATTTACAGCGTAGCGAGATCGCATGCATTGTTGACTTTTTAAGGACCACTAAGGCGGCCGGTTTATGGAAACCAAAAGGTGGCTTTATTCAGCATTCCACTACCTGTTAGTATGGAACTGAAGTATTGAGACTTTATCAGGAACATTTACACTGGCCCTGTTGGATGAAACAGGAGATGGGTTCGATATTTTATGAATTATATCCACTCTTTGAAGGTGAACTTGCACTAAAACATACACACTCGTTTAAAATGAAAATGAAGAAATGATCGTCGCAGTGAACGCAATTTATGCAACTGCGTTAAGAAGCCTGAAAAAAAAAATACCCAGGACTTCAGTCCTGAATTTCTTTGAGGCTTCTTTACACAATTGCATAAATTGCGTTCACTGCGACGATCATTTCTTCATTTTCATTTCATTTCCGCAGTTCATATATATGATTTATTTCATATATCATTAACACACTCGTTTTAGTTACATCATATATATGTATATATATTCCATCTTTGATGCAAGTTTAGGATTTATTCGCCTGATTCGTCGGCGGAATCTGTTTTTGTCTTACGAGAAAAATTTCAAAACTGAAAGTGACATCATTGTTCCGCTAGCTTGCAGCTGCCTGTCGTGGTCCCTCGGGGATTTTTAATTCCCTGAAAACTAATTGGTGGCAACTTCGATATTTTGGGTTGATACGTACCTCACCCGGAAGAAATTTAATAAAAGAAGGCTCACTCACTTTTTCCTCAAAACTTTGATGATTGATCACTTATTGATCATTTGCTAGGTATTCAGGTGTTTTTTTTTTTCGCATTTTTTCGGACAAGTGAAGGCAAGCCCTGGGATGGGAGGGAGGGGATAGTCCCTATAATGGCTCCTACAAGGAAGCTGTGCCCAAAAGGTGTACCTTTTTGAGGCTACAGGTATATGAAAGGGTAGTGAAATCTGTCATTTCGGTCTGTAAAAAGGCTCAAAAGGGCTAACAGGTGCATTTTATTGCAGTGAAAAAGTTGAGACAAAGTTCTTTTTTTGTGATTTATTCATATTTTAAGGACAGTGCATTTACAGCAGTTAAAAGGGTTAATGCAAAGTTCTTAACTAGGTTAATGTGAAAGAGGGATCATTTGTCAATAGAGGGTATACCAATGGGCTACCTTTTCTGTCCAAAATGGTATATAAAATGGTCTTGGGGTTGGACCTCGGGGCAGAGCCTGTGCCTGAGCCTGAACCTGAGCCTGTGTAGAACTGTGTTGAGTTCCCCCTTGGGAAGCAAGCACCAGTGAACAGGAGCACCAGACATGCACAATAGGGGAAACTGCAGAAAATATAATGCCTGTCCACACACTATTGTTTGTGCTCTTCCACTGTTCATGTAATAAATGTAGACTGCTTGCAGTCCACCTTTTCTCTTAAAATCTGTCTAGTTCTTATCTAAGCTAGTGTGATTGGAAACCACAACATTATGACGTAAGGTTATGTGGGACCAGACAAAATAAGATGCATTGCAGACTCTTTTGTAGTAAACAAGCAATCCGTCAGCCCAGAACCGGAGTAAGTGATTGGTCAATTTTACAGCTGTTGGCAGATCATTGACTGCCCTGTGGTGACGTTGCAAGTGATAAAAATAGTCATGCATTACAACTAACTTCAAACAATAACCAAGCGGGAATTGCTTGTAAACTGAAACGTTTAAGGATATCTTACAGAAGGAAACTGCTGTAAATTTCCTCAAGGGAATAGAATTCAAAGCAATCTTACCAGATTTGAAGGAAGTGTAATTTTTCAGTCTTTATGTTCTGTTTATAAATTGTTTCAAGTTACTCAGGTGTAATTGGTTAATTTAATTACCTTGACAGCTTCGTTGTCAGACAGTACAAAAGAGTCAGTAGTCTCTCATTTTTTTCTTTTTGGGTTGACGCCATCATTTATTGCAGCTCGTGGTCGCTCGCGTGCTTGGGTTTCATGTGCAGTAACTTTGCGAAGAAAAATAAGATCTACTGCTCGCAGTCTAAATAAATGCAGCTATCCAGTTGGCTTATTGGTATCATGATCATCAGCTGTTTCCCACTTTGGCAACTGTTTTTTAAGCAAAAATATGATGATTGAGGAAATATATAACTGAAGAGACCTTTAACTGCTTCTGAGGAATAGATTTGTCAATATTGATAATTAAAGGGTCAATGTGATCATTAAAAAGATAAGTAAACATCAGGATATTTATTGTGCATTAATAAAACATGCAGCTATGTAAATGATAGATTTAATTAATTTGCCTACTGAACAATTACTGTTCACCATCTTCTGCAGTCTTTAAGTAATGATGGCTGCTAGATGATGTTATATTTTATTTTTTCTGCTGTAGCAAATGCAGTCACCCATAATATCATAGTCATTGGTTTCTGCCCATATATACAGATAGAAGTTACTGCAGACAGTACTATTTCTGTCTTCTGGGCCCCATCAGCGCTTTGGTGCTGGTAAAGCTATATAGCCACTCCAAATGATGCCACACTTGTGGTATCATCTAAGCCATGCCAGAGTGCTCAAACTAGTAGACTGGTGAGCGTGCCCAATGCTAGCGGCAGTGACTCATCCCAGAAGAGTGCTCAATGTGGACATGAAAATTAGCTTTGTATGCCAAGGAGCTATAGTTAGAGCTATATAGAGAGGGTGTATGGAAGAGCCGGAATCCGGAATCTGGAACCGGAGCCGGAACCGGAACCGGAACGGGAACCAGAGCTTAAATTGAGACCGGGGTAAACTGGGAAGCACTAAAACCAGTTCCCGATACCTGTGTGGAAATAAAATTCAAGATGGCGTCCTCTGTTATCATTGTTTTGAGAAATTTTCAGCGCAGTGATCGTGATACCAAAGATATACTCACATTCGGAAAGTGACTTGCAAAAAAAAAAAGGTAAGTGCATCCTACTGTTATTCCTAGCAGTCATAAACTGTGACTGTAGCGGTAGGTCGAGCAATTTTCGACAGATCGAGACTACAACGAATCAGAAGCTGATTGACTGCGAAAAACAGCCATTATTAGTATGTGATGTTTAAGACCGCTGTTTTATTCATTTCCTTCTCTTGAGCCTAAGTTACTCATTTCGTAAAAGGGCTCCGTGTTACATCCATTGTGAGGGAAAGGCGGCAAAGGGAGGAGGAGTACTCATGTCAATCATGATCCCACGTTGCAACGCTCACGCGTATATGAAATTCTCGACGAAAAATTTTGCGCCGTACGCAAAAAATGCTACTGTAAAAAATATAATAACAATAAATAAATATGTGGGGATGAAAAGTCTTGATCTAGCAATAATTGTTAGTGACACTTTCAAGACAGAAACGTCTCCAATTCTTATTTCTTAGGTTCCGGTTCCGTTTCCGTTTCCGGCTCCGGTTCCGGATTCCGGATTCCGGATTCCGGCTTTTCGATACGCCATATAGAGACGATTTAATCAATGTATGTTCAAGTAACCTATATATGAGTTATTCTGTTGATTGGCTGGGATCTTGTGGAATTGTTCCTGATATATCGCAGAATTACACTCTCTTCACAATACGAGCAAGTTTTTTGTTGTCTAAATTTAGAAGACAATAATTATTATGACAGTTTAGGCAGTAAATTATGGTAGATGATTTAGGCGTTGTATCATGCACTGCACACTCGCTTTTTGTGCTTTGTTCACCCCAAAAAATGTAAAAAAAAATATAGAGCGTGTAGTGTTCTGCAGGCTTAAGGCCCGGCGAAAGAAGACAGGGAAATCACGGCACATTCAATTCCTAACTAGCTACTTACAAATCCTATGCTACTGATACTTAGTAGCAGGGTTTCCAAGTAATTTAACAATAATATTGTTAAATAATGCCCTCTTATTTCTATGTTCCGCAAAATGATGTTTAATTCACTAAAGCATTTCACATTAGCTTGCAGCTGTATCGTACACTGTATCTACAAGCAGCTGTTAAATAAATCCTTTACAACATGATTTCGTGCCCACTGTTCTCCCCACGCGCTTAACCTCGCCTGCTGCACACTCAAATGGATATGTCCTATTTGAATTTTGTTGGATTTGAGCAGTTTTGCCCCTCTAAATTTGTGCTTAGATAAATATCTTCCCCCTTTACGGGTCTTGACAAACTGCAAGCCAGCGAGCCATGCGAGTCACGCAAGGCATCGGTAAAAAAAAAGGAAACACAAGTAAAAACTGCAAATTTACAGATGAGGAGTTGAGCACTCATGATACTGATTAGGATTAAGCTTTCGTTTACAGATTAGGGTTGAGCACTCATTTTAGGGCTAGGGTTAAGCGCTGTTTACGGTTAAACAGCGCCGTAAATTCTTCCGTTGATCCATAAACCTTCAAAATAACTCTCGTTTTGTACTTTAAAAGGCTGCTATTTAAACTTAAGTCACAAGAGTATTTTCTAAATTTTAAGTAAATGCATGACAGAAAAAGTGGATGTAGCGATCTGGATAGCAATTGTTGTCCACACAGCCAAATTAACACTTTGATGCCATCGTGCTCTCACTTTCAACCAGTTTTGAATCCATGTAGGCTTTTATGTGAAAAAAGCCTCATTCCTCCGACAAAGCGATTCCATCCTGGCATGCTGATACGGACGAAAAACTAAGCTTAACTAAAACAAACAAACAAGCAAAAAGCATACAAACAAAGTGAACAACAAAGTATGCTGTTAGCTGCCAGTTGCCGAATTAAAATACCTTCAGCCGAGATAGTTTCCTTCAAAATTAAAGGCTAATTCTTAGGCAACTCTAGATACTTTCCCTGTGTTGTTGCTCCTTGCAAAGGTGTGGTTTGAACATGTCACATACATTCAAGTTTTAACGATATTGTGAAAGGCACAAAGGGGTGTAAAGTAAAGCCGTGGCGATTCCGTGAAACCTTGAGCATGTATATGGAAATTTTCGAAACGTAACGCCACCTTCCAGCCATACTAAGTTGACATTTCTTCTGAACCACACCTCAGTGCGACCTGAGAGGTTAATATAAGAGAGCTTTCTGTGAGGTCCTCCCCCCAAAAAGGATCAATCAATTTTAATCATTTATAAGGACTACAAGACAGCCTTTAATGACATAAGGATGTGGAAGGATTTTTCCATTCGAAATGTTAATTAACACGAACTAGGTTTTAATGATTTATCACTTTGTTTTACTAAAATATAGGTGACAACTCACATCAAGGAGAAAGAGCCACAGTCAGTAAACATGATGTGTTCTCAGCGGCTCAAAGTGATGGGCATAGCTCTGCAGCTGCTATTAATTCAGACCAGTCAAGAAACCCGCCAGCAGACAAAGGACTTGGCGCTATTGATATACAAGGCACTGCTGACAGGAGACCAGAAAACCCAACAGGCGAAGGTGTCAAGATTGAAAGTTCAATCCTAACGGATCAGTATCGTCAGCAACGAGAGAGGCCAGTGGAGCGGCACCATGATCCAACTCTCACCCAGCAGCAGCAGCAGCCGCAGCAGAGGCGGCAACTTCCCCAGCGTCCACAGCAGGACCAATACCAGCAAAAGTTGCCTGTAGATCGGCAACAGTACAACCAACAACAGCAAATGCCATCTGCAGATCAGCAGCACTACAACCAACAACAGCAAATGCCATCTGCAGATCGGCAGCACTACAACCAACAACAGCAAATGCCATCTGCAGATCGGCAACACTACAACCAACACCAGCAAATGCCATCTGCAGATCGGCAGCACTACAACCAACAACAGCAAATGCCTACTGCAGATCAGCAACACTACAATCTACACCAGCAAATGCCATCTGCAGATCGGCAGCACTACAACCAACACCAGCAAATGCCTACTGCAGATTGTCAACACTACAATCAACACCAGCAAATGCCATCTCCAGATCGGCAACACTACAATCAACACCAGCAAATGCCATCTGCAGATCGGCAACACTACAATGAACACCAGCAAAAGCCATCTGCAGATCGGCAACATTACAATGAACACCAGCAAAAGCCATCTGCAGATCGGCAACACTACAATCAACACCAGCAAAAGCCATCTGCAGATCGGCACCACTACAATCAACGTCAGCAAAAGCCATCTGCAGATCGGCAACACTACGATCAACACCAGCAAATGCCCTCTGCAGATCGGCAGCACTACAACCAACACCAGAAAATGTCATCTGCAGATTGGCAACACCACAACCAACACCAGAAAATGTCGCCTACAGATCGGCAACACTACAACCAATACCAGCAAATGCCCTCTGCAGATCGGCAGCACTACAACCAAAACCAGCAAATGCCATCCGCCGATCAGCAGCAGTACAATCAGCACAAGCAAATGCCGCCTACAGGTCATCAACACTACAACCAACACCAGCACCTGCAACAGAACCAACAAAAGCAGCCACCTCCCGGAGGGCAAGTCTTCGATCAGCAGCAGCAACCTTCATCTTCGAGGAAACAGCAGCATCAGCAAGTAGACCGCCAGCAGTGCCTAAACGCCGAGTCCATTTCAGATGATAAAAAAGCAGAAGGGGTTCACCTTCAAGCAGCTAGAAAAGCACCTGGCAGTACTGACCAGAACAAAAGCTCTCAGGCTTCTCAGAACAGGAGGGGAAGAGATGATCCAACTACACAAACTCCTGATCCAAGGACAAAAATGCCAGAGGGAGGAATCGAGGTAAGTTTGTCGGTCTCAACAAGACGAATTCTTCACGACCTTGCCTTCCGACTGAGTAGTCAGTCGTCTTGAGAGTGAACAATATTCTATGCACAACAGTTTCGATCATATCTTCATTTAGATTTGGCAATAGCGTGTGCATCCGGGTTTTCAACTTGACTTGGTGGCAATGATGTGTCCGTCATAGACAGCACACGAGGGGTTAGTTGTGTAACCCTACAGGCAAACGAAAATTGCATAAAAGCTTATAATCCGAGGGTGTTGAAGGAATTTACGGCTTTTGTGGCTTTTTTCTGTTTTTAGAGGTGAGAGTCTACTCTTTCAACTAATTTTCTTGGTCGATTTCGTTTTTTTGGGCCTAAATGACGGCCTAATCAGGGCTAGTGGATTGCACCCTATTCATTGAAAAGGACTGTTAAATACTCCGATTGTTGTGGTTTCAATGCGATAATTTAGTTTGCTGAATTGCCCCACAGCGGAACACTGGAAGCCGGACACACAAATAAGCCTCAAGGTTCATCGTGTCGTTGAGATTTTGCATTGAGTTGGTGAACAGCTACGCATGGCTGTGGCATAAGTTCTTAATTTTCTTTGAGCTTGTTCTGCGGTCAGTTTCAACATTGTATTTGCTCTGAAAAGGCTTGCAGGCGAGTTTGATTTATTCAGTTTTTATTTACTTCGGTTACAGGGTAAAGAAAGTAACACAGTAAACGAGGGAGACTCAAGACGGGCTATTGAAAACATAGGTACAACGCCAGTGGAGAAAGTAGAATCTACTGCACTTGTGTTATCGGCTGCTCCAGAAGAACCTGCCAGAAGTGAGACTGTCCTTGGTCATCCTTTGAGTGAACAAATGAATGAAGACAACGGAAGTGAAGCATCGGTAAGAGTTGCATGCGAAATCTGCATAGAAATATAGATCAAAATGTTTCATGTAGCGATCCAGAATACGCCAAAGATGAGTTTGCAAAGGTTCGTTTGGTCTGGAAAAAGTTTAAAGCACTAATTGTCATCTATATTAGATCTAAGTTCAATGATTAAAAAAGCGGGTTTTGCTGCGTAATGAGTAGCCTGCGTGGCAGGCGCAAAAAGGGGAGGGGGAGGGAGAAAAGCACGAAAGAGGGGAAAGGGAAGGGAGCGCCAGCTATAAGAGCCGGTGTTTTTGTAATCCGCCCACCATTTTCTGAACAAATCCGATAATGTCACTGTCAATACGTGACCAGTCACAAGTACAGGGCTTCTCAGCATGGTCCGAACTTAATTACATTGTTTACCGGAAATTGTCAAGTTGAGACGCTTTTTTCAAGTGATATCATAATCGAGTGAAATGAAACATTTTTACTGTTCTTACTCCCGCAGCAAACACAACAAACATAGACTACGAGCAGTCTCTCATGTTTTTACTGCTCGCAGTCTGCGACAAACAATGATCAGTTTCGTGTGAATACACAAGACCTTTTATCTTACAACCTCATCAAGCACCGTGATAGTCACAAAGAACAGAACATTGGCCAGTCTGAGACGCGAATAATGAAAGCAAAGGAGAATTATAAACAATTGTCAAAACGCTCAACGGATAGTTTTTACCAAAGCTTCAGTTCTCTCTTTGCAAACCATTTAAAACTCCATTCAAGACGGTATATGTTTTTGCGGAAAAGGAGGTCTTCTGAATATCGGCATTGCAGATGTCTGGCAAGAATCGCTATCGCTTTGAGTCGCTGCTCGGTGTATGGACAAATCCAGTTTTCAAAATCTCCTGAGCATCTCTGTCTGCCAACAAACTGTTACAGTTGGTTTTAGTTCGGGTTTAACGTAAAGTTGCTACATGATTGGAGTAATTTTGATCTTCCAAAGCTTATGCCAGTAGCACACATTTTCGTGATGCCTTCGTCATGTTTGTCTCTCACACTAATACACGCCAGGATACACGCCAATAAGTTACTCATTACGGCTTAGCCAATCAGGAATTCGCAAACGCCAGCGTCTGAGGAAATGAACAAAAGGGGGTTCTTATAGCAGGCGTCCCGTCCCCTCTCTCCCCAATCCCCCTCCCTTTTTCCCTCTCTCCCTATCCCCTACCCCTTTCGACGCCTGCTACGCAGGCTACGTAATGAGTACCCCGAGTGACGTTAAGGCACCGTCATTGAATTTATTGCCAAGTCAGATTCCTAACAATGCCTGTAATGCCGATAAGATATGGGAGGCTCGGCACGAGGCGGTAAGAGCGGGGAGCCCCTGGTAGAGAGTAAATTATCGCTGCGGGGAGATGGGCTGGGCGCGTACGGAAGTGTACGAAACACCGAAAAGAATGAGTGCGCTATTGGGAAGAGAGACCTTTTAATGTAAAGTGCTACTGATCTGTATGTGTAAATAGCGCTATAGAAATAACAGATTATTATTATTATTATTATTATTATTATGGGCGAGGAGAAGAAGTGTACGAAACACTGAAAAGACTGAGCACTCTATAGGGAAGAGAGACCATTAGATGGCTCGTCTCAGTATTTCTGTAGGCGTACCTTCCACCCTTGAACCCCTTATACGAGCTTGGTATCTATTGTAAACCCATTATAACACATGGATTAAACGTAGACTGAACTTTGTTATGATATGATGTATTTTTTTGCGGTTGGAATGAATATTGCGTGTCTATGACGTCACCGTGATTTTAGCTCTTAATGGAATTGCGGCCCTTATTCGCATTTTCTTTGGCAACGCCCTACGCTACGCAAACTTTGGGTGCTTACCCTCTGCTGTGCGAATAGGAATTTTGATCGTGTAATTTCTGCCAGTTGCTGTCTTGACGCCTCGCTGTAAAACTTGAGGAAGGACTAGTTTGAAAGCTTCGACCTGATGGTCGAAAGTCAGCTGACCGTTATAAATGAGCTGGCTCTGAATGAAATTCAGGATAAAAGATGAAATTTTGTTAAAAAAGAAGTTTGAAGGGGCTGTGTCACGCTAAGACGTGTCCTTGTAGCAATTGAATTTCCAAAATAACGGCCCAATTTTGTTTTTGAACTTTATATTTAGGCATTGAGCCTGTTCCTGTTGTCTGTTGCAATGGATGTTAAGGATGAACCTGGATTGAAAGTTGAATAAGTTGGGCCAACTTTTTCTAGTTTTTTGAAATGCTGTGCTTGCAAAAATCACGAAAAAGAATATTTTGGTTAATGCTTCTTGATGAAATTTGTTTGATATCTTCTTCAAAACGCTAAAGGAGCAGTTTGTTCATTGGTAAATGAACTAAGTAATGAATTCAGCACAGAATTGAATTGAAAAGACAGCAATTTCCTCGTGACATAGTAGACACTGTACATGAGTTACAATTTAAGGGTTACAAGGGGTGAAGGGAATGAAATTTAATGAAATCAAATCAGTATAAATTGTAAGTATCGTTTTGTTAGGGTGGATTGATTTGCAACACCTGTTGGACTAAAAACAATGAAGAATTCCAACAGGCAAATGCGACAGCGAAACGAAATTCAAATAAGATAGGAATTAACAGGGAGTAAATTTTTTTACAAACGAGCGGGTACATTAACGTTTATTGACGTTCATTTCATGTGTTTCCCTTCAGTATGTTATTCTACAAGCTTCAACTGACGGCCGTAAGTGGGCTGAACGCTGTAAACGACAATGGGCAATTATAAGATTCATCAGCAAAAATAACCCTTAGTTCGTGACGCCTATTTATTATTTTCTGTTGCTAGAACACAAATAAAGGTGGACACTGGTACCAAAAACCTGCTAACACCCCACAAGACGCTGAAGCAGGTCAAGGAAAGAAGAAAGCATCGAAGAAACAAGGCAAAGAGAAAGGGGGTGGTTCTTCTCTGCCGTAAGTTTGTGATTTTTAAATGGTAGGAAATGTCATCACTTCTTGATGGCACTACTGCTACTGCTACTGCTACTGGTCCTGCTATTTACTAGATTTAATCACAAAATCCTTAATCAACCAATCAGCCAATCAGTCAGTCAGTCAATCAATCAATTAATCGACCTTTATTTCTCCTAAGATAAAAAGACATATCTTAAGTTACATTTACAGTTGGAAGTCTAAAAATACGTAAAACGTACAGTATACAAATAATAGAAAGATTAAAGTTTACATCTCAAAATAAGCCTATTTACAAATACATTCTTAATCTATCAGTCTTTATCTCCTGGCGATGAGCAGCTTTGTTTCTAAGTTGATGCTTTGTTTCTTTCTTCTTCTGAATGATGTTACTAAGCTGGCAATCGGGATCCACTGAACGTACCTTGAAAAGCTTCTCATCTGCCTTTTCTAAAACTTCTCGAATGTCCATTCTCTTAGATGTGTATTTCCTTTTAAGGCATCTATCCAGGAAATTTTGTATCACCGTGAGATCTGGGTCTACAGCGCCATGGACAGACCATAAGTGAAATTCGGTAAAACTAAGGCGCTAAATAGGCGGTCTACTTCACCTTGATCGAAACCTTCCTTCCGTAAAGATCTTAATATAAACAGACTTTTATTTCCCTTAATCAACTTAGTGAAGTCGTGTCTCGTTTTATGGTGAACATCAGCGACCTCTATGGTCGGTTGAGAGCGGAATACAAAGTTTGGACGGCGCCTACCAATTCGGTAATTCAGGCTGACAGTACGTAATCTCTCACCTTCTTAACTAGTACGATCATTTGGTGTTTAGGAATTTGTATCCTTGTTTAGTACTCCACTACCATTCTGACTTCATGCAAGTTTATTGTTATTACTAGAAATACGATATCGCAAAGAATCTCGCGAAGCTAAAAAGGGTCAGCAGTGAGAATAAACAGAAACAATTACGATGGAAGAAAAAAAGCGAAACAAACAACAACAAAAACTGGACAGACGTAGAGCGGAGGGCCGCCTAATTTTTAAATGCAAAACTCTACAGCCGCGCGGCATAAACATTGACTTCAATTTTATTTGAGCGAACTCTTCCAGCGCGCGCTTCAAATGTTCCCACATTTGAATGAAATGACGCGCGTTCAGTGTAACGGCATCTTCCACTGATGAAGGGACAGTAGTCCCGAAACGTCTGGATTTTCAAACATTTTAGCGCTACGGACACAAGACAAATTTTAATTGTAATCAACTTATCTGCGCTACACACTTCCTAACCATGTTTTGATCCTAACAAAAACTGGAAGTAGCCTCGCCGGTATCTGAACCTGCACCCCTTTCTCCAGCGCGAAAAGTGACGGCTCAGACCCCTGGGCCATGCGACGGCTGCACACTCTATCTTAAAATTAATAGTATTGAGGGTATGTTTCTCTGCTATTCACAATGTTTGAACCTTGTGGAGCTGTATTTATCATGAATTCAAAGATACATTTGAGGAAAAATAGCTTAAACGAGTATTTCAAAACCATTTCGCATTATTTCCGTGTTTATTTACTCTCGGGCTTTTTACGGGCCGCTCGATGAACGCACTGGTTTTCTTCTTCGCTGCTCTCGTTGAAGTTCAGGTCGCCGTTCCTTCGGTGTTAAATCTTCTACGGCAAGGATTTCCAGCCACTTGTCCAGTTGGGTACTGTTGTGTTTGCAGCCCGCTGTTATTTGCCTCAGAAATACTTTGCAATTCGCCAACGTACAGTAAACAGAGGATGAATAAAATGAGCCCTAGCCTTGTTGCCTGGAAACCAAAAATGTACGGTAACGTCATGCTGAATGGGCTCGTAAGGATTTGTTAATGGCTTGTTGCTAGGCAACTGCAGATACCAAACCGATAGAAAAAAAGATTCATGACCAAAGCGAAATTGCACTCAGCTTGCGATCCGCGCGCGCTGCGCGTGACAGAATTGTAAACTTGCTGCTCGAGTATATTATTATTATCTTTATTATTATTATTATTATTATTATTATTATTATTATTATTAGTAGTAGTAGTAGTAGTAGTAGTAGTAGTAGTAGTAGTAGTAGTAGTAGTATTGTTATTGTGTTTATTATCATTATTATGTGAAAGAAAACAAAAAACAAACCAACCAAAAAAAAAGAAAACAAGAAAATAAAGCATTCTGCTACGATTTTAACAATGTTTCATACTTTGTATTGCTCTTATAGCACAGCTCAGAATCAACATACTTTGAAGCAGGTAGACCCGGAAAATGGAGTCACAGTCGTGTTTCACGTTTTGTTAGAGTCCAACTTTAAAATGGAAGACGAAAGTTTGCATATACGCGCTGGTGCGAGAGACTTGGGAGAGTTCTATATAAACTGTGTTGATTTGATCTCTGTGGGGTGAGTCTGCTTTGTTTCAGCGTTGCTAAAGGGATCTCGTAAAAATCCTGTCTCGATGGTTGATATTTAACTAATATTAAACTTGTCATGTAACTTTTAATAATTTGTTACCCACTTAATGCCTGGAATTGAAATTTGCCGCAACATGTTGGTTTTTCGAGGAGAGGTGAAAACTTGAGCACCCGGATACAAAACGCCAACATGAGCAAGAACCAAAAGCAAGCCATCCACACCACATAAAGAGTCGCGTTTAGACAAAAACCCAAATCACATTTGTAGGAAGCCAGTGCTTTAACCACTGCGCTAGCTGTGCTCCTGAATGTTACGGAAAACTTGCTTGATGCTGCTTTGAGAAAGGACGAGAGAAAAATGATACCTGTGGTATGACAGACCTGCTTCACGGTAAAAAAGGGACTCAAAACATAATCAGAAAGTAAAATAGTCGTAATTAAGCAATGTCTGTTTCTAACGTATGAATGTCTGGCTCTACTCTCTTCATGAACTGTTAAAGTAGAGGATGGAATTAGTTGGACACGCTGGAAGACCGGTGAACAGAAACTAATTCGTTTTTATAACAACTAACTGGGACTACAATACACATGATAACAGACAAAATTTGTCCGCACAAAGTGCTGTTACCAACTAATCATAACTTTAATCACCCGACCTTTTTCGCTAAGATGTACGGAATCAAACAAACTTAGCGAGTGAAACTGCCTTATTACTAGTGTAGATATACGTGCCCTTCTGGAGCTATCATCAGGGCTGCTGATAGATGATAATCAGTTTTGAAGATTTGAATAGTTGTTAAAGAAAAGGTCCCGAAAGTTAACGTTCTATTTCACAGCTCCTTTACAGAGTCTTCCTATTAAACAATATTTTATTTCACCAGTTGAACATTTTCTTTTCAACTTTCTCTCATTTCAAAGGAATTGTACAGACCAGAAAAAGCTAATGCGTTTTAGTGGTCAGTTCACTCTTAGCGTCGATTGTGCCCGACAAGGAACCAGTTACAAGTACGTGGTGCTCAAGAAAGGAAATGTTCACTGGGAAGGTTTGCTAGAATTTCCATCAAGATATCCTGGAGGAATAGTGAATAGATTCCTTTCAATTCCCAAGAAGTATTTGAAACCTGGCGGTAAGCTGTAGACGACTGAAATTTTTTAGTAGCCTTATATTATTTTCTATGCCTGCAGTGCAGGCATTTTCTTCGGACGCGCGAATAGCCTGATTAGCAACAGAGCGGGAACGTCAGTTGACGACGGCGAGCGTAAATCAAACAACTCGCTTGACCAATGGAGAGCGGCAAATGGGGCACCGGAAGTCTAGTTTAGTCCTTTCCGCGCGCTTTCCAGTCGTCAAATGACGTTCCCGTTCTTTTGCTAAATCATTTGCTCGCGAAAGCGCCATTTTGAAACTATTTTGACTCTCCGTAATCTTCCTCCGTCATAAAATCAGAGATGGCGTTTACAACAATACAAACATAAACAAGCAGCTTTCGCCAGATGAGACAATCCTCTGTCAGATATTTGAGAAAGAGTTTTGGAAACTTAGTCAGAGTTTTAGATTTAGTGGACATGTTTCGAAAGAACCACATCGATTAATCCATGAGAGATTATTGAAACATCCAAAACATTCCAAGGAGGAAAAGCTCCTGGTTTCGACGGGATAAATATGAATACCATTAAACAATGTACACGTATCAACGTATCTCTTTGTAATGGCGTTGTCCCTGACAATATCAAATTACCAAAGTAATACCCGTATTCAAAAAGGACTATCCAAAAGTATTTCGTACTTAAAGACCGATTTCAATATTACCCTGTTTCTCGAAATTTTTAGAAAACGGTTCTAGGATTTTATTGATAAATAATAGATTTAGCCAGGGCTAAAAGCGAAGCCTCCGTGTATATACTTATATGTAAGCAATTCACTCAAATATGATAAACTCTAAGCCAATAAAAATGATCTTCCTTTTGAAAGGTTGGGGGGGGGGGGGGGTAGTGGGGCTAAGGAATAAGTATTAAGAAAAAACACCTGAAATGAAAACCCTCCTATCAAGCTAAAAGTCTGAAGTTTACAGCACGATACTCTTTAGCAGCCAATTTACAAGTTACGATTTCAAAATGGTGCTTAGCATCGCGATGGCGACGGCAGCGAAGAAAACATCACTTTTAAAATGAACTCGCCTTTCGTCAAACTTTGTCGCGTTTATGCCAATTCGCTAAAAAAAAAAGTCAAAAGGAAGCGAATATTCCAGGAGTTGATGTCTTGGAAACCACACTCAAGTTTAGAAAGAGAAAGAAAAATTTGTCGTGGTTTGTTGATCCAGAGTGAAGCCAACAAATATTCTATCGTCAGGCAGACTGCACTGACCGTCTGATTGACTCGACAGATTTTGAATGATCTAAAATTGTTCGCTGGTTTGAAGCAAAAAAACTCTCTTTGAATATTAAAAAGTCCAATTGTATGTTATTTAAGCCGCGACAACGGAATTGTTCTTTGTCAAAATCATTACAAATCGATGGCGAAACAATAGATTGGGTACAGCAGACGTGCTTTCTATGAGTTATTTTTGGAAACCCGCGGTCTTGGTAAGCACACATTTGTCATGTTACCTCTAAAATAGCCATAACAATTGGCATAATTTTATAAGTCCAAATCCTTTCTACCTAAGAAATCTCTTCTCTCGCTTTACTATTCACTAGTTTATCCTTGCTTACATTACTGTAACCTAGTCTGGGTTTCAACTTATAAAACAATTTAAATCGGCTCATTCCTTTGCAGTCTTTTGCAGATACGTATCCTGCCAAGGCCCAAACTTCTGAAACTCTCTAAGCAAACATTTAACTATAGAAATATTCTTGTTAGAATCGCATAATTGAATAAAATCTCGCATTCTGATTGGTTAACGAAGCGAGGTATTTAGCGTGGAATTGCAAGTTGAAAGCGAGGCTAAGTGATAATGTTTTGCATCTACGTATGTATGTATGTATGTATGTATGCATGTATGTATATATGTAAATCTTTATTTAAACACGGGAAATCATCAGTTAAGCTTAAGGTGGCTCGACTGGATTTTTTGGGGTTGATACCTCCCAAGTTTGAGCATTAACTACGTCGGCATGAGTGAAGATATGGAAAAAAGGTTACCACAACTCTATTATATAAAGATGAAAATTTTTTATGATCTGGGTTTTATTGCAATCGGAGTCGCCATGGCAACGTAATGACGCCATTACGTTTTTCATTTATTGTTGTGTTTCTCTGTACCAGGAGTTTTTTGAAGAAATCGCTTGAGGGAGTATGTACCTGCCATAATTGCCTCCATTATGGCAAAGTTTGAAGAAATTCTATGAGAGCGTTTTCGAGATATTTCGAAATGCAGTTTTAAGAATCATCAAAGCAGTGAAATAGCATGCTAGCCGCTCAATTCGCTAATAGTTTAAGAAAATGATAAGCTTTGGGAACGCGGCTTCATCTCATAGTGGTTTGATTCCATTGAAAACTGCATACAAAAAAAGAGGGGTATTGCTCTGGGCGATCGCGAGTAACAGGAATTTTATTAACTTGTATTCGGCTGCTTTTGATACAGTTTTTGGAGGTAATTTGGTCCATGCCTAAAAATTTCGCATTTTTCCAAAAACCGCTCGATAAATTTTTTCATAAATTCGACAATTCCGAGATCAATCGTCAAGAAATATTCCCTGCAAGTTTCAAGAACATTGAAAACAGGGAAGGCTTTTAAATAGGGACTCAAACATAACCAATTTTCCCCCCAGATTTTGTGTTTACAAGTGAGCGTCCTCATTATTCACTGGCATTGTTTTCAAGTTTCATATGCACGTGCACAACTAGCAAAAGATATAAATTTGCATCAAAAAGAACTCTCGATTACTTTCCGAAGAAATATCCGGTATATGCTAGTAATTGGCTTGTCGTCACAGATAGCAGTGAGAGCCGAAACGGTGAACGTCACGGCTCATCGTGTAGGATGCAATACTTAATTATCTTAATCGGGTTATAACATCACAGAAACTCTCACGAAGAGTTGCTCTGATGTTATAATGTATCACTTACCTCTTTACCCGGTAATTAGCATATCCCGGAGATTTAACCGAGGGTCCTTTTTGATGCAAATTCTATCTTTTTGCTAAATGTGCACGTGTATATGAAGCTTGAAAACAATGCCAGTGAATAATGAGGACGCTCGCATGTAAACACAAAATCTGGGGGGAAAATTGGCTATATTTGAGGCCCTATTTAAAAGCCTTCCCTGTTTTCAATGTTCTTAAAACTTGCAGAGAATATTTCTTGACGATTGATCTCGGAATTGTCGAATTTATAAAAAAATTTATCGAGCGGTTTTTGGAAAAATACGAAAGTTTTAGGCATGGACCAAATTACCTCTAAAAACTGTATCAAAAGCATCTGAATGCAAGTTAATAAAATCCTTCTTAATCGCGATCGCCCAGAGCAATTCCCCTCTTTTTTTGTATGCAGTTTTCAATGGAATCAAACCACTATGAGATGAAGCCGCGTTCCCAAAGCTTATCATTTTCTTAGAGTATTAGCGAATTGTGCGGCTAGCAAGCTATTTCACTGTTTTTATGATTCTTAAAACTGCATTTCGAAATATCTCGAAAACGCTCTCATAGAATTTGTTCAAACTTTGCCATAATGGAGGCAATTATGGCAGGTACATACTCCCTTAAGTGATTTCTTCAAAAAACTCCTGGTACAGAGAAACAGAACAATAAATGAAAAACGTAATGGCGTCATTACGTTGCCATGACGACTCCGATTGCAATAAAACCCAGATCATAAGAAATTTTCATCTTTATGTAATACAGTTGTGGTAACGTTTTTTCCATATCTTTACTCATGCCGACGTAGTTAAGGCTCAAACTTGGGAGGTATCCCCCTAAAAAAATCCAGTCGAGCCACCTTAAGTTAAAAACTAAAACTAATTACAACTGCTTTACATGATTGCCGTGTGGGAATCCGATATATCAGCTACCTTCTTGATATTTCGCTTAAAATGCTCAACGGATGCAGCATTTTTTAAGTTTTTGGGCAAGTTATTCCATAATATGGCCCCTCTGTAAGAGAAGGTTCGTTTCAAATAATTGGTGCTTGGTTTGGACAGGGTCAGCCTTCCCTCAGAGTTTCTTAAGTTGTAAGCAGAGTGACGCTGCGAGAAAAGACTTTGTAGATATTCCGGAGCAAGGTTATTCATGGTTTTATAGATCGTTAAGGCTTTTTGTTTCTTTCGTCGAAGAGATAGCCTCTCCCAGCTGAGGGTGGAGAGAAGGTGGTTTGAGCTCGCATCAAAGGCTGATTTAGTAATAACTCTGGCTGCACGATTCTGTAATTTTTGGAGCTTATCACTCAAGTAACCACTCAAACGGTCCCAGACGGGGCTGCAGTAATCAAAATGAGGCATAATTAAGGCGTTATAAATTTGAATTGCAGTTTCTTTGGATATAAACGGCCGCACACGTTTTAGCGCGCCTAAAGCTGAAGAGACTTTCTTGCAAATCTCTTCAACGTGTTTACCCCAAGAGAGTTGAGCATCTATGGTAAGACCCAACGATTTGGTATGATCGACTCTCTTGATAATTTGGTCATCAATTCTGATTTCTACATTGTCACATTGGGCAGATAGTCTTTGTCTTGATCCAATAATCATTAGCTCTGTTTTAGCAACATTTAGACTGAGCTTCTAAGCTTTAAGCCAACAGCTAAGGTTGTTTAATTCAGGGGTTAGAGCTAGCTTAAGCTCTGTTAACGTCTTAGCAGATAACGTAAGGTTGGTGTCATTGGCAAACATTCTTGGTACGGCGCCCCGCAGGGAGTTGGGAAGATCATTAATGTAAATTAAAAATAGCATAGGACCCAATATGCTACCCTGCGGCACGCCGCAACTGAGGGTACGAGCAGATGATAGTTTGCCACTGACATTACATCTTTGGGTTCGGCCACTTGAGTACGACGAGAACCATTTTATGGCTGCCTGATCGACACCCAAGTATGACAACTATAGTCAAATTCTAACACAACAACTGCAAAAAAGTTTTTATACAATGTCATATTAAAGTGTTTTTAAAACCATTGTCACCTTTTGAAGAGCCAAAACCAAACAAAAGCGTTTTTCAAAGTGAGCCGGAGGTTCTTCGTTGTTTTGAACTGAAGTACAAATTCTTGACGAGGCATAAAAAACCTCTTTCGCTCGCAAGAACGAGCAAGTAAGAAAATCCTGTGAAAACGGCCCGGAAAATGGCAAGCAAAAGTTGAACCAAACAAGACGGAGACTCGACAACGGAGGAAGTGTCAGGATCCATTGTCACATAATTATACAGACTCTGGAAGAAGTAAATACCTTCAAAGGCGACATGGCCTCTGAAAACACGAAAAAGAATACTAGTACCTCCGTACGCCGCTTGCAATCGTGGTACTTAGAAAAGTACAAAACAGAGCTGAACTTGAACAGCGTTTCCAAAACATTTCAAGATACTTACCTTATATTAATCGCGATGTTAAACTTTCAGTGCTTTCGCTTGGACGCTTCACTTCTTTCAGTTTCGCCACCGAAAAGGTAAAAGGTGTAAATTATTTTCCTTCTCGAGTAAATGAGTGAGAAATTTGAAAAAAGATGTTATAGATAAACGGCGTATAAATTCAGTGAAATACCACTATTTATCCTTAAGATTAATGTAATGTTTGTTTACTTATGAAAAGTTTGAAAGCAAATGTAAAAACAAGCACGAGGTACAAGTAAAGTTGTGGAAGGTTGAAACGTGTACGACTGACCTTGCTTCCTATTCGCTAACGCAGTGACAGTTCTGACAGTTGAAATGGCTATCTGGAGCGCGCGCTCAGTATAAAAACAAACATCATTGCTGTTTTCTTTTTTTCCTATTTTTATTCAATTATGTGATTCAAGGAAAATCCATTACCTGACTCGTGAATTCCAGGTTAAATTACACTTGATAACCAATATCGCACTCATCGCGATATCGGTTCTCGCGTACAATTTAATAATAACCTTTATTTTAAGAGGGTGACACCAATTACTATGAAGTCTTCTCCCTAGTAGCCCTCAAAATTTAACGCGGAATTCCATCGACAGGTAATGAACCTTCCTATTATATGCAACATCGTTCCAAGGGTGCTGGCCTACCCGTCCTGGAAAGAGAACCTGGGAACGATGTTGCTTAATATGTCCTCTTTGTTCATTTAACAATCCAACTCTACTTATATTTTCTAAATAATTATATAACTCAATTTCTTTGAATCAAAATAAACCATAACTATGTTTTCATTGCCTTGTCTTCCTATTTTTTAGGAAATTTTTTATGTTGTATTATTCTTCTTTTTTCCTGTATTCTAATTTATATAGTGTAGTTTATTTTGGAAAATCGCGTCTTTCCTCTGTTATGTCAACTCAAATTTTTTCTATTTTTGATAATTTTTTGCAGGAAAATGGGACCAGATTGATGGCGTTGCTTACATTTACGGCGAACGAAACTGGTGGGATCGATTTTACGATAATTACATTCGAAGGAAAGAAACCGCGGAAAATCGGACACAAGCACTTTTGACGCACTTGCCAAAGTGGAAAGGGTTTCTGTTAAATGAACCTGTAGAAAAGATGACAGCTACAGAGGCGTTGGTGGAGCTAGATAGAGTTGTTAGTTGCCTGTTTACCAGCGTATTTGTTCAAGAAGGTCATTTTAATCCTGAAAAAAAGAGACCAAACGACATCAATATTGAAACGGTGGGTATTTGCTGAGATTGTTTGAAACTGGACCTTTTAACTCCAACTACGATAGACTTTTAAGAAGACTACAGATGTTTTTATTCATAATTTAACATTTCTTTTTACATTTAAGGTCCTAAGCGAGCTCCTGCAACCAAAACTGAAGGATAACAGTACTGTTTTGGCTCAGAGCAAAATGGATTTGATTGGGCGGGCTTCAGCACTCGTTTCCTCTCTTGCAATTGTGCTGCTTGTAAAGAAATATGGTATCGATTTACCAGGAGAAGACAAGCTCTTGCTGTTGAAGTGCTTGACCCTTGAAGTTGATCCTTCCGCTAAAAGATGTACCGCTTATGAAGTTGTTTTGGAAGAGTTTAGTGAAGGACTCAGGGCGTAAGTGTAATCAGGCGTTAACCTGTTTTATTTGACCTTGAGTGTTAATCTGTATTCAATAACAGGTGGCAACCTTCTTTGGAATTATTTCCTCTTACTAGGGTGAGCGACATACTGAAATTTAATGAAGCTTCTTCTAAAAGCGCTGACGTAGTTTCCGCGCCGATTTCCCACAGTGTATACAGTGGACAAAAGGGCTAACAACTTATGGACGATTACTAATACTGTAGACACTAATGAAAAACAACCAAAAAACGTCTATCAGCAAGTGTAATTTTTTAAACGACGTTAACGAACTCTTAAGTAGCTGCCTGGATTTCGATCATTTCGTAGCGGTATTACTGTCTCCATCAATCAAACCGTGAGAAATGGCTCAGATAATGTAAAATCTGCTTTCAAAGGACTGGCAGCATTAATTCTTTTTGAGGCGTCCAGATTCGTTTTTGTCCAGTTTATCTGCGAAACGTCTTCGAAGGAACAATGTGCATGGTTTCATACATCGTAAAGACGTTATTTGCATTTCAAAACCAATATAGTAAAGAATCTTACCAATTGATTGACTGACCTTTGCCGGACAAATGATAAGCAAATGCACTCGCCTTCTAAATGTTGAGGTGACAATATTATTGTTTTCTTTGTTTGCAGTCGCGCTGCTGAGGGAATTGAGGACCTTTGCAATGAAGTCATGGCAAATGCGTGGAAAGCAGATAGGGAATGGGTATTTGCCATACCTTTGCTGCATTTCTTAAGAGAGGATTCCAAACCTTTTGAAGAACCAGACATTGCAGGGTCTTACAACAAACTCGAATGGATTGGCGCCCAGAAACTGAGAATAAGAGAGTTTCAGCGATGGGAGAGACAGTAAGAACATTTCACAATACCAGCGATAAAAACTGCCATGTCCCCCCCGTAGTAATCATTTATTTTGGACATCCTGCCTTCCGGCAATATGTTTTTTATGGGCTTTTACGACGTGGTGATGAGTCTACTGAAATAAGCTTTTCTTAATGTGAAGATCGTAATATCTTGTTACTATTTGTTGTAAATTAACCTAGATCAACTTTGTTTCTGATGCAGAAATTTATGGAATGCCTTACCTCAGTTGGTTTCATCCTTTGAACTTGACCGCCTGTTTAAGAGAACGTTTTTAAACGCCATCCCCGTTTGGGAGCTACATAAGGTTGTGGATATCAAAATGTTCCACGTTTCCGATATTTGTGTGGCCTTGGTAACTTTCTGTCAGCGTGAAAGTGTTCCTATGGAAAAGGTAGAGAAATCATTCTTGGATACTTTATAAAGTAGGACGCTTTCTAAATGCCAGAGCATTGGCCCTGGCTTTACCAATCATTTATGGAAAGAAATACAGGGTTCAAGAAATGTCCCTTCCGATCATCCGGGGCAAAAATGAGAAAGATTTTCCTGGCCCCGTTGGTGGATTCCCTTTGGATTCCCTCGCAAAAAAGTGGATTCGCTTAATTACATATGCAGGATTCCCTCGCGAAAAAGTGCGTTCCTCCATACGAATTAGGGTCTTCCTGCATACTAATAACTGTCTTCCTCCATATGTAATGAGCGTCTCTCTACTACAATAGGCACAATAGGCTTTCCCGGTCTCTTTTAACACTGATTGGCTCATGTAGAATCTATTATGTGTTCAAAATTAAAGCGGGCAGTTTTTGAACGCGCTATCGTTCTTGCAATCGCTTTGCTAAAGGAAACAATTTGTTCGAGTTCGTTTTTTTGGAAAATTCTGTTCACTTTTTATCACCATGGCTTTCGTTACCATAGCTTTTCTTTTTGTTATTTTCTCTCCTCCTTCTCCTCCTCCACATTTTTATTGCTTTCCCTCCTCCTCCTCCTCATTTTTTGATTTCCCTTCTCCTCCCCCTCATTTTTTATTGTCTTTCCCTCCTCCTCCACATTTCCATAGTTTTCTTTCCTCCTCCTCCTCATTTCTATTGTTTTCCCTCCACCACCACATTTCTATTGTTTTCACTCTTCCACAAGTTTTACTACTTTCCTTCCTCCTCCTCCTCATTTTCATTGTTTTTCCTTCTCCTCCTCCTCATTTTTTAGTCTTTCCCTCCTCCTCCTCTTTTTTTGTTTCCTCCTCCTCCTCATTTCTATTGTATTCCCTCCACCACCACATTTCTATTGTTTTCACTCTTACAGAATTTTTACTGTTTTCCGTCCTCCTCTTCCTCCTCATTTTTATTGTTTTCCCTTCTCCTACTCATTTTTTATTGTCTTTCCCTCCTGCTCATTTTTTTGTTTCCTCCTCCTCCTCCTCCACCTCCGCATTGCCATAGTTTTCTTTCCTCCTCCTCCTCCACCTCCGCATTGCCATAGTTTTCTTTCCTCCTCCTCCTCCTCATTTCTATTGTTTTCCCTCAACCACTACATTTCTATTGTTTCACTTTTCCACAATTTTTACTGTTTTCCCTCCTCCTCCTCATCATCATTTTTATTGTTTTTTCCTCCTCCTCCTCCTCCTCAATTTTATTGCGTTTCCTTCCTTCTCCTCCTTCTCCACATTTCCATTGTTTTCCCTCCGCCTCCTTCTCATTTCTATTGTTTTCTTTCCACCACCCCTATCACATTTCTATTGTTTTCTATCCTCCTCCTACTCGTTTCTATTTTTTTCCTCCACGACTGTCAATAAAAGACTGCAAACTGCCATCATAAGTTTATTTTGTAGTAATGTATCGTGGTTTTCTTCAGCTGTAAGCTGATTGCCTGTTTATCAGCGCCAGTTTCTTTTAAAAACAGCCACTCCACAGCAAATTCATGCACTAGTCCTGTACAATATACTTCAAGTCTTATAAAATATACTTATGGGACACATTTCCATCCCCGAAGAAAATAAGCGGATGTTGCTGTCATATAAGGATGCTTAACTTGACCTGGCCAGACCAAATGTCCCTTAGAAAACAAAGAAGTGAGGAGTGGTTTTATTGAAGATTTATTGGTCCCTGTTGTTTCAAGCTTAGAGATTTCTAATGCTATAAAAGAGGTGACGCATCGCTAAGTGGATGAAATGAAGAGAAGAGAAAGATAGATTTGGTTGAAGAAGAGCGTGAGACCGCGGATGACGAAAACGAAAGTTTTAGTGATGAAATCGAGGATGAAGAACCAAGAATAAAAGATGTTTGAGTCAACTTTCCCCAGCGGTGTTGGAAAAGCGTGTGTTGGAATTGCTGCATAGTATGGCCGCCCCCAAAGATATTCTTTTCTGTACTTCCCGCGGACAATTACTTCGAAATAAACGCATAATTCCTGCACAAACATCGCCAAGCTACTTGAGTATGTGTTACTCCCACATAACAATGAGGTTACCAAGCCTTATGCGCTGAATACGTTTCTAGATGAACTTGCGGAGTTAAGAATCGATGAGGGTTTAATCAAGAACAAAAAGTTCCGAAGCGATTTCGAAAATACAAACGAAATGTGCTCATGCCCCCTGGGCATCCTATAATACTTAAATCGCATTAATTTAATATGGCCGCCGCATCGGTAAAAAGCTCCATTCCGTTCGTATGCAACGGTGAGCTTGTTAACTCGCATTATTAACTGACTTGCGGCGCGTGAAACCACAAGACTTAGGGTTAGGGCTTGGGGTTAACGAAAGCCATGGTGATAAAAAGTGAACAGAATTTTCCAAAAACTCGAACAAATTGTTTCGTATAGCAAAGCGATTGCAAGAACGATTGCGCGTTCAAAAACTGCCCGCTTTTATTTTGAACAGATAATAGATTCTACATGAGCCAATTAGGGTTAAAAGAGACCGGGCAAGCCTACTGTGCCTATTGTAGTAGAGAGACGCTCGTTACATATGGAGGAAGACAGTTATTAGTATGCAGGAAGACCCTCATTAGTATGGAAGAACGCACTTTTTCGCGAGGGAATCCTGCATATGTGGTGAAGGGAATCCACTTTTTGCGAGGGAATCCTGCATATGTAATGAAGAGAATCCACTTTTTTGCGAGGGAATCCAAAGGGAATCCACCAACGGGGCCTAATTTTCAACATAGTACACTACTTCAGTTGTTCAATGGGCCGGCAAGGTCCCAGAAAAGTTCTCTCTTAATCTATTCATTTTTTTCGAAGCCCTGAAATAGGCTGTGCTAAAACCATTTCAGTGTCTTGCATAGTGGTACTATCTACAAATTGGCTGGAAGGCTCTGATTGATAGTGGAAATGTTGAATGGTTTGGTCTTGCCAGTCAGTTCTGGGTAATGTTAAGCGCCCCTGGATTAGATTGCTTAGTTGCATTGGTGCCTAATTACTGGCGAAAAGAAGAAAATGATGACGTTCATGAAGGAGTTGTCTACTCCCAGTTCTCTTAGAGGCCACTCAAATGCACTTGTGGCTGCGCTTGTTGATGGGTCGGTCGGTGTTCTGTCGAATTTCTCCGTGGGACGGTTTAGGGAATGAGGTTTGGCCCAATGAGAGCCAATAAGAGAAGCGAGATTTTCGCCCAAATAGCCCATAACTATGCAAACCGATTGAACCTGAGCCAGTCTCACACGTAACTTCAAAATGGTAAACAACGGATTTCATTTCATTTAGTGGATGGATGTAGCGAAGTGCATACAGCTGGTGATCAAGCAGATGGAGGAGGAACATGAAACGGCCGAGTAAGTTTTTCTAATAACTTTTCTTTCTACGAATGGCAGTAGGTGTCAACAGTTTCCTTTTCCTCTACCAGGGCGCCACTGAGTTTAATGTCGTGTAACAACTGCGTTGCTTAGTGGAGGTGGGTGCCCCTAGCCATGAGCCCCCACGCCAAGCCGAAAGGACCTCGAAGCTAAACACTAAGCTCGGAGAGAAGGGGCTCATGGCTGGGAAAAGCCTGAGCCTTTATACGCCAAGCTCGGAGTCACCCGCGTACACTGAGAATGTAGAAACATACAACGGCTAAACAAGACCCGAGTGCCAAACGTACAGCGCCAACGCCCCATAAACGCTACAAATGTTGTAAGACAAAAAAGAATGATCCAAAGGCTAAACGAAGAGAGTGGCCGCCAGGAAAATGCTGTACTGAGCACATGGAGGTGACGCAAGAAAGGCTGACCGCGCTTGAGCCAAACGACTGACCGCTGACCACGCCCACGCTCCTTGTTAACTATGTTAAGTAAATTTAACTTCATTAAACATGCACCTTTTTCCCTAGTTCGATAGGCACTCGGGCGCTTATTTAAGATTTAGGCCAAAAGAGGGGGCGCTTATATATAGAAGTTTGGTTAATTGTAAATACGAACTATAGGAGACCATGGAATTATTTGTATACCTTGGAAAGTTTTCGGGGCGTAACGTAGAAGCAACTTTATTATGTACATTCTGGGATACACGTGTGCTCACTGTAAAGCCATGTCCTTAGGAAGTTTCATATGCAATTGAGATTTAGCCAGAGATGCATTTTTTTTTCACACAGGTAACAGAAATCGTTCGCCTGTTCGTTCCGCGAACGATTTCTATTTAATCGTTGCGCTCCCGCTTAATTTCAAATATGTCCACATTCGACTGGTAATAACCGTACGTACGCACCTTCCGTGTGGTATTTTTCCTATAGTTTTAATTATATTGTTGTCAATACTGAGTCTTGAGATAGGTGGGCTTGTACGAAGTAGTTGGAGATTTAAAAGGCTTATTTTACTGGTCCGCGTAGACATTCTTGCAGACATCATTGGAAACTAACGTACACATGAACACGCATGTAAATTCTCCTGCACATAGCAATGGAAATTCTGTGCTGGTTGCGTCAGTAGTGTGAATCACTAGTTATGATACGTACTGACGAAAGGAAACTGACAAGACAAGACAATATTTTATTTGGATCTTGTACCACCTGGTACATCGACAGTTTTCCAAATAACTTAAAGTTACAATCTTCTCTTCGTCTTTTTCTTGTATCCTTTAACAGGAGCAGTTACAAGACCCTTGAGTTTACTACTTCAATTTGTTTAAAACTGCTGGAGATTTGCGTCAAAAAGTTGAACTTTCGGGATCAACTGGAAATTGTTTGCTTGTTGATAAGGTTGTTATTGACAAGCATCCAGAGGCAACGAAAAGGAATGGCAGAAAGTTCCAGTGAAGTGGAGAACAAAACGGAGGAAGGAGCAGTTATCAATAAGCTATTGAAGATACTCAGAAACGAGCTGATGTGTGTACTCCCTCCAAGCATGAATTACCATTACAGGAGCGATAGCTTACTTAGAGAACTTCAGGTAAATACGAAATACTGGTGGGTGGTCTCGTGCACAAAAATGGGAATGTTCCAGAAAACATTATTTTAGTTCTAGAAATACGTTTTCGCAAAAATCTCGCGAAGCTAAAAGGGTCAGCAGTGAGAATAGAGACCTTTAGATTCCAGGACGAGTACGACTACGAGTACGAGATTTTCTCAATACTAAGTAGTGTACGCGCGTGAACCAGCGTCATCTTGGCGGGAAAACGTGGTAGCCGTCGTTATTCTACTACGAGTTTTCGCGCGAATGTCGTGGTGGCGAAAACAAGATATCAACTGTTAGAAGTTTTATTATTTTGCGATCGGGAGAGCGCGTATAACCTCCTTAACTAAAGATAACAATGCTAACTTTTCTAGTGGAAAATGGTAAAATAAAGCTTTCCGGGGAGTCTATATTTTGAGAATACGCGAAAAAACTTTAAATCAAATCTCGTACTCGTAGTCGTCCTCGTCCTCGAATCTAAAGGTCTCCAATAAAAAGTAAAAAGCCAAAGGGTAAAAAAACGATGAAAGAAAAAAAAAATCGGAAGTTGCCATGGGGGGATTTGAACCCGCATCCCAACTTCCTCCAGCGAAAAAAGTGCGGCCTCTAACCAGTGGGCCATGCGATCGGTACGCCGTTTTTCTTCAAAATTAATAATTTGAAGTATCTTTATCTGCCATCCACACTGTTTGAACCTTATGGAGCTGTATTTATCATGAATATTCAAAGATACATTAGAGGAAAAATAGCTCAAACGAGTATTCAAAACCATTTCGCATTATCTCCGTGTTTATTCACTCTCGGGCTTTACTGTAGGCCACTCGATTAACGGACTGGTCTTCTTCTTCGCTGCTTTCGCTGAAGTTCAGGTCACCGTTCTTTCGGTGTTAAACCTTCCACGGCAAGGATTTCCAGCCACCTGTCCAGTCGGGCACTGTTGTGTTTGCAACCCGCGGTTATTTGCCTCAGAAATAGTTTGCGATTTGCCAACGTACAATAAAAGGAGGATGAATAAAATGAACCCAAGTCTCTGCACGTGTTGCCTGGAAACCCAAAATGCACGATGACGTCATGTTGAATATGGCGTCTTTAGGATTTGTTTATGGCTTGTTGCTAGGCAACTGCGGATACCAAACCGATAGAAAGATTTATGACCAAAGCGAAATCGCTGTTCGCTTGTGATCCTCGCGTGATACGCGCGCTGGGCGCGCGACAAATTTATAAACTCGCTCCGCGAGAACTAGACATTTTTTTAATCTGACCCCCAAAACATTCACATTACATCAAGGGTCACGTTGGCTAACGATGAACCAGCGTGAAAAGTTACTCTAGTTACTCTCAACTAGTTGAACATCCAAGATAGTCCATCCAGGATGTAAACCCAAGAATTCTCTGCATCTCTGTTCTAGCATTTTTGGAAATTCTTGTGCGGTGTCATGTGCAAGAAAAAGCCGTAAAAAGTGAAGCCCGTAGTAGGGCTAAAGCAGTTGGGTGGGGTGGGGAAGGCAGAGAAACAGACAACTGAACTAAACGCCACTTCCTCGAATGAAAAAATGACCTTAACAAGTAGGTCATAAATCGTACAAAGATTAATTTCAGATACAATGCAATATTTTGTGCCGACTCTATCACCGAAGGACACCTTAATGGCGACACCGGGCGTTGAAATATGCCAAAAACCGCTCTGGAATAGACGGACCCTTCCAAGGTTTTTGTAACTTTTGATATGGACCAGCAAGCGCGAATCCGACGCCACTGGAAAGAGCGCCTTAAAATTGGTTGAAATGCCAAATTTGGAAGTGACACGTTTTAAGCGAGCGAAGATATAGCTCCGAAAAGTTGCGAAAATTTACAGACGTTTGTATGGTGGGGAGGCAAGTTTGTGCCCGCCACCATACAAACGTCTAAAACTTTTTGCGACTTTGTGATGCTATAACCGTTATCTTTCAACAAATTACTTTCAAACTTGGCAAATTTTAAGGTGGATTTTCCCTTACTTGCTAATGTCAAACGTTTTAAAGAAAACTATGGAACGGTCTATTCACCAATCGCTAGCAACCACGGCGGTTCCTTAATGATTTGTTTTGTCATTAACTGCCCTCACATAATGCTTTATTAGCTGCTACAAAAATGTTCCTCAATTGGTAGAGGATTAGATGGAGCCGAAACCAGTTGTGGAACCAACTGTGAAATACTTATGACCGATTACTTTACACAGTTAATGCAGTCAGATAAATGCAGGAGTAAAAATTGTTTTTCGTGTGTCCCCTTTGAATTAAAGTTAAAGGCAAAAGATAATAAAAAAGAAATGTTAATTGACTGGGAATTGAATTGATGGTATTCAATGGCGTTTACATGATTTCAATTACTTTCTGGAGCGCGCAGCTGATGAAAACGCTCAGTCAAAGTAAATTCAACTAAATGACGAAAGCATTAGCGAAGCTGCATAACTGTCCAATCTATCCTTTGACAACTCGACTCTTAGATAGAGTACAAATCTTCCGTAAGATGCTGAATTGTCAATTTTTCTTTTAGACTTGGAGCGCTTTATTGGCGGTTGCAGATGAGAATCAAAGATTTGGCATGTATCGGGAGTACTTGATTAACGAACTGACCAATCGAGCTCGAAGGGTAAGCCTCAATTTCAAGGTACAAGATTTTCAACATAGTTTTGAACTCAGTGCTTTTCAGTGAAGATACTAACATGGTAATTCAGTGTTTCCCCTTTTTTTAATAGATGCTCATCGATACTCGCAAACGTAGTGTACTACGCTAAATTTAAATCTGCCGTAGTAACCAACACTGGATTGAGGGTAAAGCAAACTTTTAAAAAGACTGTCTTTATGAAAGTACTCGTTGGAGCAAATCGTGGTAGTCCCTCACGTGTTTATATGCAAATTCTAGCAAAGTGGCATTACGTCCCAAAATTGTATCCCTTTTCATTCAAACATGACCACTGCTTTTGGTTATAAAGGAGGTAACTCCTACGCCTTGAATTAAAGTTCATTCGGTAACTATGCTTACGGAATTTTGAAGGTAATTGTGGATTATTTCCTTCTCAGGTAGAGGAAAAGTATCTCGTTGAGATATTTTGCGAAGTGCAAATGGATGACTTAGACAAAGCTGTTGGAGAAACGTTTACTAAACTTGCCTTTGAAGGAGTTGAAAAGATAATTAATGTAAGTTTGTTCAAGAAAATGTAAATATTTCTTCGGAGGGGAGAGTGATAGGACTAGTGTCGAGTAGGATGAAATAATTTATTGTAGTGGCGTACGTAGTATAGTAAATCGCAGTTCATGTTTATATATTTCGTTGGGAATGCCAAGGACTGTCCTTTAGCTGCCTAGTTTCTCTCTCTTTGAGCACAGATTTATTTCTATTTTTTTTGGAATGCAGCAAGCTTGAAGCAGTTCACACACTTTATTATTATTAACAATCTACATTTACATAAAGTCCATTTCCGCCCGCAAGTAGCAGGTGCTAATCGAGGCGGGCGTTCCCAAGTTGCTTTCATAAAAATGCACGTCGCTCACAGTGAGGTAACAGTGCATTTGCAATGAGAACTCTTTGGTATAAATATGCTTGAATGAAATACTTATTGAGATTTCTTTGTGAATTGATTCTAGTCACAGAAAAAAGGTGATGCCCACCGAGCTTTCCTAACGCTGAGTTCGAGCGCTCGAGGAGGTGCCTCGAAAGCTGGAAAATATGGTCAACTTTTATCTATTTTGCTTACAAAGTCCTGGCCCAAGGAGAATGGTGGAACAGTCACAGTTGGTTTGGACAGGCGCACTGTTGAATTTCTTCTCACTTGGAATCCGATGACTGGATACCTCAAATTCTTTGGTATTTATAACTGTGTTGAAAATTTGATGCTTAGTTTTTTTGAAAATAGAAAATGAGATATTTCATTTTTTTTTTACAGGAGATGGCTCTGAAAGAGGTGCAATTCTGACAGATGAAGGACAGGAAACATTATCTATGGCTAAATCCCTGCTGGAAGCACTGATAGATGATATATCAAATGCGTCAGTCACCGTCGAAATCTTACTCCTTTTGAAGGATTTCAAGCAAAAATTTGTAGAACTTGTCAAAACTACTACGCCAGTAGTTACAGAGGAAGAAGGCCGGAAAATTGCCACAAACGAGAGAATTGAACAGATCCTTAATGAAAGAATTGAAGAAATCGATGAATTCCAAGCTGTTAAAGTAAGAGTGTTGTCTTTTGCCAGGATGTGTGACTTGATTCCACCAGGTAAGATCTGTAAGAAAGGTCAGCTTTGCAGTTTTTCCGCGATTTGTGCGTTCCCCCGGTTGATTTCCTCATTATAATCTCTTTATCTGTGATTGTGATGATGAGATGATGATGATGTTTTTTAATCTCTGTTTATTCATCGGGCAATCAAAGGCTAAGTTGTAAATAACTATTTTGCTAACACCTATGATTTTTAAAAGACCGGTTTGCTGTCTTAGGAAAGAGAGTGATTGTTAAGCCATGGCTTTTTAGGTGTGGAAGCTGTTTTACCGTTTGGTTCGCATTGTGTAAGGAAGTTTCGTGAAAGGTGTCTGTTTTCTTTGTGTTCAGTGCTATGGTAAAACATTTTTCTTAAATAATCGTATTTCCAGGATATTATCAACGGTATGGATAATACAATTAGCTATACTTCCAAACCGTCTTAACCTGAAAACAAGACATCACTTATTAAGTGCCTTACGTACTAAAACCTGTCTGATTGTGATCGCCATCCATGGGTTCACAAGATTTACAAACCTCAATCAGTTTTCTTTCGGGTTTTAATAATAGTAAAGTTGCGGTATGTTCTTTGTGCGAGCAGTATTTTGGACAATATTTTAGGATAGTAGTGTAGGGCAATTTTTTGCTCTAATGGAGAAACTAAATATCTTAGAAAGTAATCTGTACTCTCAGATTCTAGCCAAGCAAAAACACAGTGACATTTAAGATGAATACTTATCTATTGTAAATTTAGTATATCTGATGGGTTTATACTGTTAATAATAAAAGTTGTTTTGCTATTTTAGTGTCTTAAAAATAGTTGCGAGGGCTACGTGTTTACTAGCATTTTAGTAGTCATGTTGATAGTGTGATTTTTGTACACAGTTAATGTCGGTGACATAAAATTCAAAGCATCCAAGGACGTCTCAACCTTTAATATTTGCGATTTATGTGAACGCAATGATAAAAAACAGATAGAAGTGAAGTTCTTTGAACTACCTCAGCTTGTGAAAGACATCTTGTTGCCACTTCACAAAGTCCAGGAGAGTTCAACTTTTCAAAAGCTCTGGGTACAGTATGGAAAGAAAGCCCAATGCGCAAGAGCAAATGACGAATCAAAGAAACGAGACCTTAGCATATTGAATGTGGTGGAAATTGTCTGGAAACCAGCGTACGAGGCGTGGACGCAACTGGTAGAGGATGCTTTAGATGGTTCATTGACACTAATGGGCGTAGACAAATTCTTTGAGGGCTACAAGAATCGGAGAGAAGAGCTTGTGAAAGAACTGCGTCGCATCTTCGTTCTTGGCCAAGATTCGGGTGACACCACTCAGTTGAAAAAAATAGCCGAAAAGCGTGTATCTCAAATTCACCGATACCAACAGCTTGATCAGTATTTCATGGCGGCAGAGACAATCTGGGATTTTAAGGAGTCAATGGGTTTCACTGGTGATTTCAAGGTTATCGAGGATGTACGTAATCAAGTAAGTACATGTATCTCAGGAAACATAAATCATAATGGGTCGTTTGCAGATGCCGGCTATTCGTCGATTTAGTTTTCTTAACATTACAGAGATTGCCTTCACACTGGTTGATGTCTCATGTACGTTGTAAGTGGTCATAGTTAATAAGACTTGATCAGTTTAAAACTGAGGTCCAGCTGTCATCTCTTGTCCCTTTTTACAACTTCTTTTATGCGAATATACCCAACCACAGGCTGGCAAAAAGTTTTTCATTTTAGAAAGGACCTGTGTCAGATTAGGTCAGGCTGCTTTTGTAGGACGAACTGGAAAAGTTGTTAGATATTTGTTGACTTCTTTAATTACTCCGCTGATCGTCAGCTATAAAATAATAGTCGCTAGTACTGATTTGTCGGTAATACAGATATGGTCTGTACGTTTTCGCAACTTTTGTCAGTTTTTAAAGATCGAGGATCGAATGAAACACTCGGTAAGATTGAAGAGCAAGAAAGTTAACAAGAAAACGCGAACCAACTCTTCAAGAGAACTTTCTTTTAAAACAGAATTCCTTATTTATGGAATAACTCCCGCGACAACCTTAGCACTGAAGACCTGAGCCTGTCATGCTTCAAAAAACATTGCAGAGATTTTTATAAGAATAGGATAAAGGGGCTTTGATCCTGACCGCCCACATGTAACTTGGCCATGAAATCATAACAATTAACAATTTGTATGTGTTACTTTTCTGACAATTTCTTTTTCTTTCTTTTTTTACAATGTAATCTAATTTTAAATTGAGTGGACTAACCCATATGGTTCTTCGGTTCCCTTCTAGTCCTTTCCCGCTGCTAACATGTGTATTTACTATGTTGTATGCAATAAAAAAATGGATTAAGCGGATTTCTAGATGTATCCGACGCGTGCATTTGATTTCGGGTTTAAGTTCTGTATTGTATGGTAGGGGAATAGATTGCAAGGTTCTTTCCCCCATCATACAAACGTCTGTTAATTTCGCGATGTCAGTTTTCTTTGAATGGAAATATATGAAGGCTTTTTGAACTGCGGATAAAGATATGAAAGTGAAAGTGATCCTCCAGCGTTGCATCTGGTCATCGCAAAGATCAGGGTTTGATTCCCGGTCAAGCCTTAATTTTTTCAGGTTCTGATGAGGATACGGGATTAGCAGTGTATCCCAGTTTCCCAGTGTTGCTGTCGTTGTGTTTTATAGTTGTTGTTTCTCTTAAATCTAGCTGTCAACCGAGTTTAAGCAAAGGCAACTTAACAGCATTGGGAAAGAATTTGCTGATGCTGGAAGAGCCCTAAAGGGTTTAGATGTTGATAAAGCCGGATGCTTCAAAGCAGTGGTAGAAAGCATGCGGCTGGTGGAGTGGCTGCGAAAAACGATCACATGTATGTGCTAACATAGATTTATATGAGTAAACTTAGGGTGGTTTTCTTTGACCATGAAGTCATCACGCGTGAACAAAACGAAATCAACAAAGGAAGAAGAATGTAAGTATTCGGTTCGCTTACCGAAAACATGCAAAAGGGCGTGGCTCCTACAGATGACAATTGATGGCCAGCTGTGAAAGGTGTGAAACAAATCGAAAATGATCAGCTTCACACCGATCTTTAATTTTATTACATTTGGTGTCTTAGGCAGGACAGTCTGTAGTATCGAAGGTTATATACAAAATATCTGGTTAAATTTTTAAAAACTCGGTCCAGCGACCTGAATTTTCTGGAAATGTGTGTTAACTGTCACAGACGTATTCTTGAACATTTTGAAATATTCGTACGGTTTTCAAGCAAGGTGTCATAAATTGTTCTAATCTAGCCGTCCGTTTCGTCTGAATTTTGTCACTGGTGTGGTAAGTTTAGGTGCATTGGCGCCCAAATAAGGCGAAGTTTCATGCAAGCGATAACGTATATTTGAGTGCTCTAAATAGTAAGTACTATTATAATACAGTCGAACCTGTCCCGTGAGCGACCAGCTGAAATTGAAAGATTGAGTAGTCCCTAACGGGAGGTTGTCGCTTACAAGTATCAAATGGCAGGAGCCTTTCCAGAAGAGGTCCCGGCTGAGACATGTACTTTTTGGTAAGAATTTGTTAATTGCAAGTTCTTAAATGCGATATGTGTTAAGTTCTTTGCATACCCTTATTTACGTAGTAAAAACTGCGAATGTAGAGATCAGACAAAGAGTCAAGTGATCGCCTACAAGTGGTTAATGGAAAATTACAATGGAAAATTGCAAACGATCACTCTAAAAAGTGGTAACGGTTACTAGAGGTTCGAACTATATAGCTTTCATTTTGATAGGTGGTCGCCTATGGCTGGTGGTTGCATACTTGAGGTGGTCGCTTACGGAGGTTTAACTGAAGTAGTACTGCTAGGCTTTACCGTTATTCACAGCTTTGTGTCATCTTTTATGCAACTATTTACTAATTTGGATTGAATGTTTGGTATTTTTGTAGCCCCACAGGAGCTTAAAGTTCTTGTGGACCTAGCACTGATCACAGCCGGTGAAAGCGACATGGAAACTGATCGCATATCTAGTCTCCATACAAGCTGCTTGGGTTTTGCTCCTTTGATTTTTGACCTCAAAGAAACTAAAGACCACAAGGTTAGCTTTGACCAGCTGATGAAGGCTTGTGATCCAGTCTGGAAAGCTGTCGAGGCGGATAAAACATTGCCAAAGAAACTGGTATGAGGAGATGCATGATTTTCTTTTGATAAGTCTTTTTTGTCCCTCTAGCTAACTCCTTAACCTGACTCAGGATAGAACCTTAGAGTCCATTGAAGGCAAGGAGACCGATTACATCGTCAAGATGTAAAGACCGTGTAGCATCGAATGTTCTTTTTCCTGAAGACATGGGCATCAAAACCTCTATTTAATTTAACAGCACCTTTTTAGTTATTCTTCTCTTACACGATCACGATCGACAAGTTATTGATACTCTTGTTATAACACCAATTACCCTGTTATTCTACCTTTTATTTGTAGAAAGACACTAGTCGCCATTTGGAATGGCTTAAGACTGTTAAGGAATCTCATGGATCGGTTGCTATGACGTCATTGGCACAGGCTAAGACAATCAACAGTAATGGTGTATACCTTGTGGGCTCTGTGGGTTCTGAGGAAGGCCCTGCAATGCAAAGTGAAGGCCGTCCTTGTTTGGAAGGTGTTGTTCGCCTCACGGTTCCTTTAAGAGATGAGGAAGGAAATGATGAAAGTAAGATTTACTCTCTTGATGAACTGAAAGATTTGCAGAGCAAACTGATGCTGATTGCCGGGAAAGCCGAAAAAGGGAAAGATGACGTGGAAACGTTTGTCAAGGTGTGTATAAAAATTATTTCCAACTTTAAAATGTGTGTGTTATTTTTATGGCTATTGATATATCGTTTATGAAAGAGATGTTGTGTTTTGTGATAATAGTTTCGTGTCGTGGCCTTGGGTTATCATGGCGTGCACTCTTAACATTAAGTTCTTAGAGTATAAGTTGGTACTTACCTGGAAAATTTCAACTGATTGTAACCAAGTGCTAATTGGGAAAAAAAAAACGTTTTATACTTTAATTTTTACGAGTCACCTAAACTTGTCATTCTAGAATCTTGAAGGCGTCATGCGTCTAGCAACGGCTTACTTAAACCTTTCGGAGTCTGGTTTTGTTCATCGCATGCACTGGAATCAGGAATTCCACTGCAGTAAAGATCAACGTGAAGGTGAATCTATTTCCAAGGAACTGGCAATGGCAAGCACGGCAATGGAGAATTGTTACTTGAACTGGAAAAAGAAAGTCAGTGACACACGAAAAGAATATCAAGAATTAAATTTCTTTACCACTCAGCAAATGATGCTGCTCAGGAGAAAAATCGCGATAGCTTGTCGTCGAAGTGACCTACACGTTGATAATCTCCAGATTTTGACCCTACTGGAAAGTGTTCGTACCAATGTAGACACCGAGCTCTTAAAAGCGGCAATCCAGCGTGCATTTAAAGACACAGGCTTGTTAGACCAAATAAAAGGAATGGAGGATCTTCCCTCCTTTTCTTTGACTCCCTCTCAAGAGAAGTTTGATACAAGCACGTCATTGTTTGAGAACAATAACTACGTTGACAGGAGCCTTTCTACAGGAGTCACTTCACCTCAAGTTCAGAGTGCTTCCATCAAAAAAGAGAAGCCAAAAGACGTGTCAAAGATCCAGCGTTTTCTCAACGCAGCAGAAGATGAGGGATACTCGGAGCAAGTCGCGTTGTCTGCTTTAGCGAGTTTGGGTGTAGATGCAGAAGAAGATGACTTGCTACTTTGGTGTTTAGAAGAATCTGATGACGCTGACCTGGAGTCTCTTTATGAAGAGGCAATGGCTAACCCTCTCGTCGTGAGAGAAATTTATCCTCAAGAAGTACTCGATGTTCAAGAAATACAACTTGGGGAAGCGAGGTATGATTCAGTTACAGTGATTTTAACTTTGATTCAGTTTTTCCATAAGAGGTACAGTTTACTGTACAACCAAAACTACCGTGAGTTGTTTGCTCACTAAGTTTCTGAAAGAGTCGCTGCGTCTACTCCAGCAACAAATGGCGCCCAAGAAACGACTTACTCAGGTCTGACTAATTATACACCTACAGTATTCATATGACAAATGACCGATCGAAACGCATTATTTACGTATCGGTTTAGTTTATTATCAACCGCTTGCATTTTACAGGTTACCTGTGCTGTATGAAAAATCCACAAGAAATATTCTAAATATATTTGACGTTTAAAAAACTCACGCAATCTGTTGGTGTTTCATGTCATTAAGAGCTCCTCCAAGCCGTAAATAATTCAGACAGAAAAACAAAAGAAGATGAATGTCAGTTGTCTAATGAGTGTTTGGAAAACAAAAAAAAGCATCCCATCTCTACGTCTTACGTAGCGGGTTATTTTCCCACTCTCTACTTAGTTATTGATCATTTGTTGAGACTATGTGTCTTTTGCCTGATACATTACTTCATGATCATAGGGATATTAAAGGCGTTTCTGCTATATAACAGGATAGGGCAGGTAAATCTGTCTTTACTTAGAAAGCGAATGTTTCTCAGGCCAGCTTTCTGCGAGCCCCCAAGGTTGTAATGTTGGAAAGAACGCGTTTTTGGACGTTTTTAAGTAACTGACAAACACTGACGACGCATATGTTATAAGTCAAAAATATATTCAGGTGGAAATTTCTCAACCTAGGTTGATTCTTAATTTCCTTTCTCTCCTAGCCCTTATTATTCATAAATTAGGGCTCGTAGACAAAGGAAATTAAGAATCAACCAAGGTTAAAAAATTTTAACATTTATATATAAACTATAACACATATATTACCATAGGTATCGTTAATATGGACCCAAAACACCTTACAAAGACCCTTAAGCTCCTCAGAGCATAAATCCTGCACTTGGCGTACTTTATTCTTGCTTGAACTTGAACTTTTTGTGGATTAAAGTATTAAAACCGAATTGGTATTCCTTTACTTTAGGTGGCATTAGTTATAAAAATAGTGGTTTTAGTAATCATCCAGGTAAGCTGGAAAGCATTTTCTTTTGTTATACGGCAGTGTGCTTTCCGCACATAGGAATGTTCTCATTTTTACACGGAGAATGCTTAAATCTACTGAAAGGCTGTTTACGTGATAAAATGTATTTAGACTCCATTTTGGAAAAGGGTGCTCTTTTGTGTTAAAAGATTTTGACCAATCATAGGAGTTGCACACAATAGCCAAGAAAAGTTGACAATTTTACATGTTACCCACATGGGATTTCTGTGTTATTCAGACTGACACGAGATTTTGTTATATAGGAGTTGCTTGGAAAAGTAAGGATAAATATATATACTGCTTTATGAAGTTTTCTTAACTTTTGCTGTTTAAACGAATCAGAAGGAGAGTACAGAGAATAGTAAAGGTAGCATCTTTTTGCATTCCAGCATGTTCGAAGCCGTTGTTGCTTTCTTTCTTTTCTGGGCCGTAACTTAATGCTTGATTAGCGGTTTCAATGCACATCTTTAATCTACCTATAGTGGAGCTCTAAGGCAGTCTGAAAACGCCGTTGAGAAATCACCCATGCCTGCTGGAAGTATAACTGATGAAGGAGGAGACATGAATGAGGATAACGAAACTGAGATCAGCGAGTATCTTACTCTTGCCCAGCTGGGAAGTATCCTAAGAGAATTAGCAGTAAAGGGTAAGATATAATGTCAGCTGATAATATTGCTTTGCTTTTCTTGTGCACTTTTGTTTCGATCACAGATTCATACCATTTAAAAGTATACATTATATTATTTGGACTTCCAGCGTGAGATCGTGATGGAACATCCTTTAGTTTCTTTACAGTGCCCCCTAGCATGACGTCGTTTAAGTTTTGGGCTTAAAACAAATGATAACTGGTTGTCTTTGGTGTGACTTCCAATTTCAGGTAAAGGAACCAAACCTCGTGTCTTTCCAGCTTTCCTAAAACGAGGAAGACCCAACCTCATGCTTGTTCCTAAAGGTAGGACTAGGTGCAAGTGCCTGGAGACTGTTTGCTTAATAACGTCTTCGTATTCCTTTGGTGAAATAGTTTATCATCCTCGTCTGGTTATTGTAGTCTAAATATGCCTGTTCAAGAAACGAAACAAATCGTCGTTTTCATTAATGTCTTATGTGCGTGCTCAAGAAGTGCTTATCAAGGACACAGGGCCAGGGCTGAGTATGAAACAATGCTCCACTTCGTAATCATCTTGGTCTTTCTCGCAGCGTCATTATGTTTCAATTGGGCTGTTTGTGTAGGAAACTGTAGTGCAGAAGTAAAGAAATAAAGCTCATATTGAACACATATTTACACACGTTTGTAGGTGACGTTCTTGCCACTGTCCTCGCACTGTATATGCATGACAAACATCAGCCCTTACCAAGCCACGAGGAAGTGCTTATTTGTACTCCTGAAACTACAGCCGAAGAGGTGAGTGTTTTGCAAGTAGTTCAATGTGTATACTACTTTCCTTTTTACTCTGTAGATACCCACCATTAAACTCAAAGTAGAACTGCAAACGGTCGAGTAAGCCAAAGCGCGATGACTACAACACCATTCTGGGCAAGACTTTCTGTAGAAAAATGTACACCCAAGTCAGCAGGTTCCTACTAGAGTACTAGACGCACATTTTCCAGTTGCAATTTACAAATTATTAATCACCAGTGGGTCTCCTCCTACCTATTAGATTCACAATTTCCAGCTCCAGTTCAAAAAATGCTAATCATTAATCAATTGTTTGGTCCTTCCTTTTGGGTTAATGAAAGCACCTCAAGCCTTTACAAGGCTTCTGAAGTCAGAAGGTTCCTACTAAGTTCAAGACGCACATACTTCAGTCCCATTTTATGAACATTAATCAGTAATCAATTACAATTGCCTGATCTCCACTGTGTAGCTGATGAAGGCACCTCAAGTCTTAACGAAGTTACTCAAAACGGTAGTTACTTTCTTAGGTACACGACGCTATTTTTCCATGGTAGTTCACAAAATACTTATTTTTAATCAATTTTCTGGTTCTTCCCTTTGGGCGAATGAAAGCACCTCAAGTTTTTACAAGGGTACTCAGGTCGTATCTAGATAATAGATGCACATTTTCACTTCTAGATCATAAAAATAATATTAATCAATTATCAATTGTCTCCTCCTCCCCATCTGGTTATTGAAGGCGCTTCAAGTCTTGACAAGGCTACTCCGGGCAGTAGCTTCCTTGCTACGTAAAGTTATTGGTAAATAGTTTACCTTAACTATGTATCTATTGTAGCTTCCATCAAAGTTGAGGCGTTACTTCTTTAATTGCATTGAAAATCCTGGGCGTTGCTATTAGCTAGACAAAGTCAATGCGCAACAAACCTTTTCTTTCCCTACGTCGTTACAATTTTTTTGGAAACAGCATTAGAAAATCACGGGGCTTAACGGAGGATGAGGCAGTGAGGGGGGGGGGGGTGGTCAGGGCTCGGGGGACTACATTTTGCTTTGGTTCTTTGATGGATAGCCTTGATGATTGTAAGCAAGTAGGTTGTAGGATAATGGTTTCTGTTCTCTTCTGTTTCGACCATACTCTTTTCATTCATATTATTTTCACATAGAGGCTACTTTCACTTAGAAAATTTTTAAACTGTCCACAAATGATAAATAACCGTCTTTCATTATTGATACACCTGTAACAGGTGACCCTAACCCTTTCCCGAACTCTTAGTTTGAGGTCACCGTTTGCTGAAACGGTATTCGTTTTAAGACTGTTTAAAAAGGATTTTTATGCGTAATTGTGAATTAATGCACAGCATGGGGCACATCTACAATGACTAAATGCGGTGTTACCAATGATGGTATCGACCGTTAAAAGTGGCATTGCCTTTTTACCAAAGAAAATAGGCGTCGCTTTGCAGCACTGGTAAATTGTAACTTCAAACGTTCTTGAGGTGGCCAAGGAACATTTAACCTTTTTTTTTTGTTCATGATGCTTTTCGGTTTAGGTAGAACTGTTGTGGAGACGAGCAATAGGAGACTTGGAAGGTGGATTTTACTGCCTGGTTCACGCTGACCAGTTGGACTTCTCTGTTAGCAAACAAGCAATTGATAAACTCGGTGTTTTGACACAAGGCCTTGCTGGTAAAATGGGTGAAAGTAAGTAGAGGTTACAAAACAAAAAATCGTTTGCAGTTTATAGTAGTAATCAATATGGGTGCACTTAAAGATAAGCTTTAAGGCTTCAATGCTTTGTATGTGTATTAATTGTAATTTTACATCATCGCCATTTACAGACTACGGTTTGGTAGTTATGTGTAGCAGTGAAAACGAAGACCGTGCCAACATAGTAGCAGCCCTTGATCAGTATCGTGTGGCTGCTCCACCTTGCCCTTCCTCAAACGATCTTCAGAGCTACTTAAAGAAGCATTTCCGAATCCCTCCTCCACAGTATGGGTACATCAATAGAAGTAAAATTACATGGGAACCGGCGGGTACCTTGGATCCAGAAAAGTAAGCTTAAAAAATTCATTCAAGGAAATGATCATTTATTTGCGAAGGTTCTATATGCTAACTACTGCCTTTCTGGTGCTTAGGCTCTGTGTTCGAGTTGTCACTTCGAATAGAGGCGGCTTGGGAAAAACGCTGTACGTTCGTCGTCTGACAGACCAGCTGCAAAACCTGGTGAACAACGACATGGTTGTGTGCCGTGACTCAGGCATATCATTACATGTCACAGTACCACTTCATGGAAATTCTACCGACTCCTCCATGCTTGTAGATTCCCTTTTGCCTCATGCGACAAGGGCAAATGTTCCGCTTTCTCGAGTTTTTCATTTGGATGTGTCTCCTTCGGTAAGACATTAAAATTGAATATTCGTCTCGATTTTAATACTTTGATTTAGGTATATATGTCAGTTTGCAGATATGTGTAGTTTCGAACAATATTTTAGAAAACTCTGGGTGAACGGGCTTTAGTAAGTGAAGCCCTTAAACTGTTGGAACATTTACGTCTCTACATTTAGTTTTCTGGTGAAAACATATTGCTCTAATTTGGCAGTTGATAGAAACACAGTTAAAGTCAGTAATAGCTGTATGCCAACATTAAACAAAACATCGACTGCCATAGCAAATCCACTGTACAGTCACGCATGAATATGAACGAGTCTCAAAAATTGTGCAACTGCAGAAAACCTTCCGACTGCCCCATGAATAGCCTTTGCCTCAGAAAATCCATTGTATATCCAGCAACCGTAACTACAGGAGACAGCGAACCTGAGACTTACGTTGGACTAACTGAAAACACTTTTAAGACCTGCTTAGCGAACCATAGAGCATTATTTTAACAACCCTAGCGAAAGAAGGAGCACCGAGCTAAGTAAGCATGTATGGAACCTTAAGACAGTAATATTAGCGTCCGGGCCACCTGGAAGATTTTCAAGCAGGCTATCACCTTCAAACCCTCTTCCAAATTGTGTAATTTATGTCTATGAGAGAAATATTTTATAATCTGTAAGCCCCATGTAGCCACTCCTAACACCTGCAACAAGTTTTTAACTTCGTTTAGACACGCTGGGAAATTTCTGTTGAAAAATTTCAAGTCCTCTTTGGTTGCACAATAGAATTCATAGAAACGGGGTTGTATCCGTAGTAACTACATTTTTTAAATTTCAGTTATAATCAGCGTTCTGTTATAATCTACCATTAGGCTATCTTAGTTATCCGAAGATTGCTACACCATCGTGTAGTAAACTATATAGCAGTAAAATGCGTAATAAAATTTCTGTTGATAAAACATTGTACTTCTGGTATCCTCGCTTTAGTCCTTCATTGAGCACTCTGAAAGCAGTTCTGCATCAGCTGAAATCCAGTATTACAATATATAAACTATTATTTGACTCATTGTCTTTTTGTTTCCCTTCTAAGATGAGGCGAGGATTGGACACTCTCCTTTTTAACTTACTTGTTCTCGGTTTTCTCTGCGACAAAATGGGAAGAGTTTGGAGGAGACGTATGACTGATTTGTATGTCATTGAAATTACCACAGCCTCTCCACTCCCCACAGGATTTAGCAGAGAGGAAGAAGCTGAAAGTCTAGAGGTCGGTAAACTTGTGTTATGTTACAAATATTCTATTGAAAAGTTTAATAAACCTGTTATATATACTAGTGAATCTTTTTTTTTGGGTAAAGACTCCAACTTAGATACTAAATCCAAGGCTTACCTATAACTTTTTGTTTGCTTTTGTTCTTGCTTTTCAGAGTGGGTCTGGCAGATCTTCGAAAAGACCGTTCTATGATCTTCTGCCCACTATAGTTTGTTCTACTCCGAGAACTGTTTCCTGTCGTTTAGCAACGACGCGAGGTATTATTATTTGTTTGAAAAATAAATTCTAGTCTCAGAAGGTCTCAGATTTGTTAATGTTGTACCTTTCGACAGTATCGCACATTCTTCGAGTGTTATCACCTGGGTTACACTCGTTACAAATACAAGATTAAAAATCGCAGGTTGTTCATAACCCCCATCTCTATTTTGTGACTAGAATTTATTTTTTTCACATTTCAATTCCAAGGTCAAGAATGAGCATTCATGAAATTACAATTACTATTTGTACTCCTTTCATCTCGTTGTCTTTCGAAGGTTATTCTTGCGATAAAATTTGCTTATCAATTCTCTTCAGATCCACGAGACATAAATCCTTTGTTTGATGCCAAAGAATTTCGAAGTCCCCAGTTTCAGAGGGTTTATCAATATCTCAAGCTCTCAAAAGAGGGAAAAAACATGGACAACTTCACATTTGTTCCTGGTAATATCGACGAAGATCAAACAAAATGCCTCTCACTCATGCTCAGGTCTGTGAAACGCTCTAGCTTATTCTTTTCATATTAATTTATTTAACTCTGAGGCGCCCCATGTAAAGTAATCGGGAATCCAACAATTTTTTCCTGTGGATTTCGGAATCCTGGGCTTAAGAATCCGGAATACAGCTCAGGGAATCTGGAACCCACTAATGATTAGAATCTTAGATTCCCTTACATTTATAATTGGACCATCTGAGTAGTTTTATAATTTTGTTATGTTTCCATTAGATATTTTGATCTACCTTATCTTGTTTTCTAATGCTTGTCACATTTCTTACCAAGTGATTAAGTTCTACCTATTTCTCTTCAAGAATTACAATCCTGTTTTATAATGGAAGGGGTTCATTGCTTTTTTTGGCTTTTTGTTCGTGTGTTTGTCTTTTCCTCATTGTGTCTGATGCATAGTTGTATTAGTAAAATCCAACTAGTGGTCTATTATCAATGCTGCGTTCTGATTGGTTGAGCTACTACTAGGCTATATGTTATAGCCCACTAGTAGCGAAAAGAGCTGGCTTTGAAAACCAAAGCAATGGCGGCTGAATCGCGTTTTGCTAGCTAAAGCGGTTTTGTCTCGCTATTTTTGACCAACTAGTTGGATTTTACTAAAACAATTATCCCTCTCGCCCTCATGGCCTCCGGGTCAATTGGGGCTCTAGGAATAATTGTTAAATAGTTATGCAACACCTTTTTGTTCACACAGTAATTGCGGAATTCCTGATCCTTCTTGGGCGGAGATTCGTCACTTTGTAAGCTTCCTGAACTCTCAGTTACGGGATTGTGAACAGAGTTTCTTCTGCGATATGCAACTAATGAGAAGCGTTCTGGCAGGGCCTAACGTGTTAAATCTAGAGGGATTTCGATCATTTGTGGTGCGCTTCATGATACAAATGTCGCGGGTAAGATATTGCAACAATTTGTTGCATCACGGATCGTTGTGACAGTTTGCATGCTGATATCGTGTCAACTTTAACGTTCCCTTGCAACTGATATTAAATGAGGAAAAGGTCGAAACACACGTGGTGCAATCTCACGCTTTGCACTTCGTTTTTCTTTCTTTTCCTCTACTGTTGCGGATGTTTTCAGGTTGTTTGAATGTTTTTTAATAGAGGATAATAAACGTGGTTGCCACAGGTCAGGAAATGGTCAGGGGAAACATTCTTCGAGGTCAGGGAATTCCACTTTAAGTCAAGGAAAATTTACTTCCTCAAGAAAAGTTAGGAAAAGTGAAATTTTAGAGTACAAAATAATTATTTTCTCTCTACTGTTGTACATTTTACGGACACAAATCATGTCTTATTGATAGAATATTGCTCATGAAATTGAACGACAAACTAATGTTGGGTTTTCAAGAAATTTGATCCTTTTACATGTCACGTTAACGAACTATCATTTCATGTACACTGCACGGGACTTGCTGAAAGCATAAATAAGTGGGTGGAGTGGATGGCTGTGAGGGAAGGGTTGAGGCGATCATCAGGGCCAATTTGTGAAACACGCCTTTTGCATTAGTTGATCATTTGACCAACTCTCGGTAAACACGAAAACAGTTCGCTTTTGAAAAATTTCGTTAGCACGAGCTGAAAGAGCATATTAAAATTAGGTAACCTGTAAGTTTTCATCGGTATATCTCAGAAGTGGCGATTGTAACGGCCACCGAAAATTAGAAGGATTTGTACGAGAAAAACAACTCTTGCCACCCAGTCACGCTTAAGTGGTTTTCCATACAACTCCTTGTAAATTCTGAAATGTTGAAACTGTCGTTAAATCTTCCTCTTACGCATTTAACGGCTTAAAGTACCTGTTATGAATTATAAGGAGATTTGAGTCCCGTAATGCTTAAGGAAATATTTCACGACAGTCGAAATTTACAAGGATTTGTATAGAAAAACATTCGAGCGTGACTAGGTGGCAACAGTTGTTTTTCTCAACATACAAATCCTTCTAATTTTCGGCGGCCGTTGCAATCGCTACTTTTGAGACATACGGCTGAAAATTGACATGTTACCTAATTTTAATATGCTCTCTCAGCTCCTGCTAACAAAATTTTACAAAAGCGAACTGTCTTCGTGTTTACCGAAAGTTGATCACGTGATCAACTAATGCAAAAGGTCTATTGTTAATTCAGTTGGTCAGGTATATTTTACATTTGTTAGGAAAGACTCTAAAAAGTCAGAGAATTTAAGAAGCTTTTGCCTGTGGCAACCACGATTCATGGTCTCGTCTTTCGCATTTATAACCAAACATATGGGATTTTACAATGACTTGTCTCACATTTCCTTCAAGGACTTTGCCACTCCTTCCCTGACGGACCAGAACACCGTATTTTATACAGAAGACAATGCAGAACTTGAACGAAGGGAAATCGAGCAATTTCAACTTCGACGAAGCTGGGAGACTAGGTGAGCTAACTGAAGATGCTTCTAGAAAAACAAGCACCCCTTGAACATACTCTTCAGGTTTACGTCAAACGGCAGGAGCTAAAGGGCATCATGTGACCAATTTACTGAAATAAAAAGCTTCATGCCAGTTTTATCTACACGAATAATTTTGCGCGGTTGTTTCTACTTATTTCTTAATTATGTTAAGGAATAAAACGGGTCAGTGGGGCTTACCTAAACGAACCGAGAAGAATGGTGGATTTCGCAGTTGATGATCATTGCGTTACAAAGTTTATCATGCCTAGTAAATGTCGACTTGCCATAGATTGATGAATGAAAAGGCCTTTTTATAAATGTAAATCATTTTTCAGTTTCTACTTATATCTCGTCTTATTCTTATTTCTTTTTCACCGCAGCCCACATCCTTATTTGTTTTTCAATGAAGATCGTGTGACAATGACCTTCCTTGGATTTTCCATAAACTCTGCTGGGGACCTCATTGATCCACAAACAATGCGAACTTTAGAGAAGAGTTTGATGTCTAAACAACTACGTCTTGGTCTGCAGGCTCAGCGGGTTGATTTTACTGCAAACCCAGAGAACTGGAAAAAGTAAGCGGTAGTTTTTTTGGTAAGCGTAGCATCAGTAAGATTCATCATGGTCTTGATCTTAGTTAACGATCCGATGTCGATAAGACTGGGTGTCGTGGCCATTTGTAATTGTGTAGCTTCTTTGTCAAATTTTCTGTTTGTTAATACATGCGATTAGCTGGCGTGGTTATCCAAATAGACATCTTCTAATCAAAATGTACAAGGAGAACGCTGAATAGCAGAAACACAGTTTTGATGTCTTCCAAAAAACCACTGAAGCAAATATTTCCCAACTTGCAGGAGACAGAATGGTTAGCTATATGCAAGGGTAGCCGAGTAGTTAAACTCGGAGCTACCGATAAAATCAAATCAATTCGGCGTTCACGGCTGAACTGAACGTCCAGCGCCCAGGCCGCTTGTCCACGTGGCCTTACTCACCTTGTCTTCCTCTTCGTGTGCGTTTTCCTCTTCGTTGTGATGTAAAGTGAACATACCTTTCTTCTTTAGGGCGGAAAAGATTAGTCAGCTGTGTTCAGTAATGGGTGTAAAGTGGAATCTTACCAATCCTGACTATGACCCAGACGGTGCCTATGAACTGACTACAGACAATGTTAAAAAGATCTTAGCCATTCACATGAGATTTAGGTAAGTCTTTCTTTCTATTTTCAATTTTTTCTGCTGTAAGGACCATTGTGTTTTGTTGCCCTGTCTGATTAACCGGATTTATACACTTATTGTGTTTCCAAACATAGAGTTCAACATCTAATGTAATGGATACATAAATCAACAGGTGTAACATTCCCGTGCTCGTGATGGGTGAGACAGGCTGTGGAAAAACCCGTCTTATTCGGTATATGTGCGGTTTACAGGCGGGTCCCCAGAACAAAGATCAACCAAGAACGCGAAATATGCTACTTGTTAAGGTAAGATGGCTTCTGGCCAGTGGCTTATTTGAGCTTTTTCCTTGTGCTTTGAATAGGATGGAATCAGTACTGGAAATTATTAACCATAAATATCAACGAAAGCAGCAATTAGTTTCGGCGACCATTAACCTTCCACCGTCATTGCATAATTCTTTGCTCGATTAGTTGTAACTAATAGCTGTAATTTAGTTTTCCTGCAAAGAGAAAATACCAGAGGTTGAGACAGGTCGACCATTTTGGATAATGAAATACATTTCCTTGTGGTAAACGGACTATGACCATGCATTTCAGCTTCACTTTATATAAATGTACAAGAAGATCCGTTTTCTCCGAATTGGGACTTTTTATTGAGAAAATCCTGAACGATCCGGGATTTTACTGTTGCTCGACATTCCCAGATTTTCCTGACGCGCAAAAACTCAAAATCATGCAAATTCTATTTCCTGCTTTCCCAACTTTCTTTGATAGTCGGCGATGAGAACTCGATCTCAGGGATTGAAGAGCAGTCATTTTTGCTCGGACCCAATTCTTTAACTGCTTTTATTAGTTTTAGTCTGTCTTTTTTATATTGACCAATAGTCGTTAACAATTCTCTTCCATTACAAGGTGCATGGCGGCACCACATACGAAGACATTGAACAGAAAGTTCGGCAGGCGGAAGACATGGCTCGTGAAAATCAAAACAAGAACATCGACACAGTTCTGTTCTTTGATGAGGCCAACACTACTGAGGCACTGAGCATGATTAAGGAGGTGATGGTAGACAGAAGGGTTCGTGGACAACCCATTGGACGGGGTCTTGAGAGACTGCAGTTTATTGCTGCATGCAATCCATACAGAAGGTGATACACAAAGAATGTTATTCCTAGCTAAGCAAAATTCATTGAAGGATCTTTTTGTAACCAAGTTCCTTGACAAGTTATTTGTCTGGAAAGAGCGTTCTACCGGTGTCCCAAACGTTTGTGCCTTTGATTTAATTCGGACGTGTACGATGTATACAATGTTATCGTCAATGTTCATCAGTCTGTCTGGTCTGGCCCAATCGGCTCTATGCCTATTTATAGGCAAATAAAGTGTATAATTAAAGCTCGGCCTCAGTTGTCTCTGCTTACTTCCACAAACTATAAAGAGAGACATAGATACGCTTAGGATACGCTTTCTAGGATACCAACTGTGTAGAGGGATTATTTTGTTGATATCTTGATGCATGACCTTCTTTACAGGCACACTGACGACATGATTCACAAGCTTGAGTCAGCAGGACTTGGCTACCACGTGAAAACGGATGAGTCAGACGATCGTCTCGGTATGAATTCAAGTTCTTCTCGGTTCGTTTCTGGCTTCGTTAGATAATTTAGTGATCTGCTATTCAGTTTGTGAAAACATGAACGGTTGATGGGTTCATCTTTGACAAAAGTACATCTACGAAAAACACGGACTATACCATTTCTTAAATATATAAAAAAGCCAAATTTAATTTGAAAATGCCTACACGGTGTCAGCTCTGCTTACCTACTAAACGTAAGGAGCTTTGTTTTTTTTCCCCAGGACATATTCCATTACGTCATCTGGTGTATCGCGTGCATGCCCTTCCAGGAAGTATGCGCCCTCTGATTTGGGATTTCGGTCAGTTGAATCACCAAGTAGAAAGCCTTTACACAAATCAGATTGTCAGTCGCTATGTGAGTACTTGAAAGGTGTTGTTATTACTCTGTCTATGACGGGTTAACTAGAGTTTTGCGAAAAGCTTACCCATTTATAAAATTGCTTTTACAATACGGCATGTATCGCTCTAATTTTGCTTTAGAATTAAAGTTAATAGTTGTCATCTTAAACCGCGAATTGCTAATCGAAGCAGACAAAATTAAATGCTTCTCTTTAACTTAACCCATCAAAGCCGTTAAGAATATGTAGATCACACTTGGCGTTGGATGGTCGAGAGTATTTGTAAGTTGCTCATCCTGAAAAAGAAGCCAGGTGATACAGTATTCAAATGTGAATTTCAGCTCAGTCCGTCCATATATTTAGTAGAAAACTTGCTCAGACCAACTCAGACCACAGTTTACAACAATCCGTTGATGCCAAGTCTAATCTGTGTCCACTCGCAATTGTGAACAGCCTTTATAATCCGGGATTGACCGATATGAAAATGACCGGTAATGTAGCAGCGTCTAAAGTTCGGTTAAATAAGTGATCCTTGCTGTTGTAGATTTTACAAGAGCATCAGTGGCCTGGTGATTTATCGACTGTCCAGGCAGTGGCGGCAGTGCTAGCGGCGTCGCAGAAGTACATGAGAGACCAGTCGGTAAGTTGCAACATTTTGTTTTCAAAATCCTGTCTCTTAAGTTCTTGTTGTACGAAATGGGGGCAAGCGCAGTTTTTTCAGTGATATCCAACAAACGGGGAATGTTGGTTGACTTCTCGTGGTAACTGGATAGCGCATGAGACGTATTTTCCAGTGCTACATAATCTATAACCTGTAGTCTGGGCGCGTTGCGTGACGACACGACACGGCTGTGTTGCGAACTGAACAATCATTCAGGCGAAAAAACTCAAAGCAAGAGTTCGCAAAAAGGTTATAGCAATATCCGATTTCCAAACCTTCTTCATGGTAGTTGTTGATGCCTGATTTTTTACCTACTTAAATATAGGAGTTTGATAACCATTTTTTCGTTTAGTCCTTGCATAATATCGATTACTAACACATCTTTACTCACTTACTCGTCTTCCTTACCACTCAATAACATATTAATGAATGTTTTTATCCTTGAAAGGATGAATGCAGCTTTGTGAGTCTGCGTGACGTTGAGAGGGCCATGCAGGTAATGGTCTGGTTTTATAAACACGCGGATACTCTTGGAAGACTGATGAAGATAGTGATAACTAAACAGCGAAGAGAAGAAGGCAAAGAAGTGGATGACGACGAGGAAGACGTGGTAATTTTGGTGTCTTGATTTCAAAGCTTAACTCCTCATTTGTTACAGAAACGCAATGTATTTGTGCTTCGTCTGTTATATTTTTCTTATTTCTGTTGAAAAAGTTTTTAGCCCCAAGGTTCTTGAAATCATTTTGAATGAACCTTACGCAGGAAGTGACAGAAGATTTTTCGTGGAAATGTTTGGTTATGGTTAGCCAGTGTATAACAAAACCACGTGCTAAGCCATTTTTAGCTTGCCCAGCGCTTTTATCTTAACACTATTTATCGTGGAAAGTTCTCTTGAAAGAATAAGGCGTAGACTTGAAACGTACAACCCGCAAAGGAAAAAAACTGGATGTCCAAAGAATTGCTAAACCGCGGCCCAAGTTAGACTTCGTTTAAATAACAGACCCTTTGCGTTTCTTCCTAGTATATTTGACTGAATCGCGCATATTCTGAGGTGGCTTAAAAAATCCTCTTCCCCTGCACAAATTAGATGTCAAAATTGTCAGTGATCATTGAAATTTGATGATGTCAGGTGTCAGACATCATACAAGAGATTTGGTTTGGAGCGGTAGAGCTGTAATACGTTAAGAATGATCGATGCACTTAATAGGCATTTTAAGGTAAGGGTTGAAAAAAATTTGAGTGCTTTTCTGCGGTTTTTGTAAATTGCATTTACTGAGGACATCGGTCAGTACGTTAATTGGAAAGCATAAGATACACTTGGAAGAGCACGGTGCAATTAAGAATAAGTTTCAGATGGGTGATAAGGTCTCTAATCCTTGTGATGGCAGTTATAGAAAAGAAAATTGAGTGTTGGTGGTTGTTTTCTTGCAGGAGCCTATTGACCCAATGACCCGGGCTCTGGTACTCGCCATTGGCGTTTGTTATCACGCCAAGCTCCAGGAGAAGCGTCAAGATTACCGTGAAGTAGTGGCACAGAGCTTCAAAGCTCCATGTGTACTTCCTGGTGGAGAGAAACAAATTCTTCGCGAAATAACAAGGTCTTTATTTTCCTAATCAATACGATCCTTAGGCCTTTGTCGAATCGGTCATTTGAAGTTCGAGAAACAATTGCAAAGGAGTTCATGAGTTAAGAAAAAAAGTTCGAATCTCTCGCTTTTGTTGTTAGTAACTGCCTTGATAAATACAGGCGGTACTGATAGTGACAAACCTAAACCTAAATGAATGCTACTGGCCAAACAGGGCGTGCGCGTTGAAACATTGTGATTCGCATTATCGCCGCACCCACTCAAATGATTGACGGAAGAGGAAACCCAAAATCCCTTCGAAGTTTGCAAAACGCAAAACGTGATATAGTAGTAAATATATGTAATTGTCTTTTTAGCTGCCAGCGAGCTGTGCTTAACGAGTTGGATCTCGGCCCTAACATCGCACGAAACACTGCTCTAAGCGAGAATGTGTTCATGATGGTAGTGTGCATTGAGCTCAGGATTCCGCTGTTTGTAGTTGGCAAACCAGGCAGCTCCAAATCTTTAGCCAAGACGGTTGTGGCTGATAACATGCAAGGCGATGCCGCCAAATCGAAGCTGTTCAGGAATTTTAAGCAGGTGAAAACACAAGCACATTTTGACATTCGCAATGAAGCCATAACTAATATTCGCACGTCTATTAGGTTTTGTCTTCCCCGAAGAACTGATGGAAGCATATACTACACTATAATCGTTGTGCAGAAACAAAAATTGCCGCCAAATAGTCTTAATGCTCAAAAGAAATGCAAATCCAAGCCTGAAGGCAGTGATTTTTGCCCCATGCTGTGTACTCTGTGTTAACTCATGGTAGATGGTATTCGATGCTCCTCCTGACAGCAGGTTTGTTTCGTGGTGTAGTTGGCAAATTTACAAAAGCAATTGCTTTTATTTGCAGGTCCACATGGCCTCCTTTCAATGCAGTCCTCTTTCAACTCCTGAGGGAATCGTGGCGACCTTCCGCCAATGTAGCAAGTTACAGGAAGGCAAAAACCTAGAGAGTTTCGTCTCAGTCGTTGTCCTTGATGAAGTTGGTTTGGCAGAAGACTCTCCTCTAATGCCTTTGAAGACATTGCATCCACTGCTGGAGGATGGCGTAACCTCTTCTGATGACGTCATCGAGACAGATGAAAAACCACAGCGTGTGGCGTTTATTGGGATCTCGAACTGGGCCCTGGACCCCGCCAAGATGAACCGCGGTATTATGTTGTCGCGTGGAGTGCCAGACGTTAAAGAGCTGGTAGACAGTGCCTTGTAAGTCTTTTTTTAGATTTTTTTTACCCCAAAACTCTATTACATGATCGCACCTGCCTGTACCCCTCTCGAGAAGTGCCAGTATTATCATGAAAATAGTTAAAGAGGCGGATGAGGAAGTTTTCTTCTTTGTTCCTTCTTGAACGCCAAGTCCTTCTGCCCCACTGTTAGTGTTTTACGCTCAAACCTATTGTTTGATATTTGCAGGGGAATTTGTTCCACAGATCCACAGGTTAAACTTGTTATTCAAACCCTGATATCTCCTCTGGCAGAAGGATATGCAGAACTTTACAGAGAACAGAAAAATTTTCCAACGCTAGAAGAATGTGACAAAGAAGAGTTTTTTGGACTTCGTGACTTTTACAGGTATGCAATCCGTGTCAGGCACTAGCTTTTATAAATCTCCCTACTGTTGCTTGTTTTCGGTTTAGTACTTATGACTTTTTTTGTTATATTTGTATTATGTTGTAGTCTTATCAAAATGGTGTATGCAGTTGCTGCCAAATCCGGGCAACGGCCAATGTGGAATCAAGTTGAACACGCTGTTAGGAGGAACTTCGGCGGGCTGGTTGAAGGCGAGCCGGTGGAAATATTCAAACGACACTTTCAGATCACGGATGTAAGTATAAAAAAAAAAAAAATCCCGACCAGAGGAAAGTGCTTTTGTGAAAGATACTTAGTCCTGGGATCAAACTGAGCTGAAACTGTAGGTGTTGACCATGAGATGCATCTGTAACATCACAAGAAAAAAATCTTAGCATCGAGAAAGAAATCTACATCCATTCTGTCACTCTAGCACATGTTTAACGTACTGGTATTGGTATTTGACGTGTTCTGTGGTTTTAAAATTTTTTTGTTTTGGCTATGACTCGTTATTTGGGTTTCAATTGATGTTTGTTTTAACAACCTTATTGGTCTAAATATCTCTAAAAAAAGTTCTAAAGATCAAAAGGTAAGGTGCAAACGAGACCTTAAATCCCATACAGGGCATCTTCCGACCTAAATCACCCTTAAAAATCGTAAGTAATGCTTAATGAACTATTTTTGTCAACCACAATTACCTGAACAAACAAATGCCTTCTCACGTCGGTGACTGGTCGCCTAGACCTGGCTTTCTTAGTATGCTACTCTGGTTATTTCCCTTCTTTGCTTGCGTAGCAGGAAGATGAAAACAAAGAGGCACCTACAGCTTTGCTTGTTTCGCAGGAAGATGAAAACAAATTTCAGGCACCTTTCAGCGCCCTCTGCTTTAGGACCATGGTCTAATCGAGGTTCTTTAAAAAACCTTCGTAGAGAGAGGACTAAGTTGTTTCCGATACATCAAAACGCGTTACTTTTTACAGACCAGACAAATTTCAGGTCTAACAATTTACATGTCTCCTCTGCTTTAGGACCATGGTCGAGTTCCTTGTTCTTTATAAAAACCTTTCTAAACTTATAAGTTAGAGCACCAAGCTGTTTCCGATACATCAAAACGCGTTACTTTTTACAGACTGTTGGGTACGAAGACCAGTATCACTCGCCGTAATTCTAGGGAGAGAAACCATGTTTTAAGCGAAACATACCAACCTCCAAACGTCTGTGGCTTCATAGCTCAGTTGTATAAACCCCGTTGAATTTTTTTTTTTTCAGGTTTCTTTACGCAATTGCATAAATTGCGTTCATTGCGACGATCATTTCTTCATTTTCAATTTACAATGTATTGTACTTTTATCGTTGTTATTAGCGAGAACCGTTACCTGTTGATCCTGACTGAAAATTATGCCGCATTAAGAATCATCCAGCAGCATCTATTGAAGACTTCAGAGGACGCAGTGGTGATCTTTGGGAGTAGCTTTCCAAACGACCAGGAGTATACTCAGGTAAAATGGACAACTGGAATATAGTTCCATGAAGCTATACCCCGGCCCTTTGTTACGTTGCGTTGTGTTATACGATCATGAGTTCATCAGTTTGTGTTGTGTTATTTTCACGATCATTAATTTGGTTCAGACGACTAACGCCGGGCACAACAAAATTGATAAAGATATTTTTGTTGGCACGTCAGTACTTTCACAAAATAATCTTATGGGATATTTTGGCCCCCAAAACCAGATACACAAGTGATTTGGTCGTTCGAGCAAGGGTAAAATAACGCCTGGAGGCACAACCGCCTATATATATTTTTGGATGTTGGTTTATTTCTTTCAGTATCGGTCGATATATCGAGTCCACTGTACCAAAAATTTGTTTTGGCTTCATTATTCGTTCGACCAATTCACCGGAGATACTCGACAGTTAGGGAGAATTGCTTGCAGAAACGTTTCCAAATGCACGAGCAGTTTGTCCACTTATAGAATGTATTAACTTCTTAACGGAATTTCCATTACATTCTTTGTTCAGATTTGTCGCAACATCAACCGAATCAAAGTTTGCATGGAGACTGGCCGTACCGTGATTTTGTTGAATTTGGAAAGTCTCTATGAAAGTTTGTATGATGCTCTGAATCAGGTGAAGATTTTAATTTCATTCAGGTTGTTTTTCCCTTGCTCTAGCTACGAATGTTTTGAACTCTTCTTGAGGTCAGCTATAAATACAGTCACGTTCTTGGTATACACTGGTAATTTGTTAGCTCATACAACTTGCAGATTTAGTTTCGTTTATAAGGGAGGGAGACAGTTAAAGCTCTACTGACACACCTATTTGTGTATTTATGTATTTATTTATATTTTTCCTTATTTCTTTTTATTTTATTTTGCTGTACAGTATTATGTGTACTTTGGAGGACAGAAGTATGTTGATCTTGGGCTTGGTACTCACCGTGTCAAATGCCGTGTTCATGATGATTTTAGGTAAGATACTATAAGTACGTTGTCGCAAAATCCTCGCGAAGCTTCAAAGGAGCAGCAGTGCGAAAAAAGGAAAACAAGCCAAAGGGGAAAAAATGATTACAAAACTAAATAGAAAGAAGTGTAATGACTTTAAAACTATGGCTTCGACGGAATTCGAACCCTATCTCTCCGTATCTCCTATATGTGAAATTGGATCCTTGACCACTGCACCTTGCAGCCGCTGAATAATTGTTTCGCTAAAATTGTTATGCTGAAAGCATTGTTCTCTATCCTTGGTGGAGCAGTATTTATCATGAATTCAAAGATACATTTGAGGAAAAGTTACTTAAAGGCTCATTTAAAAGCCACTTTGCATCATTTCGGTCTTAATTCACTTTTGGGTTCAACGGCGGATGGATGTGCGATGCTGAAACCAGTCTTTGATTTGATCAATCGGTCACATCGATCGGCGGGGAAAGAACCAATTCATAAATGGTATGCCTCGGTGTAACATAAATTCAAAGGTACAGATTTTAGAGAAAAGCAAGGTTTTGACGGTAAAAAGCCGAAGTGAAACGCACTTTGAATAAAACATGGCAGTGCACAGCATTTACATTGCACTTGAAGTAGCGTTGCCTGGCAACCCTAAAATGCACCCTGACGTCGAAACTGGATGACATCAACTGCGGACACCCAAGAGATCTGTAGAGATATTCGCAACTCTAGTTTTTGCCTCGCTGTGCAATCAACGCGCGCGGCAAATTTATAAACTTCTCCTCGCTGGGAGCACTAAATGTATTCAAATTTGTTTCGGTTATTCTTGTTAGGAATTGTGTCATCGGTTTTCGTTATCAACAAGGTGACGGTTGTGAACGAAGCAAGTATTTTAGGAGGGAAACTTGCTGTTTTGCAAGGGAAGGGGAGCTTTCATTTTGCAGTTAACTTAATGGCCTTGGGATACGCTCTATAACTTCAACTTATTGTGTAGCTGACTTTTCCTTTGTTAGTAACATCACCCAGGGAGGTTTGTATGCACCTGTTTTCTGTCTTTGTTTTAGTCAATACCCGGTCTGTACGACAAAGCATAAGATGAAGGAATTAAAGTCGCGGGTCTTTTTCCAGTGCAATTTTTTTAAATCTTGGTTAAACATAGCTATTGCTTAGCTGCTCTTAGAAGTTGATGGATGCGGGCGTAAGGTTCGTTTTCGACCTTCAGGTACTCTTCTAATACACTTTTTCGCTGCTTCTATTTTTTTATTAATTCAATTATCAAGTCGTCCTCTTTCTTTTAAAGGCTGATTGTTATTGCTGAAAAAGACGTCGTTTACAACAATTTTCCCATTCCGCTGATAAACCGTCTTGAGAAACACTTTCTTGTTACGTCAACCAGTCTAACGCCAGACCAGATGGAGTTGGTGGGGAAACTGCGCATCTGGGCCAATGACTTTGCTGAAGTTTCGACTAAGCGTAGTAGGTGAGAAGTCGTGTACCTTAGTACACCCACATTTGTAATTCTATGGCGCACAACCCATTTTCTTGCAGCAACATTGCCACAAATTGACAGTATAATGTTAGACGTCATTTTGAAGTAGCTTGCTATCCATTTTGATCCATTTTCAGAATTAAATTCCACCCAACATTTCAAAAGTAATTGCAATACTATTTTCCTTACAAAAATTGGAAGGATCCTAAATTTCACTATGATAAAACCATGTCAAGACTGATTCTTCCTCACTTTCAGGCGTTCATCATTTAAGCGATATTATGTTTCGACTAGTATGATTGCCCTGCTAAAAAGCAATCCAGGGGGTCGTCAGGTGTTAAGATGACGTCAATAGCTAGGACGTACTCTGCAAGATTAAGCATTGACTCTCTTTCATCCTGCAATGTAGGGATTTCACTATTGGAGATGCTTTTGTTGGGTATCACGAGGACACCATTCCTACCATAGTCATGCAAGTTTGTAATGACCTTGCCGACGAGGACAGCCCTTCACAAGACGAAGCCGAGGATCCATGGGAAGTCACGGTTAGATTGCACACTGTGTTCGGGAGCTTTTATGGCAAATCGGATAGCTCTGTTGTTTCACGTTTATCGCAAGTTTTCGACAGTCGAGGGTAGCGCGACGCGTCTAAGTGTCAACTGTATTCTTATATTTTCACTCGTATTGCTGGGCTCCCACTGCTTTTGTAAACCTCAAGGGTAAATGTAGAACACTTACTTGTGTCACGGTGACTTGTTGCGTGATTTAATACAGGACGCTCCAGATAATTAAGGTGCCTGAAAGAATTTGTTTGGGAACGCAAAATCGTTTAGGGTCGAGCCTGAATTCATTGAAGCGCAGGCTGTTGAGTGAAATGGTCGGTTCAGTTGATTTTGGTTATTATTTTTTAAAGGTGGCAAGAAGATGTAAGAATATGCTTCTTCAGATGGCTACACCTGATGCAATTGCGCGTCTCCCAGCATCTGGCTTGAAAGGAGAAGCTCGTGAAATGTGGCAAACGTATTTTCGCGAGCAGCAGCATTCGAGTCTAGCGGCCTTCATGCGTCATGTTCTTACTCTCGAGGAAAAGCGAGAAAAAGGACTCTTTATTCAAGTAAGGATCATGCAATAAGTCCTAGTAGATTTACAGATGCTGTTTGGACTCGTATTAATTTTGTATTGTCCTGCTTTGGCTTAGGTTACTACTCATTCGCGACTTCTGTCAAACCATGACCTGGATGATTTATGTAGCACAACGGATCTTCGCCGTTCAACTGTGGATGTCATGACGCTCCAGCAATTTCAGACTGAACAACAGTTCCGATCTTTAGTTAGGTAAGACTCCCGCCTATTTCCAGCGTTCCAGTGTTTTTGCTGCATTTGAATGACAAAAACGTTTTGTTTTAACAGTGTTTGCCTTGCTACTTTACAGAACATTTTTTGAACACCTTGGAGGAGATTGCTCAGGTATTCTGGTAGTGCAGTGTGATTCAGGAGATGACAATTTTAATCTGATAGCGGGTGCACGGCATATTCTAATGGAAGAAAGCAAGAACGCACCCGAGCTACTTAACCTGTCCGCTATCGCAGCAGTTCATATTGTCTTGGTGATTCAACTGCCCAGAATTGCCGGTGGATGCCGCAATTTTGTCGGTTTCCAAGGTGGAAACTGGATATCTACACATATTGATGAGCTTCGTCCACCCGAAAGGTACACTCCATCAATCGAGGATCTCATCGACAGACCAATCAGCAAATTGTTTGGAAGTGAAAATGCAGGACAGCAAAACCAAAATGATGATACTCGACTGTTAGCTGTGAAGTTCTTGCGAAACTGCGTCCAAGCAGCAGCTTGTAGGATCGACGACGAGGGCGAATCGACTGTCCGATCAACTGAAAGGATCGAGTTGCTTTTACATTTGCTTCCTGAGGACTTTGACGGTCGCGAAGGTCAGTTAAACAATTAAAGGGACAGATCTGTTTGGTGGTGCAGATTTTGTGATTTCCCTTGGTCCAAACGTATTTTACTTGGAAAAAACTTGATCTCGGGATCAGTTGTTATTTTTTAATTTGTAGCCAGGTTCCCCACCATATGTGACATTATACCATAAACCGGGAATCTCTGGTTAACCTTTCGTTTGTCAATATTAGTACCATTTGCCTAAATTATAAGTTAAGCGGGATACTTTTTTGCCACATTAGGGCAGTGGCTAAGTTGACCTTAAAGACTTTCCTAAAAGAGTGTGGCTGACGCAAGAAATTGTTGCCCTTTTTCGTGCCTTACGTAAGCCAGTGGTAATGAAAAACGTAGAATTATTAAAACGATAAACCAAAGTAATTCGAGTGTTTTTAAAAGAATGAGGAAAAAAAAATCATAGTTTCATTTACGAATACTTATTAATATGACCAATATATTTTGGACGCACGAGTGCTGAGTATGTCATAAGATCGCTTTTTATATGTGTCGCCATTATTTACCTTTTTACAGAAAAGTGTACATTTGCCAGCGTCCTCACGCAAAGAACGTTCTATCTTCTTGAGGAAACAGAAAGTACTGCCTACAATGCTCACGGGTGGCTTCACTCCGAAGCCCTGTCAGGAACCGGTGTACAAGAGTGGGGTACCTTCAGAAAGGCTCTTTGGAAAAGAATTTACTCGGCAGTTGTTCCCATCCTTGCTGAGATCATTGCATTTGCAGACAGAGACAGAAATTTGGATTTAATGAAGGACGGCAATGTTTGGGTTTCTACACTGTGGCTGAAGATCATGGTAGACCCCAACATTTCCGAGCTTAGCTATAGCACGATGATCTCGCCTGTTACAAATTCAGTTCGAGAACGTGTGCCAGTCATCGGATCTGGTGCCGGAGGCCACAGTTTTCAGTGCCTATTTCCTTTTTCATTTATTGTGAGGCAGCGCGTCGACAAAATGTTAAAGGACGCTTTTAGCGTTACAGGTAATTCCCAACTTTGCACTCTACGAGCGACAAAGAAATTATTCAAGTGTCCCTCTGATAGCTTTTCCTCGGTTACAAAAATTGCTTAATTACAGTTAATTGTCTTTAAAATTGTCTTTCTTATTTATAGCACTGCAATGACAGGTAGTTGTTTCTCACTTCCAGGATTTACGTTATCACTATACTCGGGAGCTTCTGGAATTGAACCTTACTATTGATTTCACTAACAAATATACTCTCAGCCCAAGATTTTTGTAGGTTTTTTCTCCTAGCATAAGCGCGATTTCACTCTCGTGTTTCAGCCCAGTCTAGTGCTACTTTGGTGGAAGCTTTACGAGTTCTGATCAATGACTCAGAATTGGGACCTCTTCTCCGTGAACTACCCCGTGAAGACTTCCCAGCATTGCGATACCTGAGAGATTTTGTCCACATGGTATACAAGTCCTCAAGCGAAAGTGAACACCAGGTTTCTTCCTTTTTATATCTGTTGTTAAAAGTGTGATTACTTTCGGAAACATTCCCCAGCGCGGAATGCATGAAAAATAGCAGGTGTTCATGAAGAATCGAAGCTGACTACACTTTGTTGGGTTGTTTATGTTTGGTAGTTATGAATCCATATAGCATTTACCAACTCTGGTAATCAACCGACTTGTCTCCAGAAAGTCTTTAATCTGTTTTTTTATTTTTATTTTTAAAGGTATCTGCTCGGAACGAGGTCTTAGTAGGTACGTTTAATACAGAGCCATGGTCATTGATACCGGTTCTTTATTATTTCAGCTTGTCTGTGAAGCTATTCTCTCTTCGGCAAGAGAACTTGGTTTCGAGGAAGATGAAATGATTGACATAGCACTTGTTCATGTGGCTCATAGCAGAATCCAGTCAAGACTGAGATGCTTTTCAAAGCTTGTTCAAGCCAAACCCGAGGTTATCGAAAAGCTTAAAGAAGTGCCGGTATTCCGGGAGAAACAAGCTGAACTTGTAAGTTGATTAGTTCGACTTTCTACAAGACCTTCGCTTTCTGTTGCCGAGTTGGGTGACGACGACGTTAAAAACAACTGATTGTGTAAGCAAAACAACAGCTCTGAACGTGCATCACGGTTTTGATTTGTTCCTTTGACTTCCGAGGCACGACTACGATGTGAAACGTCCTAATGGAACGTCGTATAAGATCAGCAGGGACACTGGAATTCCTTAGTGTAGCTATGATAGATCACGATTTTTGGAATGACATGTTCTAAAGTCACCTCGGACGCCGCCGAAGGAGATAATAAAGAGGTTAAGCATCACGTTTACGTCAAACGGCAAACGCAAATTTGTACCACGTGACCAAGCTTCCCCTTTACCATTTTTCCCCATTTCTACCCATAAGTCAGTGGTTTCAAGGCATTCTTTTTTATCCATAAGAATCGTTTTGAGCTGTTTTTATCCGCTGATTTTCTCTTTGAGAAATTCTCAACTTGAACTTCTGACGTTTGCCGTTTGCCGTATACGTGAAGAGACCTACAGCATCAGGTTTTTCATGACCACGGTCTTGCGGTCGCGTTTGCAGTTCACGTTTGAACGGTAGGAAGGGCGTCCAGCGGTGAGTGACTTACGGCAAGGACACTAAAAATTGTACAGCGTCACGTTTAAAGGCAGAAGTAGCTTTCTTTATCCGTCTGCGATGTGCTTGTTGGATTTTGAACTCGAATAAATGAATTTTCCCTGTTTTTTGGGTGATAAAAGTGAGCACTTTGACTCGACGAAAAACAACATGGCGGCACTAAACAATGAACGTCTTACAAAAATTTGAAATCCCGGCAACGTGAAACTGCAAACGCGTAACTGCAAACTGCAGTCTGCGGTTTGCGGATTCCCATGAAAAACCAAATGCTAAAGGTCTCTAAACTCTCTAATGATGGGAAGTTACTATGAAAGGAACGGGAAACGGGGAACGAGCACGGGGAATGGGAAAACAAAACAAAACAAAACAAAACTAAAAAGAAAAAAAAAAAGACGGAAAAAAGCCTAACCTAACACTAATCCTATCAGCTACTTCATTGCCAAATGTTTTGTTCCTTTTGTTGATTTTCCCTTCCCCGTTCTACGTTTTAGTAACATCCCGTCTAGGTGCCTTTTGAACTTCTGACGAATTCCACCCCAGGAGAATCCGCTTACATTTGACAAACTCATCGAGCATTAGAGGTTGAAAAAACGCAAATTCTCTTGTCGCTACTGTCATCGTCTCGGTTGCAACAGCTCCGGGATGTTAGGGAACTGATCCTAATCGAGCACCCCTCAAGCGAGTTTTTCCAATTTACAACTGTACTATCGAGAAAAGTACGCGCCAGTTAAACGCTAAATCAAGGGTTTTGATAGTTATTGTTTATTCAGTAAAAAAAAGTTGGATAAGGTCCGCAAAACATTTAACTGAAACGCCTTAGACTTATTAGCTTGCAACACTGCGTTTTTTGTATTAGCTGCTCGACGTCGTCACCTTGCAAGTTTGCCTGGAGGAACTGACCTCATCCGAGGACGTGCTTTTGGGCCAGGAATCTCGAGGTAACTGGTGTGACAGAGTGCTGTCAATCAGACAAGCAGTTGACGACATGATGAGAAGAGACAAATTTGGAGCCTCTACAGAAGAATATTCTAGCTACGGAAAGAGAGCCAGTGTGTTACTTAATCTCTGCAGGTAAACTGGCTGTGTATGTCTTAATATTCATTAAACAAAAATGAAAAGAAGGGGGAAGAAGAGAAAACCCGTTGTTAGGTTGTCAGACTCGTCTAGTAGATGTCGCAGATGTTGTAGTTAAAAGTGAAATTTACGTTAAAAATTTTTCCACCTAGCTTGATTCTCCATTTCTTTTTTGTCTCCTAAACCTAACCACAGGTCAGAAAGAAAAAAAGAAATGCTAACCCTGATCCTCACCTACGCAAAATGGCCACTATTCTTTTTCTGACTTGTGATTAGAGTTAGGAGACAAATGTAAGTTAAAATCAAACAAGAACGCTTTAAAAGCGGCAAGTCTCACTTGCTTGGAGATAGGTAAGAAGTGAGGAGGCGATTTATTCTACACGAAACAGGATTTCCTTGCCAAAAGTTTTTCACTTCCTTGAAGATGACTGAGTCGTGTATAAATGAACGAAAATCGAGAGAAATTGCATCATTGCAAGAGAGAAAAAATAGTCCTTTGGGAGGAAATGAGCCTACTGGCAATGAATAGTCTGTACGAGGGAAAGGGCAATGACAGGTACCTATGGTGCGAAGCATAAACGTTTAACGTCTTGTGCTACCACAGGCGGCTCAGACGCAGTGTGTGTCAATATATTAATATTCACATGGACAAATTAATGCGATGAGTCGTCGAAACTCCCATGAACTAAAATAGTCCAAAAGTCAAACTATAACAAAATAAAACTGAGATACCTTTAACTGAACGTATCCTTGTTTTTCCTGGCCGGTTAAAGTGGCATTTTGTTATGTTTCGTAATTGCCTTATATGTTGATTGAGTTCTACTAGTAATGAATATTTTTTAATCGTTTGTAGTATTAAGCGTTGAAAGTCTCAATGTGGGAAAACGCAAACACGAATCTGTTGTTTTTACTATGTAAACATTCAATTAAAATGTCCCAAATTCGTATAAATTCAAAACATTTCATCTTTATCATGGTAATATGGTAATTTCGCTACGACAATTGCTTGCTTAATCTTGGACAGAAATTACGATAGTCCCAGAACCGGCCAAACCTCACTAACGCAAACTAAAAGAACGAATCATATTAAAATATCCCTAAGAAAGATCAGTATCAAATTCCTCCTTGTCATAACAACGCTTTCGGAAACAAAGAATGGGAGATAGCAGGTATTGAACACAGCCCCGTCGGCTCCGAAGGTTAATCGTTACCGCACGTACGGGAACAATCATCGCCGAAAATTTACCTCATGCTCATCATGCAGTGAAAGTCGTGACGATTCTTATACCCAGTTTCCGCCGTCTCCGCTAGGAAGGCTTGGGACCACAACCACCTTTCTGTGTACTAAATACGAATAAAAGAAAACGGCTTGTAGATTATGAGTCTTGCTGCTTACGCAAGCAAGACCAATTAGGACGAATTCGTTATAACGTGGACGTTATTTCAAACCTTACACAGACATACATACAGTCTTAAGTTCCGTGCATCTTGTCTCGATACACCTCCTTAATTAGGTAGTAATGTCAACCAAAATAGTAGCAAGAGAGTGATAACGCAACCTTCAAGAGTAGAAAATAACAAACAAAAAGGAAATGTTGTTAAGAAAAGGCGATGGAAGACTCTTTGAAGGTAATTGCGCTAAGTACCCTCTGTGGGGAAGCAAACCGCATAAAACGTTTGTAATTTGCCACGACATATCTGTAAGTTATGGCGTAATTGATACTCTTTTTATCAGTATTATTATACGCTTTTTTGCATGATCTTATTAGATCCATGTGGCAGAGAGCAGGAGCTGTAAGGCTGTTTGTGGAGCACGTCACTCTATTAAACGAATCTGACGACGATGAAGTTAATTCTGAGAGTGTGGTTACCCTGTGGAAGGTAATTGCAAATGCAAGTAGAGAGTTATAAATAAAAATAAAAGAAAATTGAAACAACCAGTATTTATATCTCGAAACCTCGTCTTACTAGCAACTAAAACACAATTGCACCCAAACCGAACTTAAACTGTACTCTTTGAATCCATGCACGTTAGGTCAGTATATACAGAGGAAAACACAATGAGACAAAAATGTTTGGTTTTCAAAGTTTCTTTTGATTGTCGTTTCTTTGACTGACCCTGGGAAGGAAGGATACTTATTAGTAATTATCTGTTTTCTTTGAAGGCGCTGGGAGAGGAGGCAAACTTTTCTTCACTGAGGTCTCTACAGACTATAGAGAAGTTCCTGATAAACTGCACGGAAGATACTAGGAACAGGTAACACAGCTCAAGTACAGTGTATTTTTATATTTTTTTTCAAAAGAGAGACCTACCACGTTGTGTAAGCACTGTTCAGTAAATATGTACGCTGACGACACAGTTTATATCTCGGTCTTTAATCTGTACCCACTTCGATTTTACATTATTTAAGATCTTCAGTGCTTTTTTGAATGGTTAGAGGGTAAAAGTCTTGTTCTAAATGTTTTCAAAACTAAGAGGTCCCAATTTTCTCCGATTAGTAGTGATGGTGGTGTTGGAAATCGAGAGAAAATTAGTGGTGGTGATGGTGTTGGAGGGAAAAAATACAGATGTAGTGGTCGTGGTGGTTGTTGTGGACGGAAACAATAAATTTGTTGCGCTAGTGGCAATGGTGGTAGGGGAAATCAATAGAAATGTAGTGGTGGTGGTGGTGGTGGTGGTGGTGGTGGAGGACGGAAACAAAAGAAATATGGTAGCTTTGGCGGTGGCGGTGGTGGTGGAGGAGGGAAGCAATAGAAATGTGTTGATAGCTGTGGTGGAAGAAACCATAGACGTTCATTTTATGGTGGTGGTGGTCGTGGGAACGATGATGTGGTGATAGTACTGGAGGGAAACAATCGGAGGGAGATGTGGTGGCGTTGTTGGTGGAGGAGGGAAACGACAGAAATGTGATGGGGGTGGTGACGGTGGTGTGGTAGTTTAGGGTTGACAATGGAAGTCGAAGACGAGGGAAATAGTTGACTTGTCAAGGACTAGGAAGTGAATAGGGGTAAGTAAAAACAAAGTACAAAAACTAAGCTGTCCATCGTCCTTAATAATTACCCAAATTGTGAGTCCAAAATCTGTGAAACGGAACAGGGAACAACTTTGGTAGGAATTAAATACGTTACTTGTCAGTGACATTAGGCGACATTTCATTTGACGCTTATTTCTTCGTTAAAATGAATAAACCATTGAACGCTTATCTAAAGTTTTAGTCAGCCAATCTTAAATCAATGACATCATCCTTAAGAATAACTCAAAATCGGCCCAAGCGCCTAAACGACCTAAAATAGTACTTGACTTTACCGTAATGAGATTCCACCCAGAACAGTAGCCTATTCCTTGCGCCCTATATTACTTTCAAATTTGAAATCTTTAATTTAAAGTATAATTTCAAGACGAAAGGCTCCTATGAATACCAGCCTTTGAGCTGAATGGGCCACCTTCTTTCTATAAAGTCTTATTTTACTGTGTGTTGGCTTAGCTCTCCACATTAAAATCCTGAAATGGACGTCAAATACCTGTACCAAAATTTAAAACCAATAAACAGCGCCATATTTCAAAATCTTCTTTTTGTGGCGTTCTGGCTTTGACGTGGTGGAAGTGCCACACGGTCCACATTTTTATCTTTTAGTTGCTGAAAAGGAATGCTTTCCCCACTTATTTTTTCTGCTACTTTTTTTAAGAGGCAACAATAGCAGTGATTCTGAGTTACGTCGTCGTTGCAACGCCTTTTTCATGGAGCTGGTCTCGTTGTTTTGCTTTGGCGAATCATGTGACAGTTTGGAAGCTGAGGCTTTGTCCCTCCTTATGCGTTACGTTACTGGTCAGCATTCCGCTCAGACGAAGGACTTCTCACCGTTTCCAGACTACGGTATCGATACGACACCTGTCGTGCGTTCCTTTCTTCTCCAGCAGCTCTTACGATCAAGGTGATTGACGAACCTATTGTTATTGTAAATGCTTTGATTTTCGTCACATAATGTCCGGCTTTTGAAGGGGGTTAATTTATGAGAAAGTGTGAAACTTGCTTGGGCTTACCGCGCATGGAAGTTGTTCCTTTGAGTCATAATGTCTATTGTGGTCAAGCCTACTGAAACGTTCCTGTAAGCGTCCAAATTAGAGACGATTTTAAGGGTCATGGTGTTACACTAAGTTGTTAATTTCGAAATAACTTTGTGGGGGGTAACTGTCAGTACGAATGAGAAAGAAGCCATTCCACAAGCTGCCAGCACATAAGCATAATTTTGATTAGTTATTACAATAACTTTTTCTTCTTTCGATTTCAATAAAATGATTAGATCTCGTGCATTTTTGTGTTCTCGTTGAATAATCAGTAAGGCTTAATGAGTAGGTGGAATATGTTGTTGACAATACCTGTCGTTTCGACAATCTGTGTGGTAGTCACCTGCAGAGTCAAAAACACCCAAAAAGACGAATAGAACAAGACACTTGAGATATCCACTATGAAATGGAGGAATTCCAATTTTTAAATGAGGGAATCCGTGGGAATCTTAGGGGGTTCTCAAAATAAGGCCTTGATACAACGTAGTATACTACTCACGATGCTGCTTATGATCTTTCCCTCAAAAAACTTGATATGAATAGAATCTGTTTAAACTGCATACATTTGATTATTATTTTTTTTTTCTCAGCACAAAGTTAGTAAAAGAGCATTTGGAAGCGTTTTTGAAAGAGGCTCAAAGCTTGAAGCCAGACTCCCAGCATGTTAAAGAAGTTTGCTTTCTTTGTGTACAGTGCATGGAGGTAAGTGCTCGTTTTCACCACTTTTAGAGGGAGCAGTTTTTTTTAAACCTTTCAGTCTCAATAGTGACCAAAATCCAAAGTAAAACATTTATACAAATCTCAGATTTCTTTTTTTGTAAAGTGCCCAAAAACAAATAACGTAGGCCTGTTTCAAACGTCGTGCTACTGCTGTGCTAAGCTGGCTCGACTGTAGCTCGACTGCTGCACGGCACTAGTTCGACTTGGTTTCAGACGTCTAATTTAATACAATACAGTATTCTTTATTTAACGAAGGTGACGTAATAACCCAATGAGTTATCTAACTTACGGCCTTCAGTCGAATAGAACGGCTGTTGCCGAAAACAAAACAAAAATAAAGAAACGGTCTAGCAAACTTTTAAATGTATTCTAATGTATTTATAATTTATGAATTGAGTTCGGCACGGCGGTAGCGCGACGTTTGAAACGAAGTCGAGCTACTGTCGAGTAACCCGGTAAAGCTTGCCGTGCTACACGGCAGTAGCACGACTTGGTTTCAAACGTCGCACAACTGCCGTGCTAAAGTCGAATTTAATTCTATCAATTTAGTTCTGCACGGCAGAGGCACGACGTTTGAAACGAGCCTTACTAAGCAACAAATGTTCCAAGGAAGTTTCTTTTAATATATAACAGCACAGGATTCTAATAGATTTAAACCTCAGGGGAAAACATTACCTCACCAAAATGTTGTGTTGAAGTAAAAAGGTTAAACTTTATTTGTGGTTGTCCTATTGAATGGCGATTGTGCTATTAATAGTCTCTTCACGTTTTCTCCCTCACATCACTATGGTCAACTCTCGCCTTGAGGACACCTCACCTTTACGGACACCCCACTCCGCGTATACAGACACCCCACCCCGCTATTAGAGAACCTCGCTTTTACGGACTTGCGGACACTTCTCTCCGTTCCGACAGCTCAATTTTATTGTTCTAACTATCGTTACTACGGTCATCAGTCAGCATCTTTCAACATTTAGGCAGGATTATCGCAAATTATAATTTATTTCTTCCTCTTTTTCGTCTCTGTCAATTAGGTTGAAAAGTGAACATTCCGATTCCCGTTTAACATGATCCTTCTAAGAAACTACCGAACTTACTTGGATTTTCTAGTACCGTACTTTATGGTTTTTGTGTTACTTCAAATTTTTCAGTGACTGCTGTGGTGAACAAGGAAGGGAGATGCAACTTCTTTTCTGTTACGATTTGTTTTGTTTGTAAATAAAGTTCTCCTGGAGATAATGTACATTTATACACACTTTCAGTGATCTTGGTGATTTAAGCAATCTGATTGTTTCACTATCTCGGACTTTTCAACAACATTCACCTCCTACCGAGTGGATAATGTGTGAGCTCGTTGTTTTTCCCATTTTTTTTACAGAATGACAAAGTCGAGAAAATCCTAGGGTTGACACATGTTTTTTTAAGGCAAGAAAAGACTGCGACAGATTCAAAAACGGCGTTTTTCCATTTACTATAGCTGAGTTTTGTGCTCGATGGATTGTTTACAATTCCCGTTTATTCGCGTAGAAGAGGCCGTTTCGTGAACTCAGAGTTTCCTAACAAGAAAAATCTGGCCCAAAAATCGAAGTTTATTCATGACCAACAAATTTGAAGCAAATGGTTGCAGAAATCCTACGTTTCAAGTAAATAGGAAAAAGAATGCCACAGGACGACGACGTCTTACCTCGAGCAACCGAGCCGCCATTTTTGTGAGCGCTTCATGCGAAGAACGACACAACAAACCATTTTGGCTATAAACTTGGCGAGTCAACAGAAAACAACAAAGCTCTACTTTTCTTCTCACGCAAGGAAACAATTCAAACTTTTAAAGGTTCCATTTAAGCCATTACGCTGTTATTTGCGAAGTGATTAACTTGTGAACTGCCATGTGTGAAAATTTTGCAACAATCTTTTTTTAAACTTTCGCGTGATTTGATCCGTCAATCAAATCGTACTTTTTAATGGTTTCCTCTCTGATTTTGTTGAGATCACTTCATGTGTATATACTAAAACAATTATTCTTTTCAATCTCGGTGAATAGTGGCTTTAGTAATATGTACCTCGCCGCTTCGCGGCTCGGAAAATTAGTAGCCACTACCTCGATTTCAAAGAATAATTATTAAATATACATAAAGGAATTTATTTGCCTGCAAATAAAAATGTTTATGTCACCTAGTCACGCAATGATTTATGTTAGTTTGCTAAGAGGGGCACTTATTCCTAGTCACGCATTCACCTTTAACATAGGTAATCGACAGGGAAGAGCTGTGAGCAGGGTCCAATTTGACACAAAATAGTCAAGTATTGATCACACGATTATCACGAGATCAATCGGAAACTTACTAGCCGGGAAATCACTAGCTGGTAAATTACTTGCCGGAATATTACTTGCTGTAAATATTACTTGCTGTAAAACTACTAGTCACGAGCTCGTTCGGAAAAGTACTTAGCCTCGACTTCATTTAAGGTTAGGGTATAAGGCAAGCTGCGTTCCCCGAAGTCTTCCTCTTGGTCTCCTGACGTAACAAGCTTTGCGAATTTGACCCTGGCCTCCTCCTCCCTTCCTCCGCCTCTTTCTTAATAGTAGTTTATTTACTCTGGGTGCCTTTTTTCTCCGCCTTCACCTTTGCCAGAGCGTAAATAATCAAATAATCATAGCTAATCAAATTTGTTTGAAGATGTTATATTTAATCAATAAATCGGCCATCTTGCGTGGCCAAAATTATACCCAAACACATCGTTGTTCCTTATTTCTTTAAGCGCTCTTGCAAACATAGCTCGACTGATGACCCCAGAATTTAGCCAAAGGTTCTCTTTATAATAAGGGCATAAAAGACAAGCGGGCAAGGAGGCATAAATGTAATTCCTCTAGTATCAAGGAAGTTTTTTCTCACACCCCGTTATTACGGTTTGTCGCTATTACGGACAGTAAACCGCGGTCGCGAGGGTGTCCGCAATGAAGTGAGTCGATCAGGGTATTTTTTGTACCTGAAACTAAACCTCTAGAACTAATTCATACCATATATAGTCAATTTCGGTGGACGTTTTGTTATCTTCACTGACTTGAAGTTTACTAACCTCTGTGCTCTCTTATCTTTAGGACAGCATGATAAGTCGATACCAAGCAAAAGTCTCCGATTCAAAGTTGACTGTAAAGTTAAAACATGCGAAGAGGATCTGCGAAGAAGCCTTCAAAGCTTTAAGTGTCAATAGTGATAAGTCTTTTGAGATAAGCGCCGACTCTTTAGAGGCCGTCGCTAAGGGGCGTTACGTTTTAAACCTCGTAGCAGATTACATGTTCAAATGCTTCATTGAAGGAAACTCTAGCTACAGAGACTTGGACGCTCGGAGAGAGCTAATGTCCTTGCTAGAATCTGCAAGATGTTTTTGTGTTGAAGGCTCCAGTTCCACGCCGCAGCTATACCTTCTCAAACAGCTCGTCCGTCTTTATGGTTTTGATTGCGTCAGAACTCTGGGCGGTTATCAAGAACTGGAGTGGGTACTCCCATTAGAGGCCAGACAGCAGGTACGAGACTCCTTGATACCGCCTAGTTAAGAATTAGATTGATTTGAAATCGTGATCATTAGGTCCACACCTACTATTAGAAGTGGGAAAACCCGTGGTTAAAATACAGCAATTTTACAGAAGTTCTTTACGACTTGTTCACCGTTGGCCCCACGGAAGGTACCTAAGGTTGACCAGGTTTCAGTCAGGTTGAGGTTGACTTATTGTTCCTGAAAAGCCCCTTTGGGGAGGAAACAGTAAAGTATGTATGAATGTACGTACAAATGAAAAGGATAGAAGTTAATGGAGTTGTAACTCGGAGTTTCATGCACCAAGCGATCATCAGAATAAAAATTCTGAAATAGATGTCGGTTTTAAACTGGAAATTTGAAATTCATGGACGGTTGGAGCAGCGTCTTCTGTGATTGGTTTGCGAAGAACTTGCTCTCGTGATGACACTTGGTTACCAGCTCGGATCGTTTATTTAGGATAGTATCGCGGGTAGTCAAGATACAGAGTTTCTCAGAAAGGCGCAAATTGCAGCGTGACGGGTTTCGGGTTTGCCCGCGATACTATCCTAAATAAACGACCCGAGCTGGTAACCAAGTGTCGTCACGGGAACAAGTTCTTCGCAACCAATCACAGAACGCGCTGCTCTATGGGGCGCCAAATGTATTTTTATTATTTAGAGTGGTTATTTTTATATAACCAAAACAAGGGTGGTTATTTACAATTAACCACATTACAGTTTTATTATTTCTAAATAACCAAAATATAAAATTGGTTATTTACAAATAACCAAAACTGAAATTTGGTTATTTGCTAAATAACCAAAAATTAAAAAGTGCTTATTTATTAAATAACCAAATTGCGAAATTGGTGCCGGCAGAATGGAAAATTGGCTATTTATAAACAAACTGGACAATTGGTTATTTAGTAAATAAACAAAAATGGACGATTAAAAATCCAAAACTGTGCAAAAATGGTTATTTACCTAATTTGGTCTTAGCAAGTGGCCACGTGGCGCATTTTCCCGCTCAGTTCCCATAACGACTTGCAGACTTCTATTTCCAACATGGCTTCTTCCAAAAACATAGCGCGGTTAAATGCAGAAATAGCTCCGAGCTGCTTTGAAGTTAGCTACTGACCGATCCAAATGTGATACATGCCACTACAGACTGTTCACAGTCCCTATTTTTCCGTAAGATCGTCGAGATCGAGCACTTTGCGTTACGGCAGCCATCTTGGATAAGTGTCAAAACTACTTAGGGGGCGCGGGGCGGTTTGGGAGGAAGCGAGAAAAATAGTCCCTGAGTAGTTTTGACGCTCATCTTAGATGGCTCACCCGTAACGCAAAGCCTATTGCGACAGAATTCTCTAATCATCCTGATATTGTGGAATTCTGTAGGTACTTTTGATCATTGGTCAAGCCAATCTTTGCCCAAAGAGATCTCAGGAGCAGGAAAGTAGCATTTTCCTGCGTATTAATTTACTGAAAATGTCCCGAGGAAAACGCTGGAACAGGATTTCCGAGACCCTAAATATAAAAATATTCTGGGGGAGGATGCCCCCAGATCCCACCAGGTTGGGTCGCCTTCGGCGCTACAACTTTCCTCCCCACTTGCGTGAGAAAGGCTTATTAGAAGACACATCATTATGGGAGCTCTAAAGTGGAACGGATTATGATAGAAATTATGATAACTCGAAAGAACAGACGGGAGCCAACCTTAATTCTCCAGTCAGCAAATGATGTGACCAATAAAATTGTAAAAGAAATCGAAAAGAGAGACACTTTATTTGGTATTTCATTCAGTTTTTAGCAAGTACAGTATTGACTCCAGGGATCAAATACTTTCACGGGATCATGGATCAGGATTCGCAACAATTTTGGATCAGGTATCAAAATTTTATGGCCAAAATGTGAGATCAGTCGGGAAAATATATACCTAGTTAAGACCCTGTTGTATAACAAAACAATGTAAAATACGATACGTTTCACTGAAATGCAAAATTATTTTTGAATATGTGTAATGTCTAAAGATTAAAGGACAAGGGAACAAATAAGTCAGAAATGAATAATGTGACGGCACGACAATTCGTTGGATAATCTCTGGACTATCATGAAAACCAACTGAAGTAGATGACGGTAAATGAAGACTAATGGTGGTGGATGTAGGCGTATGAAGGTAAAAGAAGGCTAATGAATGTAGATGACCGTGGATAAAGGCTAATGGGGGTAGATGAAGGTGAATGAAGGCTAATGGAGGAAGATGACGGTAGATGAAGGTGAAAGAAGGCAAAGGCAAATGAAGGCCTATGTAGGTAGATGAAAATTAATGACGAAGGATGAGTGTGAATGAAGGTAAATGAATTAGAATGAAGGTGAATTAAAATAAATGAAGGTGAATAAAGATTAATGAAAGCGAATGAAGGTGTACGGAGGAAAATGAAAGTAAATGAAGGAAAATGAGGGTGGCAGAAGGTAAATGAAAGAGAAAAGAGGAAAGTGAAGGAAGTGGAAGAAGCCTTGTTGGAAGTAGAAGTCTGCAAGTCGTTATGGGAAATGAGCGGGAAAATGGGCCACGTGGCTACTTGCTAAGACCAAATTAGGTAAATAATCATTTCTGTATTAAATAATCATTTTTGCTCATTTTTGGATTTTTAATCGTCCATGTTTGTTTATTTACTAAATAAGCAATTGTCTGGTTTGTTTATAAATAACCAATTTCACATTTTGGTTATTTAATAAATAACCAATTTCGCATTTTGGTTATTTAATAAATAACCAATCTCGCATTTTTGTTATTTATTAAATAACCAATCTCGCATTTTGGTTATTTAATAAATAACCACTTTTTAATTTTGGTTATTTGCTAAATAACCAAATTTCAGTTTTGGTTATTTGTAAATAACCAATTTTATATTTTGGTTATTTAGAAATAATGAAACTGTTATGTGGTTATTTGTAAATAACCACCCTTTTTTTTGGTTATATAAAAATAACCACTCAAAATAATAAAATACAGTTGGCGCCCCATAGTGTTCCAACTGTCCATGAATTCAAATTCCCACCTTAAAACAGAAATCTGTTTTCAGAATTTTTAGTCTGATGATCGCTTAGTGCGTGAAACTCCGAGTTACAGCTCCATTAACTTTTATCGTTTTCATTTTTATCTCGCTTTGCATACTTTTATGTGTTGAGCACTCCTAGGATAAGTGAAGCTATATGTATGTTTTGAGATCTATGTATTTTTTTTTGAATGATGGATCTACTACAAGATATTTTACTTAACGGGCGACTTGCTATCGATTTTAGGAGGAAAACTTCATCCAAGACAGATTTCTTGTTCATGAGCTCCATTACCGTACAATACGCGAGGAAATGGCAAAAGCAGTGATAAGTGGAAACACTGAAAACATTACAGCTGCAATCACTGTAAGCAGATATTGTTATTTGTTACGGATTCTCTTTCCTTATGTCCTTCCTGCATATTTGTCATTAAAAAAAAAACATCGTTAACCATGAGTTCACTTCTTATTGACATTTTATGATTTCAGGAGACTGAAATGCAAAGTGGCTGCAAAGAGGTCCTTATTTTGTTAGCACTGTATCGTGAAATAACTTTAACGAATGGATCACTTCAACGGCAGAACATTTCTGAAGAGGTAAGTTAAGTGCGCTAGCGTCGATTCAGCTAAGGGTCCGTAAGAACTCAACGGCGTGACATCAAGATGATTAGAATTTAACATAAGGGGGACCTCATTCTACGCGTACGGTTCTGCTTAACCTGAGATCAGGCGTTTTTTTTTTTTGGCTTCTTTGTTTCTTTGGCTCGAGAGGGGAAAAAATAACGCCTGATACATTCATTTAACAAGCCGTTAACCGCCCCCTAATTTACATAATCTAACGTCTTCTTGGCCTGTCATGTTATTTAACAGTTAGTGAATGAGGCTGAGTATCTTATGAAGAATTATGGAGATCGAGGAGGGTGTTATCCGTCGAGGCCGTAGGCCGAGGCGGATAACACCCTCCGAGATCTCCATAATTCTTCATATGATACGAAAGTCGAATTCAATAACTATTTTATTATTCATTCAAAATAATTCCTAGTTCAAAAACATAGCTAAAACATGCTTAATACCTCCATCGATCCATCGATGTTAAGTTCATCTTCGATAGTGTACATTTAGGTTTGTCCAGCTCCGCAAGTATTCTCCAAATAGCAGATGTCTCCCTTCGAGTTGTCTTCTTGCTGTTCTTGCCATGTTTTTAGCCATTTTTTCGCGTAGTTCTTACTCTTGAAACGAGTGAAATGTCCGCCATTTTTTCAAGTTCACAACCAAAACAACTCAACCTCGTCCCCAGGTCTTCTCGGTTAACGGTGCCTTAACCTGCGAAAACGCTGCATTTTTGACGTCATTTCCTCGTTAAAGTCAAAATTCTTCCAAATTTGGTCACCAGTAACTGGTTATGGTGAATTAAACGTGTGCTTTTAGCCAATCAGAATCGAGGAATTATTTTGAATGAATAATAATAGCCAATAAGCGTTTACCATACGGGAATCAAATTTTCGCGCGAATAATGTCTCTTTTGAAATCAATTTTAGGGAAAAGAAAATTTTTAAGTTCGTCCATGTTCAGATGGCACTTCCTAAAAAGAATTTTAAATGTGTTCAAATACTGCTAGCTGGAGCTGCCGTACCTTTATTTAAGAGCTACAAATAATAAAGAATTTACTGGTTAAAGCTCGTTGACTTCGTTCAGTGCCGAAAGCAGTGAAAAAAAAATTAGGGTGAAGCACCATATTTTACGAACTGAAAGGTGTTGTGAAAGCAAAGATGGCACAGAATAATTCGCAGGTTTCTAAAGGAGGAGTTACAGTCAAACCAGGTCAAGATTCCATTCATGAATTGATTATTTGGAAAGTGAACCCGTTTGTCGCTTCTGTAACTTGTAGTCGGTATCAAATTGCATTCAAATGATCGGTGAATTTTTGACTGCAACTTTTTAGTATACGATGAGATGGAAAATATTTCAATGGGTGAAATTTCGGTCATGTTGAAACGCAAACCATGCAGACTGCAGACTGCAGACTGCAGACTGTGCAGACCGTGCAGACTGTGCAGACTGTGCGTTATTTTTTTACTTGTAGCTCAATTTTCTAGTAAAATTTTTACTATAGTTTCCTGCTTCCTCTCATTATGTGCACTGTGCATCACCATCATATGTTGCACTGATGTGTACCTGCAAGGGTCATGGGTAGGAAATGAGAAAATCACGGGCTCATGTTTACCGGCAGATCTAATTAAGCAGTTTCGCGTGCTTTCACGCAGAAGCGAGCACGATGGGGGAAGGTAAGCTGTTTCTTTCTGTAACTGTATTATATTGCCACGATTATTTATTTCTTTAGTAGAAGAAGCTTTTTCAGTTAATCCTTTTCGGCTTCCTACAACGGCTACGAGAGAGACATTTCATCAATTTCGTTGATTGTTGATGATCGTCTTTGGTTTCACTCTGTAATTCAAACCGGTGTGTCGTGTCTTTTTCCCGCGAATTTTAATTATGTTAATGTCTTTTCTTTGTTTTCGAGCACGTGACATTGTTGTGATGCAGTCGGTCACAAACTTTAGAGCCTAATCGTCGATGTTTTCGCGTGGATTCTATTTTCTTCTTTGTAGCTTGATAGTTCAGTTTGATGCGGTTGCATGAACAAGTTTTTTCAAGTATCGAGGAATTTGTATTTGCTCGTGAAGGAGCGGCGAAAGGAAACGGTGGATTAAACAGAATTTACGAACGACGCGTGGACTAGTAATTTGTGCCGAGTGTGATCTTCTCGTCGAAGTATCCCACACGGTGACTTGCCGTCATTTCTTCAAATCTTACAGATACCGATGTCATCGTTTTTAGCTCGGGATATCAAACCGAGACGTTTGAGAGATGGGCCTTGCTTTAAAATGTGTAAATAAATCAACGGTATATCTTCCTAAAAATAAATATTCTGATTTCCACGTGTTTGGCGGTTCCGTAAGCGTCAGAATTAAGAGAAGAAGGGCAGCGACTTGAAACTTCTCACAGATAATATTCAATGAAAATTAAGACAAAATATACCTAAAATACACGGCGGGGGATCTAGTTCAATGCGCATTAAAACCCCCTCCACATCTTCGAGTTGTACAAATAATACATTTGTTACTAATGAACTATTTAGTTTTGGAGCTGCATAAACAAGAACCATGATACTCGAACAAGATTGTCGGTTTCAAACCACTACCACTTATTGGCGCGAATGCATGGAGCAAATACAATTGTCGATCCCCGAGTGAGAATCGAATAAAAAAAATACATAAACAAAAGTCTTACCCGAATCTTACGAGCTAACAACGATGACATCGGTATCTGTAAGATTTGAAGAAATGACGTCAAGTCACCGATTTGAATTACAGAATGAGATCAAAAACGATCATCAACAATCAAGGAAATTGAGGAAATGTCTCTCTCGTAGCCGTTGTAGGAAGCCGAAAAGGGTTTTATTTTAAGTCACCTAACCTGAAAAAGCTTCTTGTAGTAGAAAAATTTAAATAATCGTCGCAATATAATACAGTTACAGAAAGAAACAGCTTACCTTCCTCCATCGTGCTCGCTCCTTCGGGAAACTATAGTAAAAATTTTACTAGAAAATTAAGGTACAAGTAAAAAAAAATAACACTTAGTCTGCACAGTCTGCACGGTCTACACAGTCTGCAGTCTGCAGTCTGCATGGTCTGCGTTTTAACATGACCGGTGAAATTTCTATTTAGGCATTCTTCAAATTCAAGAAAACTGAGCCGGCAGAAATTTTATAACGAACTCGACTCGCGTGTGTATTCACTGCTCATGACGCAAGCAAAAATGCAGACTGAAATCAACAACACCTAACGGATGGCGGCATTTTGGCCAATTGGAACAGCGCAAATCATCCGTATTGTTTCCTATCCAATCAGAAAAAAGTCCAGATTCTGGCTTTTTTACATGTGATCCGACAAAGAAATGTATCATGCCCTCTTCCCGTGAGAGACTTAAAGGGATAATAGGGAGAGGGCATGATCTCAGGCTAGGTTCTGCTCAGATTATTCTATTCACGGAGGTCATGGTCAACAAACCAATGTAAAGGCTGACAATTCTCCTTGCTACATCCTGTTGAGACATATCTCCGCCAGTAGCTTCTAATTCATAACTCCCAGTCATGAGGTATTAGTTTAATAACTATTCTCTTACATATTCTTTCATTTCTTATTCCCTTCATTTATTTTGTAAATACCGTAGGTAAAGGAAAAACTAGATGGCTTCATTCAAAACGGAGGTCATATTTCCGTTAAGGTGAGCTAAACGAGCCTATACAATGATGAATATATGAATGTCGTATAATGGGACCGCAGAGTGAAGAAATATATGCAAAGGAGATCGTCGCAGTTAAATACACAACTTATACGGTTGCGAAGAGAAAGCCTGAAAAGTTCGGACTCACCAGGATTGGAACCCTGACCAATGATATACCGTTGCAGCTCTCTAACCAGTTAAGCTAGTATTGCAACTGGTCTGAGCTGGTCATTAAATTGGTCTCAGTGGTGGAGACATGATGTAGCGTGAGCTTTTCGTTCCATGATCGTAGTAAAGGAAGGTTTGTCAGAAGGACAATAATTTGGTAATAACATTTCGTTTAGATCAATTAACAACGTTGGTACCAGAAGCAATGCTGAACTGTCTTAGAAACTGCAAACAAAAATATTTCTTAAGTATGAAGCAGACTGAAGTGTTACGGCTCCTCCCGGAAAGGGATCTTTGTCCTCGTCGGTTATTACAATCAATTTATCGCCAGCGCATATTTAATAGACCTTTTTACCGATACGGCGGTCATATTGAATTACTTAGATTTAAGGAAGATTATGGGATGCCCAGGGGGCATGAACACGATCCGTTCACTCGCTCAGTACTTATAATTACGCGCGCCCTTTTGGGCCAATTTTTAAGTTTTCCTGGAAAAATATTGTAATGGGAAAAAACATCGTTGTTCCGCGTTTGGTTGTAATGATGATCTCCTTTTTCCCGAGAAATTTACGGTGAAGTTCTCTGAGTCAGCGAGTGCCCCGTGGGCATCCCATAATCTCTTCAAATCTAATAAATTCAATATGGCCGACCTATCGGTAAAAAGGTCTTTTTGAGGCATACTTTCTTTTTGTCTGATGGTGCCCCTTCTCCCCCCCCCTCCGCGTCAGAGACCCGGAGGACCAATAATCTAGCTTACCTAACGTCGAGTGGGATTAATGTGAGCGTAATTTCATCCTCCTTTTTTAGGTTCAGCGTTTCGCTAAACAACTTCTCCAAAACAACCAAGGCGATCAATTCAAGGAACTTCGAGTCTTTCCTGGAAAGAGCTCACAGGACCACACCTTAGCTGAAATAGTTATTCACACCTCAGCTGCCTTACATTGTTTTGGTCCAGGGTCACTATCTGAACCTCTTGCTGCATTAATGATGGAACCTTCTAAGTTGACGGTATGTGACCGATGCTGTCAACTGTATAAAACAGTCTCTTTGTCCCCCATTTCGTTTAATCTTCTCTAAATAGTTTTTTTTATTATTTTTTTTAGAAGTTTGGAGACTGATTTTTGTAAAGTAAACAATCATTATATACGATTGTAGATTTTACACTGAGTTTAAGTAAGTAAGAATGCTATCGTGCTTCCATGCAACGAATAAATTATCTTTCTAATATTGTGCAGAATTCCTACCTTCCAACCATGCCCGAAGACAACTTTGCTGAGTGCATTGCTGTTATCGCCGAGACGATGAAGGCAACTGGTCGGCCTGGCGAATGGTATGGTTAGTATCTTTCCAAAGAAATGTACTTACAACTTCTGTCAATCATGCCTTACCAAGGACTCGAATACTTTACCTATTGTATAGCCAGATGGAATAAATACAATGTGATATCTTGAACGAGTGGAAAATGGCTTAAGAACAATTCTGCCTATAGCCCCCCCTTCCCCACCCTTAGAAATCGTCTAAGGTTGATTTATAGAGAGGCCAAGGCATTGGATTGATTGAGGCTCCAAAAAGGCGATAGCTAGTTGGATTGTTATTTGCACAATGAAGGAATATATGCTATATCGCAGCTTAATCCCACATAAGATCGAGTGTGAGTCTATAGGTCCTTTAAGCCTGTCCCGCGTGCGTACCATTTCATGTGGAAAGATATTAGAAGGGTAATTGTTGGTGTCACTTAGTTTGTTTTATCTTACCTCTTTAGAATGCGGAAATTGCAAGCATCCATATTTCATTGGTGAGGTGAGTGCGTCATTTTCCGTTGGTACCTTCACAAACATTTTCGACACAAGTCTTCTTGACAAAAGGCTAAACTCAAATACATTTAAGACATATTTACAGTAAATCGTAGCAATAGAGAAAAAGGACACAACAGTCAAAGTATGTCCAGTCTTTATCCTCGGTAATACTGACCTGTTGCGAAGCTTCTCTTTGAACAAGAAGTTTCTCTTATCAATAGCTAGTTCAGTCCGTCGTCAATGGACACTTTTCATATTTTTCCTATCAAAGTCCGTGTCGACAAGTTGATATGTTAGCATTTTCTTATTTATTCCGCGTAATGATTAAGACGTTGAGGTTCCCTCGAATTTTATTCGTGAGCGATGCTCCCCACTTTTAGTAGGTTGCTGCTCTAAAAATTGGCTCAATGGGTGGCTGTTTCTTCTACTTCTCTTACTCTCGGATTTTTTTTTTCTCTCAACGGTTTGTTACTTATTTTTTATTTATTTGCCTGTGTTTTGTTTTACAGTGTTCAAAGCCAATGGAGAAGGGTCACTGTCCAGACTGTAAAAAGGTAATAGGAGGAGAACAGCACAGGTTTTTAGGAGAATACAAAATTTCTGACAGGTAAATGTAAACTACGTAAGACTTACGTTTATGCACTCGATATGCAAAGATGTATTATAATAATCACTGTCAAAATAAAGGCAATAAGGCAAGTGAAATTAGTGTAAAACCAAGCCATGTATAGCTATCGCGAACAAAAAACGCATAGGTGCCGAAACTTGCAGTGTAAATTGTACAAAAAGTGCACTACGTTCGTGCCTTTTAATAATTTGGTGTCATTTTTTGGTACCTGACTCAGGTAAAGGTCAAGTAAACAACAAAACGTAACTCTAAATATCTTTTATATATGATCATAAGTTTCGAAGTAAATGCGGGATACCATGATGTCTTTCTGTTGCCTTGAAAGCGATAATTACCTTGTTTTTTATTTGAATGACTGAATGATTCATCGCTGTGTCTGTGCATTTCCTCACGACGTTATAGTGCGCTTACTATTTGGCGGGACTGGCCGGCTAGACTGGTCTAGACGTAAAGAAAATACCTTCATTAATCAGGACATCCCTTCCAAGTCAGTCTTTCCAGTGCGCACGGCAGTGAAAGGGCCACTGGCAAAACTGGTGAAAAAGTTCAATTTTTTTTTTCGCAAAATCAGTCAGATGAACAGTCAAATTCAGAACTGGTCGGCCAGTTCGGAATTTTTGTGAGCGCCCTAAGTTATTAGAGACCTTAAGATTGCGGTTTTTCGGCATTTCCCGCGAACGTAAGAAGTCTCGTGACTAGGGCCTTACCGTGAGATTATTTGCGGTTTGAGGTTCACGTTTGTACGGCTAGACCACGCTCCAGAGGTAAGTGATTAACCGCAAGGTTTTTTTGCAACCTGAAACATCACAATCCCACGTTTGAGAAGAAATACGACTTTTTAAAACTCTTTTGCTTATTGATTATCGAATTCGATTTCGAAAAAACGTAATTTTGAAGACAATTTCTCAGCTAAAATAGAAGTAAGTAAATGAATGAAAACAAGCATGGCAGCCGCGAGCTACCACCCACTAATCTCAATTCAAGTCCCAAATATGAGAAGACGGGTAACTTGAAACCGTTAACCGCAAACCGCAGTTTGTCGTTTGCAGTAAAATGACCAAACCTCAATCTTAAGTTCTCTATTATCTTCAATTATATTAACAGATTTATGTACATATACGTGTTTTTTTGATCGACCTAAACTTTTTAGGGCTGACAGAACAAAAACTGGACACGCGCTAGGTCCGCCAGATTCGAGACCCACCACTCCTGAGCCACAGAGAAACCTCTCTCCAATTATCTGCAGTCTGTTAAGAATTATTATGCACTCGGCCATGGTCATGGGGGCTTGTAGAAATCCTCAGGTAACTACTTTAGAGGTATTAGTATATTGAATATGATAGTCGGGGTGGGTGTAGTTCTGAAGATGACTGTGGTTGACAGTGAGAGTTGTTTCGACAACCTTTGTGGTAGTTATGTTCAGAGTCATCTACACTCACGCGGACGACCATATTCCTCCTAGTTATGACGAGACTGTATGGTTCAAACATTTACCATGCGTTATGAGAGCCGTAACTTACCTTAAACATGACATACTATGAACACTTATACTCGCCTATTCTTCTGAGGTCCATTTTTCAAGAATGGCTGAATAGTAAACTAAATAGGACTCTCAAAAGACAAGAAATGTTCATAGTATTCACAGAATCGGCATCTAATATTTGTTAACTAGTTTATTATCTTTTCCTCAATGTATGTTGGTATCGTTCTTACCTCCAACAAACTATGGACGTCTATACCAACAAACAGATCGAAAATAGCGGCAATTTGAGGTCTGTTGACAACCCTGTCTGCTGACAACATCACAGTTTGTTGTGACGACACAGTTAACTCGAAGCGTCTTATACAGCGTCAGCTTTCACATTGAACCCATCATGTGGCATGACTTGACGGTGAAAACTCTCATAAAAGAAATGTAGAATTTAGAAAACAAACTAAAAATAAACCGAAGTTATGGTACGATCGAAGTAAACGAACAAACAAACAAATAACTGACATTCTGTGCAGCATAATAAGAAAGAAATCTGCTGCCTCGCGATTTGACTGTACATGTGGTTACTGAACAAGTCAAGTGACCAAGCTCAAGCTATCACATTTAAGCCCGAGAAAATGTTACTTGAAAATTGGTGGGAAAGCGAAAGAAAGAGATATGGACAAATGAAACGCTGAAATGAGTTCTGCAAAAAAAATAAGTTTAATCCTTTTACTCAATAGAAAAACCACGTTCGTTTCTAAACACAATTTCATTAATAAAATACAGTACACAGTACACATTTGGTGGGGTTCGCTCAGAGCAGGTCTCATCGACTCGCGAGGGCTCACTTTCAATATAACCTCATGATTTTTGACACGGAGTTTTTACATCGTTTGTTTTGTCGTGTTTGCATCGAAAGCTGCAGAAAAGTTTTCCGAATCACCAAGTAGCTTTCCTAAAAACACTCGTGATGTTTAGTAATCCTTAAATTTACTTCGCGTCAAGGAATTAATTGCACTGTAATTTTTATTGCTGGTTTTTTCTACAATTTTCTCCAAAGGCTGCTTCTCAACTTATCACGCCACCATGTGATCCAGGACATGTTGCGGAATTTCTGTGGAAACACATGCAACGGGACCTCAATGTTCTCGGGAGGGCCTTGGGACGAAGTGTTGATGACGCAGCTTTGACAGTACATCTTGTTTTGCACCAAATGATATCACTTAACGGAGGACAGACCGGTAAAATGTATTGCATTTTAATGATGCGAATTGTGTCAGTGTGTTATGCATGGCGCATCTTTTTGGTGGACGATAAAGAGTATTAAAACAATTATTATAGAGCAAAAACTAGAAGCTTTCCAAGCTCCAAGCTCTTTTTTCCGAAAGGTAAGCTGAAAAAGCGGCGAAAATCAAGCCACGATGCGATATTCATTTTCCTGTCTTGCCTACGGGAGTAGGTTTTGAGGGCACAAGCTTAGGATGGTGGCAGAAGGTTTTCTTAGTACTAAAGTACCCTGGTATTTCTTTCAAATTGAAACAAGTACTTCTCTTTAAAACCCACGAATGCAAAACAAAGAAATAACTCAGAGAAAAACTCGCAGTGGAATATCATTGGCTAAAGAACTTTTTATGGAGACAAACGCTGAATTATGATTGGTATTTGAAAAGGATTGAGGGTTTAGGGATGATCAAAAATAGATATTTTGTCATTAAACCAATTATATTTGCGTTTGCATCAATGTACATCATTTTCCATTCCTCTTCAGCAAACACCCATAATATGAAGCTTCAAACCCGAGAGAGTCGTCGAAACTGGGAGACAGATTTCAGTTCTGTTATTATTGCTCCCGTTCTTAAGGTACGTTAAGACCATTTTTCAGTATTTTCTCACGTCGCTTATGCACTTTAAAAGGTCATTCAGATTCTGACCTCAAGGTCATAAATTCAGTCAAAATGAAAGAAAATGAATAAAGATGATAACTATATGTTGATTTCTAACAAAATTCTTATTATCTATCTTAGCAACTTGACCAGAGGTTACAAAAGTGTTCCAAACTCGTAATGGAAGACGAGCAATTTGGTAAGGCTTCTAATATTTGTATTTTTTGATGAAGCAACGAATTAAGCGTTGTCTTTATTGTCTACGTTGCTGTTGAGGGCAATCAAAACCTGTTTTTCCTGAGCTGATATGTATACATCAGCCATCAGCTTGGGTTAGGAATACCACAGAGGTTCTACGACCACCCGAGAAGCTCAGATGCCCAATAAGATGACTTTGTTACTCCCAATTATTTATTATTTTTAACTGCCAGGGCTATCTAGGAATTTCTGTTGACCTCTCATAAAGACACCGGTCTGAACTAAAAAATGCATAAGGAGCCAGAAAAGAAGTGAATTGCAATAAGCTGACTCAAGACCTCAATAAGCTGAGTCGGCCATTTTCATTGTGTCACGAATGGATCAGCGGAAGAGAATTGATCTGCGTTACTCACTATTCACATTTCCACTTTAGGAAGTGACCCATTAGTACGGACGCTGTACGAGTTTGACGAACACAAAGAGGACCTAAACCTCGGGGTAAAGCCGATGTCACGGTCCCTATGGAAGTACAGACGTCAAATTACTGTGGAGCATCTGGCAAACTCATTCCAGCAGGAAGCTTTGTCTGCTGGTGTAAATCAAAACAAAGTTTTAGGAGCTTTCCTAAAACAGGTAAAAAATCTCTTCTCATAGAACGTAGATGTCACTGCTGCTTCATCTATCGCTTAAAATTTGAGTGTGTACCGTAGAATGAGCAGTAGCGCCTGAAGTCGCATCATTTTCAAACGGTAGATTTTTATGCCTCTTTACCAATCAAGGCTCTGCACGTTTTCTTCTGACACCATATAAACACTTTGCTCACGCACTTAGAATTCAACTTGTTGTAAAGCTTTGCATGGCTGCTCGGCGACTGTCACAATGCTAAACGGTAATTCTTCTTCTTTAATCACCGTTTAAGACTGGCCATCAAAAAGCGTCATGAACTTGGTTGATAGTCTTCGTTATATATTTAACAATTATTCGAATTTTGTAATCCCCGATACGAAGTCTTCGTTATATATTTAAGTATATTATCTCAACAGAATCAGAAGGAAACCATTAAAAACGATTAGTTTGATTGAATAACATGTTGTAAACAGTCGCATGGAAAATTTTTTAAACAGCCCCGATGATTGAAAAGAAAACGTCGAAAGTTTGAATAACTCCCCTTTCTGCGAAGAAACACAGAGCTTTAAATGAGAATGAAAAAGATTTTTGGCAGCAAATTTCAACAGCGGCTCGCGCGGTCTTGTTTATTGGTGTTCCCCATGATAACTCACGTACAGTTTTCTAAAATAGTTTGCTTTCCTTTTTTCTCCATAAATTAACTTCTACTTTTTCACAAAATTGTTTTGGGACGGAATTCAAAAAACAGTTAAAAAGCGGCCTCGTTTTCGCGAAAAACATTTTCGAAAAGATGAAAATATATCAATTCACAATAAATCGAAACATCTGCTTTTCCAACAAAATCATCAACAAGAATATTCATTTTCAAAACTAAAATTGGCAAAAGACCCAGTTCACAACAGCGATTTTGTTTTGCTTTATATTCACCGCCTAGCGCGCCGAGGGACTTAACATTAAGTGTTTTGTTATATTTCTAGACTTTCACTTCAACAGCAACAACAACAACAACAAAGAAAAAAAAACCGGAGCGAACCAAAACAGTCGACTTGGTACTTAAAACAACACAAATTTATATATCAAAACCACTGAATGAATTATTTACAAAGTACTTTCCTTATATTATCTGAGACCAAACAACTTTTTCTCTTCTTTACTTTAAAAATGATTCAGCCACCATGTGTTTTGTTGTTTTCAAAAATTACTGGCGGTGTTTTTTGCCTTCTAGTGGGTTTTCCACCATTCTTTGTTTATTAGTAGCTCAACCAATTGCAATGAACGCAGAGACATTTGATTTTATCAGATTTTGACCAAAAAATCAATAGTCCCTGAGATAAAGTCGAACCAATCATAGATTGTTTGAATCAATCAATTGCTTGAATCACCAAGATCACTGAGTGTGTATATACTTAAGATAAATATTTGACTTTTGGTTGTCATTTTTTGGTGCTTAGTGGTTTTTTCTTCTTCAGGAACATAAGTTACGGTCAATTCAGTTTCTTCCCGATATTGTACGACTTCAGCGTTTGTTGATGGATCGATTTCACAGAAGAATTGACAGGAGTGACGCAGAGAAGTTTGCCATCCGAGAGTTTCTTAAAAGTCTTCCAAGAGGTAATACTGGTGCCTTACCGTTCAGTTCTTTCCTAAGAATGCGTTTTCTTCTAAGTTCCGTTAAAAGTTAAGTTAAAGTCATCACTTTCCACGGCAAATGGATTTCTTTATTTCCCATTAATATTGTTGGTTTGTCAGCTTATTCCTCACAATTTGCCATTGCAGGAGCAAAGAGCCATAATTAAAACAGTTAAAACACCTTTTCATAAATATTTCTTTGAGTCGTCAGCTGAAATAATTGATTGGGAAGGCAATAAACATTACAGTTGTGTAACTGTTTATATACTTCTTATTTTCACCTCTGTACAGGGGCCGCAAAAGAAGAGTACGTCAATCTGATTCAGAGTTTTAAGATGGCGTGGAACTCTTGCCACTCATTTCTTGGTGATCAAGGTAAAAGGGTGGTTACAGTTTATTGTAGCAAAGGAGAGTAAAACGAAAAAGTAGAGAATAAATGCATTTGGAATTAAATTGGTGATTGAAAATATCTAAAAGCCCCATTTTGTGTGTGTTGAAGCCTCATTACTGATCATGACGAACCCACTCGAAAAATGCAGTGATAAAGGCTCTCTTTTTCACAGGCCGACTCCGTGTACCAGAGGATCTCTGTAATACCACCATGGATAATGACTGTCCAATTGCTATGCTACTTCCCAGCACTACAGGAATGGGCGTGTGCTCTACGGCACTGACATTTTTCTTAGTTAACACGCATGACGAGTTTCTTGGAACCTTTCGTAGTTTGACCAACCAGGAAAGGTATTATTTGTTATGAACGTTTATTTTCCGTTCGATGATAGACTTAGGATGGTGGGCCTTGTAGCTACGTGGTCCAGGCAAACCCATATTTCTGCTACAAACTACAAGCATTGCAATGTAAGCTCGAAGTGTTTTAGGCGCTCTTATTAAGTCCTCGTCCCGGGTATAATTCTATTTTTACTGCCACCGCGTGCTCCAGCTTAAGACTAAGAGGGCTAGCCGATTTGTGTTGCTGGCGCTTGTAATCATGAGAACATTTGGCGAGAAGAAAGGATCACTTGGAGATCCAGCAGTTGTTAAATTTGAAAAGTAATTTTCTCGTGCGTTAGCGTTCTAGGCGAAAGAAAACATATTTATTTCCTGTTTTTGATAGGCCAGAAGGACTTTCTGACCAATTACAACTAAGGCATCAAGTGCTTCTTGAATTGGTTTGGTAAGAGCAAGGGCGTAGGGGCTCTTCCCTCCCTTTCGTAAACGGTGTTCCATTGCTGCTCCTGTCTCCACGGATGAATTGGGGGTAAAAAAAGACATTAGTTTATGGCACTTTCCTTCTTTTTATATGTATCACACAGTTTATAGAAGCATGTATCACCAGTGGCGGTGGAGATGAAGCCTGTCTTCTAACCGAGACGGCAAATGAATTGAGTAAATTAGCTATTCAACTACATTGATTAAACACCTTTTCATGGGTTTTCCTTGAATTTCACATGAAAACGAAAAATCCTAGTTAGCCGTATAACATTGAGTCCTCCTACTGCCGATGAAAAAAAGCTCTAGGCTGCATTTTATAGTGTGCTTTCATAACTTAACATCCTAATTCTACAATAAAAACGTTTTTATAGTGCCCTTGAGCGTGTTCCTGTGACAGAAGTGACAATTTCGCACCTGATAGCCTATGATCCCGAGAAGGACCTGCTGCCACTAATTTTAGCGCACTGTAACTACTCGTTAGAGGTGGGGAAGGAGACCTCGGTTCAGTATGACTGGGCTGCGCTGGAGAGGCAGTTGATTGACCGGTTCCTAAGAGGAAGACCTTTTGTTGATTTCAGGGTAGGTCACTGGCAACATTTCGGTAAGACAGAACAAACATCGGGAATAATCTTTTACATCATGTATCGTATATTATCATATCAGAATAGACATGCAAACATGTACTTATAATTTGTCGATTCCTTGAATATTTTACTGCTGAATTAAAATCAAATAATAATAACAGGAGAAGGAAACGTACTTTTGTAATGTTCATAACTATTTCAAAGTACGCAGTACCACTGTTGCACGATAACAGGACGAAATGCCTACTGAAAACAAAAGCGTTATTTATGTCTTGATCTCAAGGCTTCAGAGTCCCGTTAAATTTTCCAGATCGCAGTTTAATTATTCCTTTGTTTTTATGTTCTTATCATTCTACTTTAGGAGGAACGTTTTGCTTTTAGTCGAGACACACGTGACGATACCGTGTTTTCCTCACTGGCAGAAAAAATCCCGCAGGTGAGTGCGTCGGTAAAACTTTTCAGTAAGTATAGCGCGGTGAAATATATCAGGAATTAAAAACCATGCATTAATTATTCTGAATACTGTTTCAATACAGTTGATTCAGACCGAATGCTGTTTTGTTTTCACTCAAGTTCAAGGTTTCACAATTTTTTCAGATAATCTGATAAACCTACCAGTTACCAAAGTAATTCCCGCCCTTTTTTGAATTTTTATTTTTATTTTGATCTTTGGCTGGGGGCCCTAAACGTTACTGGGACTTTCGAAAAACGGACCCCTGTTACCATATAACACGTGAGAGAACGTTTTCACTCACGTGGCCAGCATCTGTGTAAATGTATTGCAAGAAAGGATTGGCTTTTTAAGGTGGTATTACACTGGACGATTCGCAACGACGATTTTTAGCGCAACGCAGCGTCGCAATGTTGGAACAATGGTGTAAACAATCAAAAGAATGCGGCAACAATGTTGCAACGCTGTTTTGTGCTAAAAATCGTCGTTGCGAATCGTCTCGTGTAACATCACCTTTACACCATCGCGACTGCCGTTTCATTGTTTTGGAACACCAATATGGCCACCGTGACCTCATGTGAAAGCTCTATATAAGGACTCTTTTGGACCTTTTTGCAGCAGATATTAGTTTCAAACCAAACTATGATGTTGCATCGGTAAGGGAGTAAAACTAAACAGAAAGGCTAATTAAAAATGCATTCTTGGAGTTGATGAGGTAAACTGGCCGCTATCTATAAATGAATTCAAAACATTTTCTTTAACCGATTAACTTAGTTTATAAGCTTTTAATATAACAGTTTCTCCTCAAAAAGATTAAGTTAGTGATTTTTGTCACAGGAACCTATCTCTCGTGTAATCGAAGGCCAGATTATCACCGATCTCCGCTCCTCGTTATCGGATGTTTGTGATGTGTTATCATCACTGGATATCGCCATTGGCTTCTTAGCTTCTTCAGGAGGCCAGGAGGGAAGACAGTTGAAGTCTTACTTGCATGAAACACTTAAACTTCCCAAAGAGCGTGGACTTAAGAGCCCAACGGTACGTGAAGTTTATTGCATGTAAGTTCGCGTAAAGGTGTGGACTGCAATTGCCATTTTTTATTGCTCTACAAGAAATTCAGTGTGAAAAAAGCCAATGTGTATTTTATTTTTAAAGATACGTCAGTTTATACCCGCGCAGTCTTATTCCATAACTGTTCAACGTAGCCCACTTTGAGACACGTTATCGCCTCCTTTATTGGGTATTTACGAGGTTGCACGGGAAACTAATCGACAGTTCGTCCCCCCCCCCCTCAAAAAAGAAAAATAGTCTCATGGGACAGTTTTTAAACACAATAACTACTTAGTCTCGTGTGCAAACTCAAAACGGACCATGCCTGTTAAACATACCGTTACAGAAACATGTGTTTCATAAATGCAACTTTTGCAATGGCTAATTTTCCTTCATATATGTTGCGTGCCACGTTTATTGGAAAGACGTTTTTTTTAAAAAGTTACTGAATTATATCTCGCACGCTGATTGGCTAATTTTTATTATCAGTAAGAGTATAGACACATAAAATTTTAATTTATGCAAGATGCGGTCATTTGCCGAACGAATGCCGAACGTCGGTGTTTTTGCTTAGTTTAGTTTCGCGGAAGATTTTTTTTCTGTCCTCTAGATAGCCCTGATGTAAGACTTGCATCTTGTTTGGATTCTCTGCAAAAAGCTTTAGCAGAGGAAACTAAACAAGACACTTAGTTTAAGAAAGAGAAGACGACTTGCTAGAAATACAGTCAGCGATTTAGCTTTAAAGTTAAAAAAGTGAGAAAACAATTCTGAAAGTTGAATTTATTAAAAATAAACACATAAATTGTGGTAGTTTTCTTTTGACAAGTACTGAGAGTGTTTTTCTGATCCTTTTTTCCAAAAGCAAAACAAACTTTTTGTGCAAACTTTATGAAACTTTGTAAATACCTGGTAAGTTGAGTTGAAAACTTCATGCATATAAAATCCGACTTTCGGTTTGACTGTACACAGCTCATAAAGCTGAATGGCGTTCAGGACGACAAGTAAGGCAAGAACTGAAGTAAACAACCGGCCGTACACGTTTTCTGTTCGTACCGATCGGTTAGTAACTCTTCAAATCTGTCAGGCTAGTTTGATCAGCAGACAGCTCAACCGCACATTGCTTCGACTTGTTCGGTTACCTAAACGGTCCAAAATCTTTTCTTGGAATAATAGTTAACCTTTGGGCTAGTTTACGACTTTATACAGCCCTAAAATGCCCCCGTTTTTCAAGACAATAAACATCGCTGATCTCATTCTTGTTTGAGGTTTGCAAAACAATTTAATTCCTAATTTATGTGGGGCAGTGGCGTGACTCAACCTGTCGAATTTTTAGCCAAATGAAACACCGTTACTTATCATCAGTAGCCAATCACCAGGCGAGAAGAGTTATTGACAATAGCATTTCGTTAGCTTACAAAAAGTCATAAATTTCCTTGTGTTTTCTTCATGCCCTCAACACTTTGACTATGTAATGTCGTCATTTTTTCAACAATTAGAGTACGGACGATAAAAAATGGCGTCAATTTGTAAAATTAAACGTTTAGCGAGTGGTAAGCATGCTGTATGTTATCTCAGTCAGTTTCATTCTCATTCCAGCCGATGAGTTCCCTGTCTTTCACTTTCAGCTCCTCACAATTCCTGAAATTTTCAATTTTTCGTCTTTTAACGATGGCTTGTTCCCGAGGCCTCATTGTTCTGATTTTTTCTATTGTTATCGTGATTGTCTCCGCAAAGCACGGGCACAATAAGTACTGGAAACTTCGACGATCTTTAGAGGTTGAATCTTACCGCACTTCCCCGGCAAATCTCGTTCTCATTCTAGCAGAGCGAGATTGCCAGGCGCAACCATTAGGGGTCAGTGAAATAACATTACGATCATATGGAAAAATAATCTTAGGGAAATTATTCAAAACAAATGAGGATAGCGGTGGGAGAGAGCCAAATATTGTTGCTTCGTTTCGGAGTGGAAGGTCAGGAAGAGAAAATGGGGATGACACGAAAAATTATTAAATCCCCCCACTCCATCCACCGACAAAATGTACCTTTCTTTACTGCTTATGTCATAAGCGATTCTTCATTCTTTTAACAAAAATTTAAAAAAATACCTGCCAACGAAAACTCGGCTCACTGGGGTAACATAGTTTATAGCTCCATGACAGGTTCCCAAGCAACTTCTTATTTATTATCCCTTGTAGGCCGAGCAGCACTGTCATTTGTCACATACCTTAGCATTATGGCGACTAATGGCTCTGGAAAAAGCTAAAATAAAGTCAAGAAACAAGCAGGTAGGTAGAAGGTATTTTCTTAATTAGTAGTTTTTAAACATATGATGGGAAATTAACTCGAATACTTTTGGCAGTGAGTCGTTATTATGAACAACACTAAATGCTCTGGGAAAACATTTTCTCCCGAAGTGACACGCGCGATGCTTCGCAAAGATAGGAGAAGCCTAGGAGAAGGTATTTATTTAAGGAGCATTTTTTGAGTCGATGATGGCAGTGAGTCGTTAGTATGAACAACACTAAATCCTCTGAAAAAAAAAAAAAATTCACGCGAAGGGACACCGGCGATGCTTCGCAATGATAGGAGGAGCCTGGTTTCACTCTGAGACAGACCTTAGCGATTTCATGTAGCCACGACATCGAAGGCATTAAAAACGTCACTAATAAAATTAATTTGCTTGCGTTCAAATTCTAACCCGTTTCACTCGTCGGTTGTAGGCGAATGTTCCTATATTTAGAGACCACATTCAAGATAAATGATGGAAAGAAAAGGCCGTTGTTCGTATGAGTCTTCCGCAGAAAGTAAATTTTAACAATTTCACGTCATAGTCGTGCTTGGTCGGCAAAGAAATGTGCCAAAAATTTATAGTTTACTTAAAATTTTACATCCCTTCATAAATCTTTCTTGGACCTCACAAAACTGCAGATTTCTCTTCTTTCTATAGTATCTGTCATGTCGCACCTTATCGATCTAAACCACTGTCTTATTTTTCAGTTGCTTCCTCATGTTGAAACTAGTAAACTACTTTCCTTAAAATTGTTTCGTGAATGTTATTACATGTTTCTTGACGCTGGCCATTTAAAGTAGTAAACAGCAGTAAATTTAACAAATCCTCTACCCTCTTTCAGGAGCCGTTTGAGCAAATGTCTGACATTTTCAAGGAAAAGCTAAGTTCGAGTGACCTAGCACAATTAAATCGCATTCTTCGAAAAATTGATATGGACTTGTTTCTTCCACGACTGTTGGAAATGGTTCTGCTCAATGTAAAGCACGCGAAGGAAAACATCGTATCCATGAGGTGAGACTGGATTTTGCTAGGTTCAAGTTCAGGCACAAGATACGCTAAGAAGCTAAATATTCAGAGAGATAATTCGCTTGCATCAACATCTTTGGTAGATTTTGGTCCTATTTGTACGTTGTATTCAGTTTTAAAGTGTTAGAACGACCAATTTGTTTTCGATAAAGAGAACTAGTTATTTCTCTTGCGCTTACCCAGAGGCGGGGCTGTCTTGATGGACTTGATTAAAAGTATACTGTTTAACAATTGTTTTTGCAGTTTTAATGAGTATTTTGAGCTCTACCTGGAGGAAAAGGGCCTAGAACAAGTCCCGGGAACAGAAAACATTTCTGATGATGTTAAAATGAAGCATTTGAAAGCAGTTTGGAACGCCGCTGTCCAGCTAAGTGATGACTTTCACAAAGGAAGTCAAACCGCTGCAGCTTGATCATTACCGGCTCTTACCAAGAAGTTCTCGTAGTACTAGATAAATCAGTGAGAAACAATAACAATCTAGCGGAAACAATACCAGAGTTACACTGTACCCTTCGCTAGTGCTAATGGCATTTGAGGCTAGTAATCACACTTTCGTGTAAATGTAAAACGTTAAGTGTTAGCAGTTGGCGAAAAGTTCTTTTTTAAGCTCTTTGCTTATCGTTTGTAGTGTTTAGGTTGTATTTGCTGTTACATGAAGCAATTCAGATTAAATTTACATTCAGTTGTGCCTTAGAGGTAATGTTGCAAGGCGTTGTGTTTTTTTCAAGGCTGTAGTAGGTTCTGTTAAATCGAACAACAATCATTATGATAGAATCATTAAACTTTGCTATGTACGTTTAGTTCGCAAGAAACAAACGAATACCACTGAAAATAGCACCCAATATCAAGCAATTACTTCATTCAAGGCTATGTTAACCATACTAGTGTATATTAGTATGTCAGATAATAGTATTGAGTACGCTACACTATATGCTTTTTTGATTAATTAGAAATTTCAATTACAAATAAAGAATCGTTGCTTGTAAAGCTTTGGTCTTATTTTCACTGCCCAAAGTCTAACATCGGGAAAACCCGTATTTTTAGACGAACAACTTACATAAACGCTTTTACCAGTTGTTACGTTTGAGTGAAAAAGAGGTGTAGGGATGATAAAGCGCGTGACACTCGTGTGAATTAAGGTATGGCACCTCATTGATATCTCTCGTTTTATTTTGCACTTCCTTTATCTATAGTTATCACTGTTCACTGATGAAAGAAACTATTTTTGGTGCTGACCTTGCACTTTTTGAAGTCACACTTCCTTAATTACGCAAAATTATACATTTTTGAATTACAAGACTTTTAGAAACAATTAAGTTCTCAATTGTTCTTTTATTGTATTTAGGTTAATGCCAAACATGTCAAATTAAGCGGGGAATTTAAAAGTATTTTATTTCTTAGTAACAATTCAATGCCAGTCTCTCTCTAAAATGAAAACGTTACAGTTTACAGAAAACAATTAATTTCTAAAAACCCCGATTAGTCCCATAAACCGTGTGCTTATAGCGATAAACGCAAACAAAATAAAAATTAAGACAAATCTCTTTATGGTTGGGTCAATTTGAATAAAAAATAAATAGCAGAAAATGGGTGTGGTAAGTCATGTGACTGAGAAAATCAATTATTTAAAATGAAACTGATATGCTTTTATAAAGGGGGTTAGGCCTGCAAAGTCTTGAGTGACAAGATTTAAGCCTCTTTGAACCAGACCAGCCCCCTACAAAATTCCCGAAACCCGTTCCCTAAAGGAATTAAAATCCACCTAAACATTAAAGAGTACAAACTTGTGCATCAATTTTTGCGGTTATGACAATTTCTTTGCTGTAGCGAGCAATTCGTCATTAAGACCAACAGAAAGTTTGTTGTCATGAATCTCGATTCCTCTGTCTCTACTGATAAAATCCATTAGCGTGGAATCCTTACGACTAGACAACACATCAACCTGTCGATACCACGGAAAGTAACCAGTCTGGCGTTGTTTAAGTCGTCCATAAGAATTAATTCGTATGATATACAATTTCTCATTTCCTAATTTGAGAAATTGTCACCCAGAGTGTGTCGTTTACTGTTTGCCGTAAACGTGTTTCTCAATCCAATTACTAGTCCGTGAATCGCAGAATCTCGAAAATCAGAGGCTTACGCCACAAGTAGGAACAAAAGGAAAGATGCCAATAGAGAAAAGAAATACATAAAAAAAAATAAAACAAAACAAAAAACAAAACAGACCAACAAACGAAACAAGAGAACAATAACAACAAAGAAGAGGAAGAAGAAAAAATAAATCGATCTCATCTAGGAACTTTGTCACTGAGCTAACTGGGTTACTAAATCCTGATTGTTGGGAACGTCGGCTGGCAAGCCGCTTCGTTTAAAAGCTTGCTTTATTGTTCATTCGAAATAATTCCTAGTTTAAAAACATGGCTAAAACACGCTTACCTCCATCGATCCATCGATGTTAAGTTCATCTTCGATAGTGCACGTTTAGGGTTTGTTCAGCTCCGCAAATATTCTCCAAACAGCAGATGTCGCCCTTCCAGTTGTCTTGTTGTTCTTGCCATGTGTTCAGCTATTATTTTGCCTAGTTCTTACTCTTGAAACGACTGAAATGTCCGCCATTTTTGTTCTCACGATCAAAACAACTCAACTTCGTCCCCAGGTCTTCTCAGATAACGGTGCATTAACCTGCAAAAAAGCTGCACTTTTGACGTCATCGGTTCATTAAACGCAAAATTCTTCCAAAGTTGGTCATCAGTAGCTGGTTATGGTGAATTATTCGTGTGCTTTTAGCCAATCGGAATCGGGGAATATTTTGAATTAATAATAATGGCGTTTAACTGATGAGTGGGTCACCTTCACCTTCAAAGTTTTCTCTTAAATTTACGTTTTTCGGTGGCCTACGAGAGATTTGTATTAAACACCCATGCACTCAGGATTTGAGTAGTTCACCTATACATATTTATTATTTCTTTCTTTATATATATTTAGTATATACTAAAACCAGTGGATAGTGTTTTTCGCGCGCTCTGATTGGCTACTCAATCAGTGATTATCCTGCACTATTTAAGGTTTAGAGGGGTGCTTTTAGACAAATTTAAGAGGGAGGAATGATATCCTAATGATTTGCAATTGTAACTTTAAATAATTTGTATATGTTTTTATTTTTATCCTTTTCTTTGTAATTGGCACTGAAAAGCCCCTTTGGGGAAGTGGTCAATAAACGTATGTATGTATGTATGTATTTACCGATTCACCTGCAGTTCCTCCGAGCGAGCGACTTCAAACTCTTCTAGGTTGCGAACAAATGCCTTTCCGGTTTGCTGTCGTAAGAAACAAAGAAATTTCACAACTAATCAAGCAAGCTGTTTCCGAAATACACGACGAAGGTGACGTAGTTCGGTTTGACTACTTTAACAGGTAAAGCTTTGTCTTTTTGACTTGAATTTATCGATAAAACCGGTGCAAAAATTTTTTGTTTACAAATGCAAATTGAGCTTACGTCTTGCGTTACTTTATTTAGTTGACTTGTTCATAAATAAGCTTAAACTAAATTTAATAATCTTTTTTACAGAATGATTTTAATTACGACAAGAATTCACAACTACTATTGAAGAAATTTCTCCGCAAGAGCTAAACAAATGCCTTCAAAAGTTTTATTTGTCGGCAAGAAAAAGCGGCGACTGCGGCCGTTCGGTCATTGCGCGCCAAAATTGTAATCGTTGGCAACAGTAAATGAGTTAAAAATTATTATTTTTGCGCTCAATTATCTCAATGTTTCAGTATATACTAAAACAATTATTTACCTCTGTATCGGTGGCTAGTGGTGGTTATTTACCTCGCCGCATCGCGGCCTCGGTAAGTATCCACCACCACTAGCCACTTCCACTTCGGTGAATAATTGTTATATAGCCAGAGCTAAAAGCAAAGCTCCTGTTTATGCACTTTAAATTTACTTCAGACAATGGACTTGAAACCACTGCAAAGAAACCTTCAAATCTATACTTAACTTTAGGGGAGAATAATATGAATAATATCGAGATACGTGAGCTTGCGATCAATTAAAAGCTAACAACTGGTCCGCGGGAAACTTCAAAAGACACGTGACCTCAATGAGTTGGCGTCTGAGCCAGCAATACGGTCATGTGACTTTGGTCAGTGGATACACTGTTTTGACAGCTGTCAATTGACCATAATAAAGATGTCTATTATCAAGTTGAACAGAAGTTACAGGCTCTAACACTGGTTAGAAAGTTTGACATTTTACATTGGTTTCCCTATGGTGCGGACAGATGGAAAAAGGGTCACGTGATTACCGAACTTTCCCGTATATATAGAGTACAAAATTTTCTTAGGTATTAGACTCCGATCGCACGCGCTTTGCGAGCGCGTGGAGCTCCGCTAAACAATAAAATATACATCAATTTGGCTTCAGCTGGCCTTTGTTTCTGGGATTGGTGATGTATGATAATGAATCGAATTTGCAATTGAAACAAGGGACAATAAGTTTGAACCAAGGATAAAGCTAGACCGCAGTATATAAGATCGTTCTGTCAACTTGTACTCACCCACTGGATGGACGCGCTACAATGAATACTTTGTTTTCTATCCCCTCGCTTGATGAGAACTAGTTCCTTGTGGTGCAAGAAACAGTATATACAGGTACCTGCTTTGGGAAACTAATTACTTGTATGCTAGAAAATTACTGTATTGCATCAGTAGAGGAGCGCCTCATCAACTTAGTGGAAAATGAGGTTGATTTTACTGTTTTTTGTAAGTGTTGTGTGTCCTTTGTTTTGCGAGTCGACAATAGAGAGAACAAAAGTACTACCAACTCCGAGGTAAGTCCAAGTTGTTGGGTCAACGCATATGAAGTATTTCCATCCTAACAGCGTATTGTTGGTTTAAATGTCGATTTATCCATTAACTTAAATCAAACCATTTCGTCCTCGGAAAGATTACCGAAAACGCTTTTTAAAGCTAGTCGAGCTGTTTGTGGTAACTATCTGGCCATATAAGAGAACCAAAACTCAATGTAAGTCATGAACTACTCTGCTTTCCACTTCTGGTGCTAGATAACGGCGACAGGAGTACGGGGGAGGAGTAACTAACACTTAACCTTTGGCTTTTCATCCTTTTGACTCCCTTTACTTTGCTTTCCCCCTCTTTTTTCTTTTTTTTTGGACATTTACTAGAATTCTTTTCAGCAAAAAACCTTTTAAGTCGTGCCCGTTCTCTTAACTACGAAATGAAGTTTTCTTTTGAGGAAAAATCGTGAACTGCACTGAATAACTTTTAAAAAAGTCAGGAATGCGCGTCGTCTTGCTTATGGCTAGAATTTGTTGATTTTTGTCTTAAGCACTGGTGTTTAAGACGGACAGTCAATCACTTTCAACCTATTTTAAATGTTTTGGTCGT